ATAGCATATCAATTAATTAAGTAAAAATTAGGTTAAAAATAAGAAATGTAGAGTTTCTACCTCGTGAAAGTAATTATTATAATTTTGTGTTTGAGAGTATCATCAAGTGATGTCCATGACCTCAAATGATCTTCTTGAAAATGGATGACTTGGGCATTCTCTAGATCTCGTTTCATAGTCTAGAAAATATAAAAAAAGTTTAAACTAGTTAAAAATAATAAAACATGACTATAACATTTGAGGTGACTATAGTATAATGTCTATGGCTTCAAAGAGTCTTCTTGAACATGAACAATGTGGGTAATTTCTAAATTTTCTTGTGAAGTCTAAAAATTAATGAAGTGAGTCGACAATTCATCTTCAGCAACTGTTATTTGACAAAAATAAGTTGGATAAAGGTGGAGTATCTTAGGAAACTTTATCCTTAGGTCTGTATAATAAGAGAAGTCTTTTTATCATATCTGGTATGCTCTCAGAAGGTGGTGACTCATTCTCAAAGAATTATCTTCTTTTTGACAACGATTTATTTGTTGATCAATCAAAGATAATATATTTGATAGATTCATTACTATTTTATTTAAAATCATTCTAAAATTTTAGTAACAATGTTCTGTGAATCTCATTGATGACATTTTCACTAATGATTGAATAATTTTAGGATTTAATCATTCACAATTAATATGTAAGAAAATCATAATTTAATCATATACAAATATGAGTTTTAACTATAATAGATTAAACCTTCATCGTTGCTTGCATATAAGAACAGGAGTGAATTAAGTATGTAAATACTCATATAATGTGACATCATAAAAGTATTTACTTCTCATAAATAAATGATATTTTAAGTATTAAAATTATTAAAAATCTTTTGAGAAATTGTGAGGTGAATTTAATGTCACATTAGTTGTTTCTCTAGTTTTTGAGATGGATATATAATAATACAAGATGTTGTCATCAATAAGTATTTCTTTTACATGTGTATGACCACTCTTTACCCTATGTTTGGTTAGTCATTTGTGACATAGAAAGAAAGAGTGATGCACATGTGCCCGTCAACTTTTAGGCCATTAACTTATTTGTGGCTCCACTCAACTATGCTTATGACTTGCTTAGAGGTCTAGTTGGCCAACATGTTTTTTTTTTCTGTATTATTATTACATTTTATTTATCTTCATTTATCTCAAAAATAAGATTATACAAAATATATAAATTCACATAATTAGTTAAAAATTATATTAACTAACTAAAACTATTTTTCATATTTTATCAAAAATATAAGCTTATTTATCATGAGTTAAGACTTAAATTATATTATTAATTAATTAATAGTTTATAATAATGAAGACTTATGAAAAGAGCAAATGATAGAATGAGTCTATGATGCATAACTTGAGAGCTCCCTAAGACTTGACACCATGATGAAGGATGACATACAGCTTGAACATAACTCTTGTGACCCTACATCAAGGTAAGAGGTGAATCTTCTAGCCACTATTACATTGAAGAGTAACTTGTCATCATTGTCATCATTATGAGTGTCATTGTTATCATTCCCAACTCCTTTGTTGCTTGTCATATAGAAGAGAACTCAGAACATTGTTGTCCTCATGAGCATCGTTGTTGTCACCATTAGCTTCTCTCTTTGTTATGTTAAAAGTGGGACATCGGATCATGTGCCCAACTCTACTCATTTCATTTTAATTAAAGAATCATCCCCCACATATTGTTGGTTCAAATCCCCATTCATCCTAATCATCATGATTTTCAATAGTTATTTTACAGAAATTCTTAACTATTACACTTTTTACTAAAATTTATTAAAAAATCCAATAAACTCATAAATATAGAAAAATAGTGAAAAAAAATCAAAAAATTGTCTTTAAAATATCAAAAAATTAGAGATATGGGTATCAGATTAAGAAATATTTTAACATATAATTTAATGATTTTAAAATTATTATACATGCAAATGTTATAAATTAGAATAAAATTTAGATTAATTAGTCAAAACATATTTTTCTTTGATTAATCTCCTAATCATGTACATTTATATAAATTAATATAACCATAATGAATATATAACATGAATTAACACATAAAAATATTACATTATTATAACTCATATAATAATTCATCGACTGGTAGAATTAGGAATTTATTTAAGACCATCGCTTGATTAAGGACATGATAATAGACGCATAACCTTCAGCTATTACGTTTCATTCTAACTAATATTATTTGACTTAAATATGAATTGTTAGAGGGTCAAATGATTTTTGTTGTGCACATTTCTCTAATGATTCTTTCTCAAATCACTCAATTTTCTCTTTCTAAAAATGAGGGTACTTGTAGGGTCAAACATTGTCGGCCTTATGTATGGTGTAAGTGGATTATTTTTATGTATCTCTTTTAGGTTTTTAGGGCTGTAATTCTCTAGAAATCATTGAGGTTTCCTTTCCAATTGCTGGTGCACTTGAAATCTTTCAAGTTAGAGGTGATTCGTAAATTTGAACAACCTACTTATATTCCACCAAAAAATCATACTCATTTGATAACTCTTGAGTTAAATATTTCAAATATTTGTCATGCTCAAATGCAAATCTTCATTAAGTGTGACTATTGTCTTATCTCTGGTGAATTTAAGTGGGAACTAAGTTCAATTGACTTTTTGTTGGTCCCAAGGTCTACAACTATTGCATACCCATGATAAGGTCTATGTTGTATATACTAAATGAAAGGAAGTTGTCAACAATGATGATCTCTTGTAAATTGAAGATGCCTTATGTACACACAACTTTTTTTCTTATTAACACATTAGTACCCACAACTATACCATAGTTGTTAGTATTTGTCATTAGTACTTTCAATTGTACAATAACATCTATGAAAATAAATTATGTTGTCTCACAGTCGATTAGAGTCATTCGTTCACCTTTCCTCCAAGTTTAATAGTCTATGGATTAGTGAGTCCTATTACATAATTTATGGAGAGCTCAATTTTCACCTTTGATGGTAACTATAGTTTAGAGTTGCCACCGTTCTTTGTAAGATCTACTACTATTTCTTTTATTTGATTTAGTTACTCATGTCTTCTTGTAACACCATCAACCTTAGTTTCTTTTTGCAGATGTGTCTTAGAGAGAACCACTCATCACATGTAAAGGAAAACCTTATAATATGATGTACTTGTAAATTCATCTTTAATGAGGTTCAAGTGCCTTCTCTTCTATAATTAAGTGTGCTTCTTCTTACTATCATATTCTTTTGTCTACTATTTCCTATTTTACTATCCTCAACATTTGAAATCTTTGGTGGGATTCACCCTTTGTTAGTCATATACTCTCACAATTTATTGTTGCCCCTATTTAGGCATACATTAATACAACCCAATAAATTAAACTTGAGTAATTGTTATCCTAGTTGCTTCATATTTGAGTATAAAAATATGTCTTCAACTAATTATTCTATTTGAGTAATGGCTCACGCCTTGAGGATTTTAGAGGTTGACTTTTGTTTTGATGTCATGCTTTAGGTCATTGATGAATATAATTTATAATACTTCTTCTAGTATGTTTGTCAAATAAGATGACATCATCTCAAATTCCTTAGGATATTGGGCCAGTAACCCTTACTACCTTATGTCTAGTAATCTCTCACATAAATTTTTTCATTGGGATCAGTTGAAGTACTTCAATAGTTACTACTTCAGGTTGTGTGTCAACTTGTGAAAATATATATTTTGAATGTTCATTCATAACAATGTAATGTGTACTTTTTGAAGCTCACTCATGCAACCATAAGCTTTTCTACCTTTCCAACTCATGTGGGTGAAAGAAAAAAATATGCATATATATTCAACCTTCAAGGTTGTTCTCACCAAAGGTTGGTAGCTCCATATATATGCCTATATATATATCTTCCATCTCTCTATGGCTCTCCTTTGCCTTCTAGGCCGCATGGTCTCACGCCCTTCATGATCAGATCCCACTATTGTATCCCATCTACCTAGTGGTGTAGACAACTACCATATGGGTCTATTCTTCTGATGCGTGTCCCCCCTCCCCCCCTGAAAGAACCCTAGAGTGTTGGGCATGTCCCTTGCTCTCCCTCAATGATAACTGCCCATAGAATACTCCTCGATAACCCCCATCCCAATCTACCCCTCAACCCTAATACCCCTTACATCCTTACATCCTTACATTATAAGGACTCTTTTACCCTTCTCCCTAGAAGTCCCCTCCTCCTCCAAGATTGGGGCACTTGGGCCTTCTGCCGTCAGGGTGGGCCTAGTTGTTGGCCCCCTTCTCATGTGCCTTAAGTTAGACCCACTATGGGCCAAACAAATTGTCCCCATTATCCCTTATTTTTGATTTTTATGAACATTGTTCATTGACAATCCTGGGTCATTAGAATGTTCATAGCTCTATAGTTTTCTTTTTAAGGAAATGCATTAAGTGATCTATTTTTAGTAGGATTCTAGATTTTGTACTACCATGTACTATGATTTTTACGTCATATTCACTTTCCTCACAACTATTTATCATATCGTCTATCAGTCTTAAGAACTGGAATCCAAATCCTAGTGGGATTTGAGATCATGCCTCATCTTCCTGCTCCGGATGCATCAAGTTCAATGCACGTCTCCATGGATTTTTCTGATTTCTTTTGTTTCTCTCTCTGGAAGCTCCTTACTTCCTAAGAATGGAAGTTCTGGAGTCGACCTCCACATTCGTTCAGCTCCAGCAGAAGTCAAATTCGGCAAAAATATTCATGAACGCTGCCCGCCCTTCTACCAAATATCAGCTACTTCCTGGACATGAACTGAAAACATCATACTCGTCCCAAGGGAACACACAAATCAACACCGAACAGCAGTAACAGCTCTGAGCTCCGAACTGTAGACCAACCAGATGACCAGGCGTCCACGAAGAAGAAGAAGATCACATTCGTTTTGCAAGATAAAGAATGAACCAGGAGAAGAAGAAAGCAAGCCGATTTCACCGTCCCTTCATTCCGGCGATCTGGGCGAGGAGCTCATCCACGGCGGGATTGGCGGAGTTGTCTTCGGGATGGCCCGCGGCGGCGGCGGTCGTCCTCTCCGGAGACGGCGAAGCGGCGGCGGGGGCGAGGGGAACCTCCGGTGGGGAGGCGTCGTGGAGTTGCAGGGCGTACTCGAGGTTCCATAGGACGTCCCCCATTGAGGGGCGGTCAACGCCGTGCTCCGCCAGGCACTTCTCCGCCGCCTCCGCGAACTTGTTCATGGATTCGAGGTTGATGGCGCCGGCGAGAACCGGGTCAACGATTTCCTCCAGCCGGCCCTTCTTCTTCCACTGCATCGCCCACTCCGCCAGGTTGACCTGCTCCCTGGGCAGCGCCGGACTCAGCGCCGGCCTCGCGCAGAGCGCCTCCAGCAGCACGACCCCAAAGGAGTACACGTCGGACGTGTCGGTCAACTGCTGCCGCCGGAAGTACTCGGGGTCCAGGTACCCGAAGCTCCCCTTCACGGCGGTGCTCACGGCGGCGGCGCCCATCGCCGGCCCCTCCTTGGACAGCCCAAAGTCAGAGACCTTCGCCACCAGCCCCTCATCAAGCAGTATATTCGTCGTCTTCACGTCCCTGTGGATGATCCCCTGGGCGGCGCCGGTGTGGAGGTAGTGCAGCCCCCTGGCGGCGCCGATGCAGATCTCCAGCCGCTGCCGCCAGGTCAACGACGGCAACTCCTTCCCGTACAGGTGATCCCTGAACGGCCCATTGGCCATGTACTCGTACACCAGAATCATCTCCGAGTTCTCGTCGCAGTACCCGATGAGGGAGACCAAGTGGCGGTGGCGGAGCTTGGAGAGCATCTGGATCTCCGTCTGAAACTCTGCAATCCCCTGCTCCGACTGCGGGTTCCCCCTCTTCACGGCGACTTTGGTGCCGTCGTCGATCTGGCCCAGGAAGACCTCCCCGAAGCCGCCGACTCCGATGACCGCCGCCCGGTCAAACTCCCCCGTCGCCTCCTGCAACTCCTGGAAGGAGAAGTAGCGGCCGAGCCCCATCGTGGAGGAGAACCCGACGCCGCCGCCGCTCCGGTGGGAGCCGAAGAAGGAGGCGGAGGAGCCCTTGCTGGTCATGAAGCTGGAGTGCCCGCCGCCGTGCAGCGGCAGCAGCCATGAAGAGAAGCTGTTCCTCTTCTCCCAGTCCTGCGGCCGCCCGTACCACTTCACCACCATGACCCCCAGTCCGGCGAAGGCCCCGAACATCAGCGTCAACCCCACCGCCGCCGCCGCATGCCGCCCCGAGTCGCCATTGCCGGCGTCGGCGGCGGAGTCGCCGGAGACGCCGAACTCGCCGTCGAGGCTGCCGACGGAGTTGCTCATCTTGAGTATTTCGAGGCCGTTGAGGAGGGCATCGACCTTGCCGGCGTCCTCCGCCATGGGGCCGACCTGGACGGTGATCCTGTCCCCGGCGAGGGAGGCGTTGACCAGGAAGTCACGATAGTAGGCGGTGGCGAGGGCGCCGGTGAGGGTCGAGAGGTCCAGCCCCGAGACGGCCATCCTCTGGTTCACGTAGACGTTGAAGTAGAGGTCGTTGAGGGACTTGCTGATGATGTCACAGAAGTGTAGGCGAATCAGGTAGGCGAAGGAGGGGTCAACGTCCAGCTGCCAGCTGATGTTGAAGTTGCGGCGGCCGACCCTGGTGTCGGCCATCTTCACCCCCGAGGCGTAGACCCAGTTGGGCGCCGCCAGGTCGGTGGCGGCACCGCTGGGGAAGGCGACAATCGCCGGCGAGACGTTGACCCTCTCGGCGGTGGACCTGGACTGGAGGAAGCGCGCGTCCTGTTCCCAGCTCCGGAAGAGGGTGTCGTTCGCCGGGGTGATGGTGGGACCGCCGATGTTGATCCGGTAGGCCGTCTGGAAGGCGGTGCCGCCGCCGACGGCGGCGGCAGAGCCCACCGGGAAGAGGGAGGCGGCGGAGTCGGGGATGAGGTCGTCGGGGGCGGAGACAATCTCAATGGCGTTGACGAAGGCGACGGAGTTGCGTTGCGGGGAGAAGCGGAGGGACAGGCGCGGGGAGGTGGCGTTGACCAGGTACTCCTTGAAGGTCCAGGCGGTGGGGTCGCCGGCGTTGAAGCTGTGGAGGAGGACGTGGTCGTCGGTGATGACGGAGAAGACGGCGCGGGTCAGCTCGAACCCGGTGGCTTTTACCGGGAAGAAGTGGAGGCGGATCCAGTGCCAGCCGGGGCGGGTGAGCTTGAAGACGTAGGAGGCGTCGCCGGTGAAGATCCTCGCGGAGAGATAGATCGGCGAGGGAACCCCCACTGGCGGCGGCGGCGGCGCCGCCGCCGAGACGGAGGCGCTGTGGTCGTCACCGGTGCTGGCGCCGGAGAGGAAGGCGGCGGACTGGGCGTCCGTGAGGAAGGCCCTGCCATCCGGCATGGGTCCCGACGTGGTGGCGCCGCAGTCCAGGAGGAAGTTGTCTGCGGGGACGAAGGGAGCGGCGGCGGCGGCGCCGTCGCCGGTGGCCAGGAAGAAGGAGGCGAGGAGGACGAAGGGGAGGAACTCCATTCTCCGGCGGTGACCCATTCTCTCTCTCTAGGCCCCTCTCAGGCAGAAGACAGAGAGAGGAGAGGAGAGGAGAGAGGGCATACACAAGTTTTTCCGTTTCTCTCCTCTCTCTCTCTCTCTCTCTCTCTCTCTCTCTCTCTGTACAGTCCGTCCACACGGCGGACTATTTTCTGAATGACGAGAGGGAGGCATCAACGACCAGGCTATTTTGGGAGTTGACCGTTACACGTGCGAAAACCTCCACGTGCTCTGCCCGGGCCTTACTCGAATAGTTTAAATTTCTTTTTAAAAAATAGCACGTGTGGGGTGTGACAAGGGGGCCCAGAAGCTAAGCCCAGGCTCGGCCCGGCCCGCTTCTTACGTTGCTGTGAGCTTAAATAAAATATAGAAATTGAGCAACTCTAATTTTTTAAGAAAGGAAAATGGATATGAAATATTTTTAATAAAAAGAATATTTATCCGATTAACGAGTTGGGCACCAATTTTCATCGGGATCATTGGATTTTGACACGTTTCAAAACTTAAGCGGTAGGCATACGAAGGAACCGTCCGAAAAAGTGTTAACTGTTTGCTCTCGTTGAGAATTGAACTCAAGACCTCCCGCTTACTAAACGGGTGCTCTAGCCAACTGAGCTACGAGAGCTTATGTGAAATGGACTAAATTATTTTTAATATTCTAATTTACTATCACAAGCTTTTCTCCGACCACGGACGAACTGTTGCGGAGGATCAGCGGAGATGGAGAGCGCCCTAGCAGCAGCGTCCGCCATCACGGACCAGAGGCAAAAGGTGGAGCAGTACAGGGCGATACTCTCCTCTGTCATCTCTTCGTCCTCTGCGGACACCTCGCCGGCCAAGCGCTTCATCGATCACAGTAATGGACACCTTCACTCTTTTGTTTTCCTATGGAAATGGGGATCTCCATCTCTATCTCCTCTCCTTCTTGCTCTTGCTCCTTTAAAATGGTTGAATTTTCATCTTACGGCTGCTTTCAGTGGTCTCCGACGATGTTCCTTTGGTCGTCTCGAGGCAGCTTCTGCAGACGTTCGCGCAAGAGCTGGGGAGCCTGGACCCATACACTCAGAAGGAGATATCACACTATTCCCTTGCTCGTATTCAACCCCGAGTTGTCTCATTTGAAGAGCAGGTCGTCTCTCCATCTTCCCTCTAACGAAAACAGAGAGAGGAAATATTAAGCTTAAAAATAACATTGTTACGTTTATCTGTCTCTGAGACTGAACTTTGGGGACTTTTGCAATGTGTACTATTGATCGAATTTTATGGAGCCTCTCTTTTTGAGATTTTCAACAATGGGGTTTTCTTCCAATCATTATTCTCAGGCTTCCTAGCTAACAGTTAAGCTATACTTCCGCAGTATTGTGCACTACTGATGTTTCGTGTTTAGTTTAAAAGCGCTAGAGATTTTTTGATTCCTCGTTATCACTGCAATGACCGTTATTATTTCTCTTCCTAAGTTGGATGGCTATTTGTTTCTTTTGTTTTCATTTGTCTGATTCGACAACTGAGGTGCCTTTTTTATGTTGGGTTTATCATCATTTTGCCAGGTGTTAGTGATCAGGGAGAAACTTGCTGAGCTGTATGAATCTGAGCGGGAGTGGTCGAAAGCAGCACAGATGCTTAGTGGGATCGACTTGGACTCGGGAATAAGGTCCAAGGTTTGGTTTGAAAGTCCCTGGATAGAATGCTTTTGTTCACCTATTCTGACTTATTTCATAACGTCTAATGTGACAGAATGCTTGATGATACCTACAAGTTATCAAAATGTGTTCAGATTGCTCGTCTCTACTTAGAGGTTTGTTTCCATGATTATGGTATTTTAGAGTATCCCACCGCCCTTGAGCATTGATGTATCATTTCCTAGAATATCTAACGTCAAGCTTTGCATGGTGTATTTGAAAGGATGATGATGCTGCGAGTGCAGAAGCCTTCATCAACAAAGCTTCTTTCCTCGTGAGTAATAGCCAGCACGAAGTCTTAAACTTACAATACAAGGTGAACATCAAACATTGTTTACACAACTTCTGTGGGTAGTTAGCCATTAAAAGTAAAAATACCTGAGAGACTGTTTCGACAGGTCTGCTATGCAAGGATATTAGATTTGAAGCGGAAGTTTCTGGAAGCTGCACTTCGTTACTATGACATTTCCCAGATTGAGAAACGGCAATACGGAGACGAGTGTGTCTATTTAACAAAAGTGTTTACTCCTTTGTTGACGTTTTTGAGTAGTAATGTACATTATACAATGTGACACTTATTCGCGGCATAATAACAGTTATTGAATTTTATATTGATTCTGATTGAGTGTTTTTTTCTCATAATACCAAAATCCAGGGAAATTGATGAAGAAGCGCTGGAGCAAGCTCTCACTGCTGCTGTAACTTGCACAATTCTTGCTGCTGCTGGTCCACAACGTTCTCGTGTCCTAGCTACACTGTACAAGGCATGTACATATTTTATATAATTGATCCAATCTCTGTTTTCTATTGTTCTGATCATGCTATCATTATACAGAAAAGAACATTCATGCTCATTTTTGCAGAACATCAAGTTCTCGATTCATGATGTCTTTGTCCTTGATTGCTTAGTTGCAATGTCTAATGTTTTGGTGCAGTTTTCAATGTCATCAGTCGGTTTTGGCAAATTTCCTGTTGTAGCAGATCGTGCTATTTCCTATTCATTTTTAAGGCAATCTGTTAAGAAGAAAATGCCTCTACGAATCCGACATGAAGAAACTTACTATGTTCCTTCTGGTTATGCATGTTTCAAGGGGGGCTTAATTATTTATATATTTAGTGACGACAGGTAGATTCATTTGTTTTAAGAAATAGGACCGTTATTTATGTCGTGATACAGCATTTATATTCCCTCTGGGGAGGAAACTGTTTAACCATAGGTGACAGGGCACATCATAAGAGCAACGAATTCAGGGGCATAGTCAAGCAGCCCTGCGAGGTGTTCACCTTGTCCACCTTAATCCTCTAGCAGCCTCGTTTTTTACCCTGACCATCAATAACAATAAATATTAGTTTTTTCATTAATTATATTTCTAAAGTATGTTCTTGGCCATAAAAAATATATATAAAAATATCAATGATAGCATCCTTTGTTTTTTTATTAATTAAAAATCTATTGTGATTACCAGGATTAGGAAATGAATTTTTTTATCAACCAACAAGAAATGAACTAGCTTTATTAAATAATACTGCTGTGGCACACTCCTGATTGCATAAAAAGGTTATTAGTTAATGATCGCTCAATACACAGTGCCAACTATCATATCAAATGCAGTACTAAATAGGATATGTTTTACTTTTTCAATGATTATCATTTTAAGTGTTCTTTATTTTAAGTTTTTAATGTTATGGTGATTTTACTCTCAGTCTTGGCATTACAGCTTTAGGAGGGAAATGGCTTCATATATATTCTCCCTAATCTATTTCTGGTCTGAGGAATCTTTCTTTTAGTCACTAACCTTCCTGTGGTATTTCGCGTCTTTGTAGCTTTGTATGCCATTTCCACCCTGTTCAAGGACTAAATCTGATTGTTATCGATGAATGAGTAAAAGATTTGAATGCATGAAGCATCTTTGACATTCAATAACAAGATTTGAATTCGTCGAAATTATTCTGTTTTTCATACAAAAATTGGATACAACATTCTCATCTCTTCGAAGTATAATCAAATATTGCATATTCTGATTCTTTCTCTTGGTTTGGATATTAGGATGAAAGATGCTCGAAGTTGAAGATTTACCCAATATTGCAGAAGGTACACATTGAGGTTTCTTTATGTGAATAGGTATAAATTCTTAGTCGAAACAATCTAATTATGATATTCTTTTGCCGTAAGGTTTACCTGGAGCGAATTCTGAGAAAGCCAGAAATTGATGCATTTGCTGAAGAACTGAAGCCACATCAGGTATTATACTATCCTTTTTGTGTCGTATTTTTTTTTAATTCCTTGTGGCCGTCACTTGGAGAATTGTTGCTTATCAGAAATTCTGTTTTCCATCAGAAAGCGCTTCTACCCGATAATTTCACTGTTCTGGGTCGTGCAATGATCGAGCATAATCTTCTGAGTGCGAGCAAACTTTACACAAATATAAGGTGTGGCCAGTTATACTTATTTAAGCTTATTTAGTTCTTCTTGCCTCTACATCGGATATTTGATGTATTAATTTTTAATTTTCAGCTTTGAAGAATTGGGCACTCTTCTTGGTATTCCTCCTCAAAAGGTGCGTTTAATTTTCATTCACCAAATAATCCCAGGCCTTCTTGTTCTCTGTTTAAATTTCCCTATCTTCTGTTCTTCAAAGTTCTCTTGCTTCCGTGTAATCATTACTGAGTATGGTATATAAGTCAGCATCACGATTAAAAGATGAACTGTCTGCCAATCATCATTTACCTTTTATCATTTCTGGGCGGATGATGATGATGATGATGATGATGATGACCAGCTTACCCCATTTGAAAAGTGCGTACTTGCCTTGTCCGGCTCTGGGATCTTCTGAAAGGTCGCACAGCTTCTCCTTTCTGTCCCTTAAAAAATAGTCTCTCATCCGAATCCTTTCTGCGTGTTCACTTGCTACAAAAGGAAATAAAACGAGGGCTATTCTTCTGGATATTGCACCAAATTTCCTATTGGTTTTGAGTTGATGGTCCGATACTCCAACATGAATGAACCCTCTTGAGTCTTCTGCTTGAAAGTATTGACTGTTTACAGCAAGTTCTGATAAAAGCATAGTTACCTTTCCAGGCTGAGAAGATTGCTTCCCGGATGATCTACGAAGATAGAATGAGGGGATCCATTGACCAGGCACGTCGCTTCTTCTATCATATTAGCATTTTCTCTGCACATTTTGGTTTAATCATTTTTATTTTTGTTCCTAATGTGAAATTATCTCACGTTCCCTAGCTTTTCAAGATTCTGTTGGTGTTTGTGGGTCTAGTAGGATAATGGGGTAATGGGTTCTCACTCATATTTGAATAGGAGAGAAGCTGGACCTGAGCTCCTAATCTCTCCCCCCTAACCTGCGGGTGGTGGGCCCATCACGCTCGCCCTAAGCTCCACTAACATCACATTCTTTCTAAAATTAGCATCCATTTTATCCCCCATATGTTTATTCATTGCCTATATTTCCCTAAATATTATTACCCTCCTTCAGAGATGGAGGGTATACATACCGTGGATAGGCTAATAAGTAGTTTTTTTTTTTTTTTTATTGCGGGTGTTTTAGTCTGTGTATTATTTTTCAGGTTGAAGCTGTGATACATTTTGAAGATGATACGGAAGAGCTTCAGCAGTGGGATCAACAGGTAATTTCTCCCCTTCTCATAGTTACATGCTGCCCCCGAAAGCTTATTATCATCCGTAATATGTTATTGATAATCTCCTCCGAAATTTTGGGAAGAATAATATTTATTTATTTTCTTAATATCGGCTAGTTTAGATATATAAAGCATGGAGTGTTCCTTTTTTGCCCCCAATCGAATATTTGGGAATTTGAAAAGCCCTCTAGTTTTTCTTCTGTTTTACTAGGTTAGGTATTTTTTAAATATATCCATCATTTGGTTTCCTTTGCCTACAAAAATATTTAAAATTTAAAATACCCTTTGATAAATAAAGCATGGAATGTTCCTTTTTTCCCCCCAACCGAGTACCTGGGAATTTAAAAAAATCCTTTTTTTACTAGCTTAGGTATTTATTAAATATATCCATCATGTGGTTTTCTTTCCCTAAAAAAATATTTAAAATTTTAAATACCCTTTGATTTATAAAGCATAGTGTTCCTTTTTTGCCCCCAACCGAGAGGAATTTAAGAAACTCTTTTTTTACTAGCTTAGGTATTTATTAAATATATCCATCATTTGGTTTTCGTCCCCTAAAAAAAATTAAATTTTTAAATACTTTATTTATTTATTTTATGTCGCCCTGAATTTCTTAGGAGACCCTCTCCTAAAAAAGAAATCCCAATTCCGGTTCTTTTTCATAATCCTGGAGTTCTACAAGGATCCTAAACAAAATTGCCTCATTTATCTACTTATATGGATATATGTGTATATATGTATGTATGTTGGATTGGCCGGAGAAGGCTTGATCTGGTGGGCGTCAGACTGCAATTTTTCAATGTCATATTAAAATGGATTAATAATTATTCACCTTCTGGACTTCTTTCCCGATTCGGGCATAAATCAGTGTTTTTAATTTCGTTAATTTATACACGCTCTAATCAAATTCATGCCCCAGCAGATATTTGGGCTGTGCCAGGCGCTGAACGATATTCTCGACTGCATGTCTTGCAAGGGCATCTCCGTTCCCGTATAGGCGCCAATCAGCAGCACATGGAAGCCGACTGACCAGCATCTCGTCCCTTGCTTCCATTCCCTTAACTCTTCTTCTTTCTTCTCTCTATATTTTAGAGAGAGAGAAAGAGAGAGAGCTTGGAAAATAAGAATTGAGTACAATACAGGGCAGATGAGTCTTATTGAATCTGAAAGAATCTAAGGGCTTTGGAGAGTTTCACTGAGATTCTCAAGAAGAAAAATGGTGGAAGTGGGGGGCTTGAAGTCAAAAAAGTTAGAGAAACTGTGTGGCCAACAGCCTGGCAGATGGGGAATTGACTTCCTCAAAGAAGATCGAAGTTCCATGTGCTCTCAGCTACCAGCTTCGGAGTCTTCTGTTCCTCTGCCATGTCAACGGACGCTCCTATCTGGAAATAATCCCAAGATGATGCTCTTACCATTAGAAACATGCTATTAGTCAATGAACAAAAACAGCATAGAGAGAGAGAGAGAGAGAGAGAGAGAGAGAGAGAGAGAGAGAGCATATTAGGACAACTATATAGGAAGAAAAATAGGCTCCATTGTTCTAAGTCGGGCCTTCTAGAAGCCCATAATTAATATTAATAGTAAACAAAGTAGATACGTTTATTTCCGGGATAAATCTTGAGACCTAACGTTAGAAGAATATGGGTGGGATTAGACTCTTGAGGTCAAAAGGTTCCTCCTAGGCACGGGAGAACAAAAACGCAGACACATCTAGACTGAACCTACAGGGAGAAATAAACCTGTAGAGTTCTGGGTAGTGAAAGCATGCACGAATCACATTTTACCATAGTTGTGGCCAGGATTTGGTCAAACATCAATGTTTCATGCATAAAAAAATTAGAGCGCTGACTAAAGTCAGCTCTGAGGAAATCCAGCAAATAAGAAGATGCAAATCGGAACACACAGACAAACAGATACTCTACTAAGAGCCAACAAAACTCTATAGGGAGTTGTGGGCAACAGCCCTTCGGAGTAGAAGCTCCAGAATGGAGGTCAACTGGTCCCAATGCTAGAAAGAATCAAAGACAACAATGCCCAATGTTCAGAAAACTGGAGGGAAGAAGTCAACGGATTATAAGACACAGACACACAATTATGGCCCTCAAGTCTGATTATGTCAATCTGGTGTTATCTTGGCCACCTGTTGTCAGACCTCCTTCTCAACATTAAAAGAATAAATAAAGGATGACATAAATCACACACACACCGACGTGGAGAATGGGAGAAGAGCCATGAAAAAGAAGTCGTCAGATTCATGACTTTAGGCTCTTGATGGAGAATCCAAAGACTACCGTAGCATCCAACAAGTTGCTGATATCCTGTACACGATATTTGCAGGCTAAACCATATGGCCCTACAACCAAGATATGTCGATCCTTATATCCTATCACTTCATCATCACCTAATACATTACAAAAATGTATCATTTAACCTTACTTTCAACGTCACATTACCCATATGCTATATCTTCACTCCATCGATCAAAATAGTAATGGGCATAAGTCAAAGGGCCCACTCAAATCATTTTGAAGCAAAGTGGTGAGGTCTAGATTTACCTACTGACCTCTTACTTCTCCCAATATGAGTAAAAGAAGACATCGTTGACACCTCTTACTATTTGGGCCCTGATGGATTGACGCTAATACTCAGAGGAAGGTGTCTCTGGTACCATGTTGAATAACCAGCTGATAGGTTTAAATCAATCGGCATCAAGCGTTGAAAGATGAATGATAAGATTGGGAGCAACAGGATACGTGAACTGACCTTGAAAATCCCATTGACTTTGGTATCCCTGGACCATTCCAGCTTAAGGTTCTTCCTGGACGTCTCATACGAGGCTCTAACGGTGTCATCTCCCTCAAACTTCCTTGAGACTGCAAAATCCCATGCGCCCTTGGAGAAATCATAGGTCGGTTCAAACACCGTCCGTCTCAGGCTCCCGTGCGCGTAAGCGTACTTCACCCGGAAATTCCCAGTCCCGAATGCATAGTTACACGAAACCTTGTTCGCCGGGTCAAATGTCAATGTCCCATCCATGGTCGTCCTGTTCGGTGCGTGGAAGTGGATGTACGTCAGGCTCAACGGTTTCTCCAGAACCTTGACTGTGTTCATAAACTGGAATCTGAAGTCCTGAAATCCGCAACCACACAAGAAAATAACTGAACATAAGAAAGAGAGCGCGGATCGCATCCCCAACCCTAGTTTATCAACCTAGGTTGCAGGGGGATGCTGCTGTTGGAATGGAGAAGGGAGAGCACCTTGCGAGGAACATCACAGTCGAGGATGAAGGTCCCCGGCTTCTCGACGGAGAGGACGAGGCCGTTGAGGGAAGGGCCTTTGACGACCGTCGCGTCGGTCACGGAGGCTTTGAGCCTGACATCGCCGGCGTAGAAGGCGACGGTGGCGACGGCGGACCCCGCGTTCTTCTCCACGTCGTACTTCCCCTTGACGGTGGCCTTCGCCATCCTCGCCGGAGATTCTCCGCCGCCGCCGCCCCTCGCTGCTCCCTTGAGATATGGAGGCGACTAGGGGATGACAGAGGAGACCAGCTCAAGCAAAGACCCAACTACCCGGCATGGGCTGCTCCGCGGGTAACTTTCTCCCCTTCAGCAGCCACTTGGCAGCGATTGTGGGCGGAAGCTGCAAGCAGCAGTGTACCGACCTTTTGTGGCGTCAGAATCATTTAAAATTGTTAATTCTGCGGGACACCGTATTACTCCTGTCACGCGTACGTCTGTACCCTGTTTACATCTCGTACCGGTTTCCGTTATTCGTCGCCTTCAGAAAATAATTACTGGATATTCTCATCTTCCGCCGTCAGAAAATAATTGAACCATAAGGAGAGGGCTCATATGTAAATACATAAATGCGTTTAAATCACTTAATATCAGAATTTTATACATTTTTGTTTATTAAAAATGATATTTGAAAAATTAAAAAAATATTAAAGGTAAGGTGGGTAAGCAATGACTGTAAATATAGCTGGACTGAGCCTAGTAAGCCAATACTCAGTATTTCAAGCCCGTAAAGTTACTGGGTTGCTTCAATAAGGCCCAACCGCAGAGAAGTCCGAACCCATTAAAAGCCCAATAATAGCCCAATATAGGATCTCCCCTGCCCTTACGCGGGAGAGAGTGTGTGTGTGTGTGTGTGTGTGTGTGTGTGTGAGAGAGAGAGAGAGAGAGAGAAAGAGAGAGAGCAGGGGTTTGTTTCTATTTATGGGCTTGATGTGAGGCCCAATTGTGAATAAAATGGAATGGGCCGATACTGAGTGATATGATTATTGGGCGTTACTATTAGGCCGTAGTGTTGGATTAAAGTCGGTCATCAAGTTGTTGGGCTGGTTTGGTACAGTTAGCCCAGTCCAACGGTAAAGAAGAAAGAATCCACGCTATGGTGGATCCGGTTTCCCGCCAAGTTTTGGCGGGAACTTCAGCGTCCTGTTACTTTTAGATCTGAGCTAGGTCGATGCTTGTGTCATCTCTCTGTCTCTCTCTGTCTGTTTCTCTCTCTATGTCTCCGCATTGAGCTTTGGGGAAGACGTCGCAGGTAGGTCGATTCATGCTGCAAGTGGTTAGTATCGTATTTACCCTACTCGTTGTTCATGTTCAATAGCCTGTCTGAAATTTCCCCTTCGTTTCTCCGATCTAGCAGATCTGGGCTGTGTTTTGGCTTTGCGTCGTACTCCGGATTAGGGCCAGTGTTAACCGCGGCATCTTGCTTTTGCTCCAAGTTTATCTTCTTGAAATGTCGTCTCGATGGTTTTATCATTGAGGGTTACGAAATATCAGGTTATCTTTTACGTCTTCCGTTTTTGTATTTTTACTCATATTTTCTTGGTAAAGAAGTTCTTTATCGGCCTGCATGTTAATTTGGTCTACGTTGCATAAATGTGGATTCCTCCCTCTAGGTTTCTGGATGGTAATGTGTAGAACTTGTCAAATGTTAAGGGGCCTTTATGTATCAGCTTTCGTGAAGAAGGTGCATCAATTACGGAACAATACTTGGAAGAGAATGAATTCGATATTCAGTTTCTTCCTTCACTTTTCTTTTAAAGTTATAATCGGTATTCGGCACTTTAGTTTTGAAGCTAGAATAATTTTGCATCCCCATTGTTCCCGATCCTGGTTTTTTTTTAATAAAAACTAAACATTTAGTTTTGGACCATCTCCAATACCTCTTATTATTGAGGCAATCGTCACACTTCAGAACGAGAATCCCATTTGGCTCTACGATTTAAATTTGGCATAGAATGCGCTCTACGAAATGGAATGAGCGTGTTAAGGTAATTCTGTAAATAAAAAAGTTCATTATATGATGAAATAGCATGATGCCTTAATGTATCCTAAAAGCATTTTGCTTTGCGATAAAGCTTTCATCATTGAATCCAATGGGGAGTAATCTATAGAAATGGTTGCCCATTTTTGTTATTTTACGTAGGTCCATGTATTCTGCCCTGAATTCTCATCAACCAATACGAAAAGAGGTGCCATGATGTGAATGAGTCGGATTGGGAATTTGGCTCGAACGTTCAGTCTGTTAACTCTCCAATTTGCTCATCTCTTCAATTTTTGCCAATATAGTTTAGGACTTCGACGCTAACTCCCACATTAAAATATTGTGGTTACTTGAAAAGATGATTTTGCTTGCTTATCTGGTAGATTTTGAAAACCCTAATCAGTTTTCAGTGACTGAGTCACTATCAGCACATAAGGAGGTTAGTTTCACTTTGTGTTTGGTTTTTTTTTCAGATGCCCACAGTTTTGTGTACATCGATCAATTGTGTGCAATCATTTTCTTAAAGTCGGTAATTTTTTATTAAGAATTAATTTCTATACTTTAAGAGCTTGGTCTGACAGCTGATGTGGTTAAGTCTTAGAAGCATGTGGATATCAGAATTGCGGCTAATGATTTCGAACTCATTACTAAATATAAATATATGCTTCTCTTTATACAGGTCAAGTGAACATGACCCGCAACAATGTTTGTACAAGAAGGATGGCCACGGAAAATGGTCCAAATCTCGTCAATCTCGTTCGTTGTGGTTCTGTACACTCTATTCTTGCTATTAAAATGGGATCTGTGTCAAGGTTTCCTAATGTTGATCCTCATGGGAGACCAGCATTAAAATTTAAGGAATTATCGTCCATATACGACTGTGAAGGCGTTAACAAACTAAATTCAGGCACAACCGTCAAATGGCATGCTATCAGGGCTAAAGGTTCTTCAGTTGACTCTCAGGTTAAAGTTGAGGTGGCCTCACCAGAAAAAGGTGCTTGCCCTGGAAAATCAACTGAAGCTGGTGATATTCAAAGCAGTCGAAGCATCTTTCTTAAGAAAGAGGTTGATTTGGATGCCATTCATGATGGTGATGAATTAAGTCGTTTGACTTTAAGAGAATTTAAGAACAGATGCAAAAGGCAGAAAGTCATCGAATCTAATGCCTCTCTAGGGCCTAATGATCATGCTGGCCATTGCGCTGTGAGCTGTAAGGATAACTCCGACAGACCTATGAAAGTGGAGCCTGATCTTGACGAGCCCCTTATTGTTTTAAAGCAAAGGATGTACAAAGACTCGAAACCAGAAAGAAAGAGAAAGAAGAATGCACATCAGTATAATTCTGATGCTTCATCTCCAGTGCAGACAAGAAATGAAGAGGAACAACCATCCTACTTTGGTGTAGCTGAACATGCTCTTTCCACAGATTCTGCTGTGAGCTTCCATCTCATTGAAATTAAAGAGGAGGTATTGGAGACTGATTCTTATGATATTGACAATGTGGTTCCTGCTGTGAACATTTCTGCCTCGAGCTCCGTGTCAGATGCTGATTGCTTAGTAGCTCAAGGGTCTGAAGAGATCCAGCGAGATGAGCCCGAGATTGGAGAATCAGTGTCAATGAGAGGTAACATGAGTGACTGTTCCACTGATGAAGTTTTTATCCCTGAAAGTCATAATTTAGGCAAGGATGCAATGGAAATATATTCATGCATGAAAGAGATGGATTCGTCCGATAACAGAAGCCCTGAAGTAGCTTGCACTGTCAGGTCAGAGACTCTGCAGGCTGAGTCCTTTGGTGAGCATGACCCTGTTACGGTTTCTGATTGTTCTGCCTCTGATTTGCTCGCCGAATGCCATTTTCCTGACAATATGTGGGATTGCTTGAATAATGGATGTGATATGGGAGATAGACGACGACCAACGTTTGCTGACATATCCCAATATTCTTCTCTTGGTGAGGTTTCAGTCCCAGATCTCTCACTTGGCCATATCTCTCTACTGGAGAGTGCAGGAATGAATTCTGATGCAGGTAGCAGCGAATTTCCCCCTCTAACAGGCAGCCTTGGTCCTGCCTCTACAACTGAGGATCGAAGTGTGCAAGCGACCGACAGCATCGAAAATCCCATTGCCATCCAAGTGACTTCTGAGACTTCTGAGGCTTCTGGGTCAAAGGAGCACAACAGTGGTGCAGATTGTCACACAGAGGAAACATGCGGTGAAGCAGTTATCTCATTTGGTCCCTGTGCTTTCAATACACAATGGGATTTTGTTGACAGTTCTGCATACGATGTAGCTTCTGAAACTGTGACAAAAGATGATGGCGAAGCTGGCGGTGCCAGCTGTAACGTTCATGAAGATAATGTCCATGCAGAAGGCGACATTTCTGAGGGTATAAATGGCCAAGTGCTTGAAAGAGAGATGCCCACCGTTGTCCCTGAAATAGTACTCAATCTTCAACCTGGAGAGGAAACTTCTGGAGCTTCTACTCCGATGTCCTGCAGTACCAGTTGTTTGCATCCACCTGATGTTTCTCTGGACGAAACCGACAAGGAATTGACCACGAAAGAAACAGAACGATTGTGTCACCTGAGAAGCGATGAGGTCAACTCTTGCTCTCCTGTTGCCAAGGAGGATTGGGAGGCTGCGGAAAGTCAAGATTGCTTTTCTCAGGCTTCTGATCAACGGTCCACCGTGAGCAGTTTCTTGAGCGTTGACCACTCAGATCAGGGCGGTGACGTAATCTTCACCTTTGAAGACGTCAGCGAAGCATCGACTCCCGTGGCGATGGTCCTGGATGTTGGGAAAGTTAGAGACATGTCTGCTGAAATCTCTACGGCTGATGATCGAAAAACCCATCAAGAGAGCGATGAAGAACTCCATCATCAGTTAGAACATCCTCCGATAAAACTTCTGTCGAATAGAAAGGTATTATTCGCTATGCCAAAAAGAGTAATCTTCATTCTTATGGGAGCCCCTAAGCCGGCGGCTGATAGTCAACCATCATGCAGGTCCTCTCTCCAACAACTCAAGAAAAGCTGTGCCAGGCAGTGGACGCCGAGGAGCCGGTCAAACCCCCCAGTAAGTTTTCAACTGTTAGGACTCCTAATCTCTTGCGCTCCCCTTATTCTCTTCCTGACTTTTGGGTCAATATCTTGCAGAGAGCGGGAAGAGGCTCTGGTTTGAGGGAAAGTCAAACGGTTCCCCTCCTCGTGACCCGGTTCTAAGGCTCTCTGGGCTGGTGCCGAGCCCTGAAAGGATCGGAATGGCGGCTCCTGGGAAGAGACTCTGGTTTGAAAGAAGGTCAAACTGGGCCACATCCTCCGAATGGATCCACAGGGTTCCTGATACGACAACGAGCCCCGAGAGGGCGAGTAAGAGGCCGAAGAACGGCTCGGTGGTCCCCACCAAAGGCATCCTCAAATCGCCGCCCTCCTGGGCGGTCAACTCCCCCGCACAGAAGCATACTCAGGAGGCCATAACCTTCTCTCAGAGGCAGATGCAGGACATTGAATCGCTCGCTTCAAAGCTTCTCAAGGGGCTGAGGTCCATGAAGGGCATCGTGGAAGAAGCCCTGATCTCGGAAGAATCCTCCTCTGCTGCGTCTTTGAAGGACCAAACGGACAAGGTAACTTTCCATTTCAAGTAATAAATAAATAAATAAAAGAACAAAAAATGCATTTTTGCTCATCTCCGAACTTTCTATAAGAATATTTCTTCCTGGATTTCATTCATATATAGACTGATATTGATGGGGAATTTATAGTTTTTAAAAGGAGTTCTACTTGCCATGTCTGCGGATCATCTTCTCTTCTTGCACGCATTTTTTAAGCGATGGCTGTCTCTTCTCGTCTCCTTGGTTCTTGCCGTTGACTTGGACATCATATGATCTTTCGGAGAACTCATCCACCCCAGCGGGGGTCTTTCTTCCGATCAGATGAGAGCGGCCATCGACAACGCCTCAGAGCTCGAGGAGACCACCAAGAAATGGCTGTCCATGATGGGGAAGGACTGCAATCGCTTCTGCAAAATCCTGGTTAGCTCTCTCTCTCTCTCTCTCTCTCTCTCTCTCTCTCTCGCGAGCTTTCCATGATCGGGCGGCTCTTCTTTCTGACCGCAGAGGTCAACCCTCCAGAAGACCCCCAACGGGCTCCGAAAGGATCGGAAGAAGATAACCTTTGCAGATGAAGCCGGGGGCATGCTCTGCCATGTCAAGCTTTTTGAAGACATTGTATGATATCTCAGCTGCCACCTTGCCCCGTTCTTGATCCCCCAAAATGGCTCCCCGATGAGAGAGAATTGGCTGCTTCTGCCCCTGTGCTTTTGTTTACCTTCCATTTATGGAAATTTTTTACGCTGCAGAATGTGTGCAGCTGGGGTTGTTGTTCATCTACTTTTCATTGTATAACTCTTGGATCAGCCGACGTCGTATATATTTCGAAAGATTATAAAAAGCAGAGGGCAAGAGCTTGCTCGCGTTGATATCAATCGACCAGGACGTAATGGGCCTGGAAGAATGGGCCCGATAGAGCAGAAAAGGAAGGGATCCGTGATGAGCCGATGGAGTGGGCCCATTTAGCAGGTGGAGGAGGATTTTTAGTGTTGCTTACGTCAGCGTGACGATAATAGTAAATAGAAGGAGGTCCCCGCGTGTCCATCCAGCTGGCAGGGTCACGTCACTGGTGCAGAAGCGGATTTAATTAGCCCGGCAGTTGGCTGGCGTCCGCAATAGTGGTCTGGGAACCCGGTCTGGGCCGGACGGTTGGATGGGGCATGTCTCCAATAATTGACACGTGGGTTGCCAACGTGGCAAGCACTGGGGGTTTTCTGCTGCCCACGTCCCCGAATGGGATACGTGCCCTCTTCCTAACGTGGGCCCCCTGGTCACGGAGACTCCTTTTCTTCCACTCGTGAATGCGGGGCCCACATATCGATTTGACGGCTCAGATGAGTTGTCTTCCCCCGTGACCCCACCTCTTCTTTTCTCAGAAAGAAAGGAAAGAGAGAGAGAGAGTGATCACACTGGGTTTCCTCAAGGGTATTTTAGTCTTTGGCATAAAAAATTAAATAAGTAATAAAAATATTTAGTATCGAGGGTCTGCTAATTGTAAAGGTATAAAATATTAAATACTCTTCTGTTTAAAAGGTTTAATGAAATAATAAACACTTGGGGAACTAAAACTAAAAATAGTCCCTCATGCTGGCGCCATCCTCCGGGTTAAATCCTAGTTGGCGTCTCCGTTGACCGTTCACTCGACATTAAAAATCGGGGACCTTTTCAGATCACGAGAGGATCAGCTTTCTCCAACCGTTCGATGAGGAAAATTGGCGGCCGGCGTTGCGGCGGCGGCGCCGGGGAACACGGCGGCCCACACTGCGGCGAAGGCGCGGAGGACGGCGGCGTGGTGGCGTTGTGAATTGAGGGACAGGAAGCACCGTAGCAGCTGCTCCAGCTCCCCCTCGTCGTAGATCCTCTTCTCTGCCACCATCTCCATCATCGACCTCCGGAAGTCGCCGTACGGATCCTCCGACATCTTCACCACTACCGCGAAGCTCCCCGCCGTCAGTTGTCGCCGGCGTTGCGCCGGCGAGGAATCGCAGGGCTCGAAGATCGGGTTCAGAGTGGGAAGAAAATTCGAGAAACTCCGGTGAGAAGACTCCGGCGTCTCTGATCCCTCGTCGTCGTCATCTTCGCTGGTTGACTTCAGCATGTTGTCTGAGTCGATCTTGCGGCGCGGGGAGGAGTCAACGCGAGAGAGGACGTGCCAGTGATCATCTCTCTCCCAGAGGAACGCTGAGGAGGCGTCTCTCTGTTTCGAGCCATGGACGGAGAGCTCCTCGGATTCGAAGCTCTGGGATGCTTTTGACCTCGAACTGGTCTGAAGCTGGCTGACCGCCTTGCGTTTGACCTCGAACAGGTCGGCGGCGCCGCCGGTCGCCACCGCCGCGTCATCCTTTGATCGGCATGATTGGAAGGACGGGATCACCCGCGATATGCGGAGCCTGAACCTCTTCCCCATCCTTCTCTCTCTTATCTTCTCTTCTCTTCTCTTCTCTCTCCTCTCTCTCTCTCTCTCTCTCTCTCTCTCTAGAGCAGCTTCTGCTTGCTTCTTTCTTGCCGCCCTGCGGGAACAGCTTCTGCGTAGAGCATTATATAGCGACGGACGAGGATGATGTGTTTTCAGATCGTATAGATCTCACCGTTCATTTAACCAACAAAATATAGTCCAAATATGAACATAAAAAATATTTTTGTAATTTTTTGGCAGTCAAACATCGTCTATATTTTTTAAATGATTTTATGAATTTTCTTAATGGGTTCAAATTATAAGGGGTATGGGATGATTGCCCCCCAGATTTTAAGAGGGCCCATGCAACATCATCAAATTCCTTTTTTCCTATAAAAAAAAGGAGGCATTTTTAATGCGGTGGAAATTTTCAAAAAAACTTTTTTTTGAAAGTAATTCTGAAATATTGAATTTTTAATATATTTTAACAAAAGATTTTCCACTAAAGTTGATGTCTCTCAAATCAAAGTCAAGCAGAGATCGAGTACGACATTGGTGATCGTGAGATGGTCGTATGATGAGTCAAACAGGCCGTTGACTTCCAGGCTGGACGTAGATCCAACCCAAAAATGGGTCCGGTGGGTCAGACCTATTTTAACTATTTTGGGCCTGACATAGAGATCTAAGCCAAGAAGAAACGGGGCGGGCTGGGTTAGAAGGGTGGTCCTACGGACGTTGACTGCTTGTGGAAGTTCCTTAACATGAGAAGGTTCTCTATGGGTCACCAAGTGAACTTGGAGATAATTCAGTCAACAATGGAGAAGGAAAAATTCTCAGCTAGTCATTAGTCTCTCTCTCTCTTTCTCTCTCTCTCTGTCTCTCTCTATCTCTATCTCTATCTCTATCTCTCTATATCTCTCTCTAAGTGATGGATTTGTGGTCGACCATTTAAATCACCGTCTCATCAAAGACTAATCCACGGTGGTTACTCCTAATCACGCCAGATGGTCATCTTTGCACCAACAGTCAACGCTCGACCCAATGAACGAAGGTGGTGGTCAAATAGAGGGTCAGCTCGGAGATTAATAGGAGTTCACTCACTGGGCCATGTAAACGGTGAGGTTTAGGCTGGACCCAATGATTCACAATGACTAAATTATCGGTTCATTCTGAAGGAAAAAAAATGCAGGAAAACATGTCATTTAAATAATGCCAAGATTTTTAGCTCATACTGAAATCAGAAATCCTTCCACGTGCTCCTTTTGGCAGGGGGAGTTTTCCACAGATATCAGGGACAAAAATAACAAGATATCAGGAGTAACTGGCAAGATTTCGGCTGAAATCATATACCCGTAGATGAGCAAGGAACAAATATATAAATTTATTTCTTGAATACATATCGGATATTCAGAATGGAAATATAGAGTGGGAGGAGAAGTGAGGCATGAGAAGACGACCTGGGGAAGCTTTCAAAGTCAACGCCAGCTCTGGAGCATGACCGCTAAGGGAACCTGTTAACGGCGGCCAGCCAACGATGTTGTCTTTAATTCTCCCACCCCCTGGGAGTTTTTTTCAGAATTTATCTGCAGAAGAAAGAAAATAACGGCAGGAAATGATTAACTCTGTTGAGAAATATCGAATCTGCTCCGAGGATCAAGAGATCAGACTGAAAGTAGAATATTTCAGGACTGCTGGATGAATCCTTTGCTTCCAACTGGGTGAGATCAGATAATATCCTTGGTGAATGTACAGAATTTTTGGGGAATTTTGGATATGATTCCTGTTTGTGCGGACAGCAGCACGATCAAAAGGATAATGGTTGACTAGCCCCTTACCGAGATTATTACAGTACTTCCTTCCTAGATCAAAACATGACATGCAGTCTAGAATCAATAACAGGTTGAATATATTTCTGGTCAAAGGCGGCAAAGATTTTATCAGAATTCAGAGAATGGGGCATGAATTTCCATGGGAGAAACTAAATAGTAATCTTGAATTGTGAATTGAAACAGAAATTCGACAGATGAGTGTGGAGGATTCGATCCTCCATGAATAAGGAAGAAGAGCATAATTTAATGGTCAGTACTACTTAAAATGAGTCCGATTCATCATTCGAGTACCGAGATCTGGAAGCCGAGGAAACCCCTAATTGTAGATTTGAGGGAAAGGGAGGAATCGGCATATCGAGCAGACAGAGCAGATTTACGGCACACATTCAGCAGGATCCAGGGAAGAACACACAGAGAAGGGGGGGAAACGGGGTATGAGTCATAATTTACCTTGGAATGCCGGGGAGGAGGAGAGAGAACGACATCTACCATCGACATGGACATCTTGGCGATCTCGGAGACGGCAGCATCCCTTACCCCCTGGTCTTCGTTGACCATATCCTCGTAAGCCGCCTCGAAAACCTCCAGCCAGAACCGCGGCAGCTGCATCTGTCTGCTGTGGGCGTACACATCCCACATGTGCCTCACCACCTTCGTTCTTTCCTCCAGTTCCTGCTCAATCCAGATCAGGGAAGCACAATTTCAGAAACTGAGAGCAAGAATTCGGAGCAGAGAGGGAGGTAAAACGCCGAGATTGACGAACCAGGATGTCTAGATCGTCACGGGATGGGACAACTTGGTTGTCGGCGATCTGATTGAGGTTACCGGCAGACCACTTCAAGTTGACGGTGCCGGTGAACATGGACCACAGAGCGAGTAGGACAATGGCAGACAGCGCCCAGACCTTGTATTGCCCTTTCCTGAAGAGAATAGAGTCAGGGGCGCCGCCATCTCCGGCGGTAACCGACGAGGTCAACAGAGCAGATTCCTTCATCTCATCAGGTCGGTGGTTTCCGCGCGCGAATTGCTCCAGGAGATACTCAAGCAGGAAGACGATGACAGACAGGCTGTGGCTATGGCGCTCGCCACTGCCGCCGCCGCCGCCGTTGCTGCTGGAGAGAGCACAGGGAGAAGTCGCTGGAACTTCCACAAAGGTCGGTGGGTCGCCAGTTGGTAGGGATGGGGAGGAACTGGCCTCTCACCGAGTCGCCCCTAAACGACGGAGATTTTATAATAAAATAATATTTTATTAAATAAATAAGCATTAATGAACATTTAACGGAAAATAATAAATAATATAAGGATGTTTTTTTCTGCCCCATTCTTAAAAGCAGATTTCGGCTGGGCCCACAGGGCCCATGGAGGACCACGTCAGTTAAGATTTATTTTTACAAAAAGGGAATAAAGAGTTTTTATTTTATTTTTTCTTAACATATTGTTTACGTTAAGCGCCAACGGTAGGGTGCTAAGGGGGCCAGGGCGCGACACGTGGCGCTGTCGCGCTGGAGCTCTCCAACGGCTTGCCCAGGAATAGATAAAAACCGGTGGCTGGTCAGCGACAAGGCGGCGTATTTCCATGCACCCGTAAGAGAAGAGGGAGAGCCGGAGAACGTAGTGCAATGGACAACGCAGCGGCCTCTCCACTAAAAATAGAGAGACTCTGAGGAATCACAGGAAAGAGAGAGAAACAAGGTACGAAGGAGAGAGAGAGAGAGAGAGAGAAAGGGGCGTGAGGGGGAGAGAGAGGAAGGAGGAGACCGGGAAGGGCGAAGGCCAAAACTGGGACGGGACATCCCCTCCCTCGCCCTTCTCTGAGGAAGAAGCCTCCCCTTCGTAAACCAGGTATCCTTTCTCTCCCTCTGCACTCTCTCTTTCTCTCTCTGTCTCTGTCTCTGTCTGTCTGTCTGTCTCTCTCTCTCTCTCTCTCCCCTCCATTCCCATGGGTTTTCTGCACCATCTTGCCAGCCAAGGCATTAAACAGGTGTCTGGTTGAGGGATTATCCTCCGAATGGCAGCAACTTGGTACGGATTGAAAGTCCCATTTGTTCGGAGTTCCTCCACGCAGGGGTCCGAACTGATCTTCTTCTTCCCCATGATTTAATGGTCGTTTCGTTCTTCGTTTCTCCTGTGTTTTGTGAAGAAGTGGCTCTCCTTTTACAGGGAGGGCCCCTGATCAGCCGGGGAGGGTTTGGAGTCGTCTTGGGCCCGAATTACACAACCAGCGCGGAAGATGGCTTCATCCCCTGAGACGGCCCCCTCTCCTGATTCCCCCTCCCCTCCCACCTCCACCGGGGGCTCTCCTCCGCCGCAGGTCTCCCCGCCGGTGACTACCGCCGCCTCCCCGCCGCCGCAGAAGACGCCTGCGCCGCCACAGGCCCAGGCCACTCCGCCATCTCCGCCGCCTTTGACCGCCAGTCCGCCGCCGCCATCCGCCGCGTCCTCGGCCGCTCCACCGCCTACGAAATCCGCTCCACCGCCGCCTCCGGGGCCGTCTTCGTCTCCTCCTCCTCCTCCTCCTCCTCCTCCTCCGCCGCCGCCTTCAAAGACGTCCACCTCTCCATCTTCTAAGGCCCTGTCACCGCCGCCGCCGCCTCATTCTTCCAAGTCCTCGTCGTCCTCCTCCTCCTCCTCATCAAAGGAGGGCTCTTCGTCGTCGACCGAGTCAAGCTCCGGAGTCAACGCCCCTCTGGTGGCCGGGATCGCCGTCGGAGTGGTGCTCTTCCTCATCCTCGTGGCCGCCACCTTCCTCTGCTGTGTCAAGAAGAAGAAGAAGAGGACGCCCCACGACGCCATGAGCTACTTCGTTGACCCCACGCGGGAGGGCTCCAGAGCGCCTAAAGTCAACCACTACTACAACGGCGGCGGTGGGCCTGTGGACCACATGGTCAAGATCCCGCCGCCGCCAGGGGCAGGACTTAGCCCCTGGGGCCCACCGCCGCCGCCGCCGCCCGGAGGGATGATGAACAGCAGCGACATGAGTTCCGCCTACTCGGGCCCACACGGGCCCGTTCTGCCACCGCCATCGCCGAACATAGCACTGGGATTCAACAAGAGCACCTTCAGTTACGAGGAGCTGTCGGCGGCGACAAGCGGGTTCTCGCAAGTCAACCTTCTGGGTCAAGGAGGGTTTGGGCTGGTCCACAAGGGGATACTCCCCAACGGGAAGGAGATCGCGGTGAAGTCCCTCAAATCGGGGAGTGGACAGGGAGAGAGGGAGTTCCAGGCGGAGGTGGAGATCATCAGCCGAGTCCACCACCGCCACCTCGTGTCCCTCGTTGGCTACTGCATTGCGGGAGGTCAACGGATGCTGGTCTACGAGTTCGTCCCCAATAAGACCCTCGAGTTCCACCTCCACGGTAATGGTCAACGCCCCACTCCACACAATCGATCTCCACCGCAGGTCTGAGTTGGATGGCCTCATTCATACTCGCAGGAAAAGATCGCCCCACCATGGATTTCCCCACCAGACTAAAGATCGCCTTGGGAGCCGCCAAAGGCCTCGCTTACTTGCACGAAGACTGTATGTACTCTCTCTCTCTCTCTCTCTCTCTCTCTCTCTCTCTCTCTCTCTTCTCTTGAAATCCGGCTCTTCATGCTCTTTTCTCTCTCTCCCGCAAAGTCTCCGGTCCTTCGCGCTCATCTCTTTCTCTCTCTCTCCTGTGTAAGGTCACCCGAGGATCATCCACCGTGACATCAAAGCTGCGAACATCCTCCTCGACTACAAGTTCGAAGCCATGGTGAGGGCTCCTCGATGCATGAAGATTGGCGGGGAGTTTGATGACGTGGCCCTAATGGCTTCTTCCTGTGTAGGTCGCGGACTTCGGGCTGGCGAAGCTTTCCTCAGACAACTACACCCACGTCTCCACTCGCGTCATGGGAACCTTTGGGTCTCTCTCTCTCTCTCTCTCTCTCTCTCTCTCTCTCTCTCTCTCTAGATGAGTGCAGTTCGGATTATACTAGTGTATAGTACAATAATATGGATCTAGATAAATTGAATTGATTGAGCCTTCTGTACTCAGCTACCTTGCGCCGGAGTACGCGTCCAGCGGGAAGTTGACGGAAAAGTCCGACGTGTTCTCCTTTGGCGTGATGCTCCTGGAGCTGATTACCGGGCGGCGACCCGTTGACTCCTCCCACACCTTTATAGAAGACAGCCTCGTCGACTGGGTCTGTCCTTAGCCTCTCTCTCTCTCTCTCTCTCTCTCTCGCTAGATTTGGGGCTTCACCCTCTTCGTCTATCTAAACACAGGCGAGGCCGGTGTTGACCCGCGCTCTGAGCGATGGGAACTACGACGAACTGGTGGATCCCCGGCTGGAGACCGCCTACAGCCCCGTTGAGATGTCCCGCCTCATCGCATGCGCTGCCGCTAGCGTCCGCCATTCCGCCAGGAGACGCCCGAAGATGAGCCAGGTCCGAACCCTTCCCCCCCCTCTCCCTCTCTCTCTCTCTCTCCCCCGTTCTCTCTCTCTCTCTCTCTCTCTCTCTCTATCTATCTATCTTTTCCTCTCTCTTTACCTCTCTCACTCTGTGCGTGTCTCTCTCCGGAAGAGGAGGAAGACGAAGTGCTGAACAGCCTTCGCCCTCCCTCTCTCTCTCTCTCTCTCTCTCTCCCTCTCTCTCTCTCTCCCCGGAGGAGGAGGAGGAGGAGGAAGAAGAAGAAGAATAATGGGTGGTTGAGTTGACAAGTGTTCGTTTTTGAGCGGCCATGCAGATCGTTCGGGCATTAGAAGGGGACTCGTCCCTGGAGGATCTGAACGAGGGGGTGAAACCAGGGCAGAGCATGGCCTTCGGCAGCTCCAACGGCAGCTCCGACTACGACTCAACCTCCTACACCTCCAACATGCGCAAGTTCCACAGGGCCGCCCTGGCCAGCCACGACTTCGGCAGCAGCGACTACGGCGGCGCCACCAGCGATTACGGCCTCAACCCCTCCGCCTCCACCAGCAGCGGCGGCAACTCGGGCGAGATCCACGCCGGCGGCACGAGGAAGAACTTCTAACTAAAAACCACGATAACCCACCACCCACCGAACAGGAGAGACTCTCATTATATATACACACGCATGTGGGAGGGAGAGGGAGGGGAAGGGAGAGAAACTATTTGCTTCGTGTTCGTGAAGGATAAACAGGTCAATCCGTTTCGTAAGTTACTGTGGAAGAGGACGTGATTTCAATGATTCTTCATTTTTCTAAAATGGGTCGGGCTGTCTGCATTGATGCGTTTCATTCGATCTATCGCCTTGTTTGACTTTTTACCTTCTCAAGTGAGGGGTAAAGTCAACTCGTTATCTTCTGGGTCGATTCATTTGAGACGACGGATTGGAGGATACCCTTTTTTTTAGAACGACTAAGTCGTTAAAAACCACACTAAAACTGGTACGTAATTAGACTGTCATCAGGATGCTGGCAGCGGTCCGTCGTTGTTTTGACTCTTGATTTCGTGTTGTTTGACTTCTGAGTTCTTAGGTGCAGAGTAAAGTCAACACCTTATTTGGTCCAATAACGTGTTGACAACAACGGGTTGTCTTAACTTGATAAATATACCAATTTATTGATATTTTTTATTTCATATATAGATAAATCGACTTCATTCTCTCTCTCTCTCTCTCTCTCTCTCTCTCTCTCTCTCTATGACAGAAATATCAAACAATTAAGTAATAATAGTATACAAGTTTTACTCTCTGAAATCATACGCTCTCTTTCTCTCTCTAGGGTAGAAAGATAAAAAAATTAACTAATAATATCATAAAAGTTTTACTGTCTGAAATCAACTCTCTCTCTCTCTCTCTCTCTCTCTCTCTCTCTCTGGGGTAGAAATATCAAAAAATTAGCTAATAAAAGGATACAAGTTTACTATCTGAAATCATTCTCTCTCTGCCTCTAGGATAGACAGATCAAAAAATTACCTAGTAATAGTATACAAGTTTTACTGTCTGAAATCATACTCTCTCTCTCTCCTTGGGGTTGACGACGCTTCATGGATTGGTGGGGTCAGACTTGGAGCCCAAATTTGGGGTTTTTTAAGGTCCCAGGGCGGGTCCGGTTCCAGTTCAGTACAACTGGGATCGGGCCGGTCATGAGAAATCCGAGAGGGAATCGGCCCGGCCCGTTAGTGAACACCTCTGCCGTGGCAAGGAGGTTCCCTTCACCTTCGGGGTTTTAATTCTCTGCCGTCTAGTTTTAATTCCCAGTCTTCGGCAAGGAGTTCTTCAGTCCTTTTAGCGGCTCTCTGCCTCGGTTCTCCCTCCTCCCGCTCCCAGCCCCAGAGCCCCTCCGTGCGAGGGGGAGCGAGGACTGCGACATGGCTCAGCCTTTCTTGAAGAAGGACGACGATCGAGATGGCGAAGGTATGTCCGAGAGGCCTAGTTCGCTCGCCCTGGCTGTCTTATGGCACCCGATTTCTGTTTTCCTACGCCTATGTGGCCATAGTCTCTGTTTTGGAGACTTGAAGCTTGTGATGCTCATGTATTTCTGGGGTAATCCTGTTCTCTTCGTAATTATGTCACTGCTCATAGATATCGCTGCGCTTTTCGTAGAGTTAATGTCTATGAAATATGATCGGTTGATTCGTTAGCGGTGGATTTTCGATGAGTAAACTTACTAGGACAGCCTACCTCGTGGCCTTATTCATGTATTCTTCAATTCCTATTGTTACGTGTTCCTCCAACGTAGTCTCTAACCGTTTAGATTAGTGTCACTAGTTAGATTAATTTCTGCCTTGGGTACTGCCTTCTTGATTATAAAGTCACGAAATTTCTCCTTATTTCGCAGAGGAATATTCTCTATTCTTTGGAATAGAGAAGGGTGCAGTTTTACAGGAAGCTAGAGTTTTCAATGATCCTCAACTTGATCCTAGGAGATGCTCTGAGGTATTTCTTTCGCAATTACTACTCATAACTGAGCTATCTGATTTATAGAAATCATCCTGAGCTTTTCATTCCATGGGTGCAGGTCATCACGAAGCTGTTGTATTTGCTCAATCAGGGTGAAACGTTTACAAAGGTTTGGGTTTGTTTATCTGTTAATCTAAAGTTTTCCACCCTGATTCAATTTTATCTCATATTTCTACTACGGTATGTGATATCTCCTGTAGGTTGAAGCGACAGAAGTTTTTTTTTCTGTCACCAAGCTTTTTCGGTCAACGGATTCAGGGCTTAGGAGAATGGTCTATCTGATGATCAAGGAAATTTCCGCATCTGCTGATGAGGTTGGTTATAATGCATCATTGTTTCCTTTCAAATTTACTCAACTGTTGACCATTAAGATTAACATGTCAGACTCTTTCTGGAAGGTCATTATTGTCACAAGTTCATTGATGAAAGATATGAATAGCAACACGGACATGCATAGAGCAAATGCAATTCGGGTCCTCTGTAGAGTGACTGATGGACCACTCCTCACTCAAATTGAGAGATATCTCAAGCGAGCCATAGTTGACAAGAACCCTTTCGTTGCCAGTGCAGCACTTGTCAGCGGTGTCCACTTGATTCAGGTAATTTCAAGTGATTCCTTATTATACGTTGATCCGTTCATCGTAGCTTTAATTTTTTTCCTACTGGGACAGATAAATCCCGAGATTGTGAGACGATGGAGCAATGAGGTCCAAGAAACTATCCAGTCGAGGGCTGCTCTTGTGCAATTTCACGCTTTGGCTCTTCTTCACCAAGTATGGAAATTTTTCTCTTAACTTGTAAAGAAATTTGAAATTTCAACGTGGAAACATTGCCTGTGGATACCAGTGTTGCACAGATGTTCGTTTTTATGGAAGTTGAAAGATTAATTTTACTCCGTTTCTTCTTTAAATGGAATTAAGAATTTGACCGCCAAGTTATCACAATTTGCAGATACGGCAAAATGATCGATTGGCTCTTAGCAAGCTTGTTACGAGTTTGACAAGAGGAACAGTTCGTTCACCTTTAGCACAGTGCCTCCTAATTCGCTATGCGAGTCAGGTTCTTGTTTCCAACTACTTAACTGAGTCACAAGCGATAACATAATTTTATTTTGTAAGAAATGACTGCTTTTATTGGACAATATCGTTTTCTTCACAAAAGGAGGTCACGATGAAACCTATTTTTCATTTTCAGGTGATACGAGAGTCAACCACTGACAACCAAACTGGGGATCGGCTATTCCATGATTTCTTGGAGTCCTGCCTGCGCCACAAATCTGAAATGGTGATACTTGAAGCTGCAAGAGCAATAACAGAGTTGAGTGGTGTAACAAGTCGAGAATTATCTCCTGCTGTCACTGTTTTACAACTATTATTGAGTTCATCAAAGCCTGTACTTCGGTTTTCTGCTGTTCGAACTTTAAATAAGGTTGGTATTTCATTCTTTTAAGAAATCAGTTGTCACATTTTATTTTTATTTTCTAATAATCTTCATGCTTACGTAGTTCCGAAATTCAGTGTTGGTACTCACTACAGATTATAACGTGGTTGAAGTTCTGACCCTACTGTCTTGTCACTGGATTCAAGCTTAGAGAATTGTTAGAGAGATCTATTCAATGATGAATGATTTTTGAGGCTCTTATCCTGTGATATTTATTTATGTTTCCCCACAGCAGTCAGTAATTTCATCAATGCATCATACAAACAGAAGGCTCTCACCGAGCTTACATGCTCTTTAATTGTTTGCACAGAGTTTTGCGGTGCTTTTTTTGTTTAATCGTTTTCTCCTCGAGAAATAAATGTGCTTCTTTTGCTGTGCTTAAGTTCCGTTTTAGATGTTCTCACACCTTCCTTCTATGCTATGATAGAGTTTGAATAGTCACGGTTTCTGCAAAATTATGTGCTCTAAAATTCGTTCTTCATTTGATTGATGCCCTAAAAGGAGACCAAGAATACATCAGTTTTTATTTTCCTCTATATTCGATCTCTTTCATAAATAAAGAAAAATCCTGGGAGTTGCTGCCCCAAGTGGACGAATTGAAATTCTCCAATCAACGAATAAATCATTTATCTGTAGCACGTCTCATGGAAATTTTGTTTAATGCTGAACTGTATAGAGAACTGTGGATGGACAGTAAAGTCTTAATCCCGGCTCTTGATGCCTTTGATGCTGAATATTTCTTACCAGAACTACATCCTTGACGATCTGATTTATATTGACTTTTTACTTCTCGTTTCACCTTCTCCATTTTTCCCTCTGAATCATAACCATAGTTTCATCCAACGCAGCAATCACTTTTCCAAATAACTATATTCAACTCCATTACCGTTGTGTAGTCTCTGGTCTATGTAAAAGATTCTGTTTATTACCCTCAACATTTATCACACATTTATTTCATATAGGTTTTCTTGAATATAATTCGTCTTCCACGTCAAAATCTTCTGAGGAATTCCTATTTCTCTTCATGGGTCGTCCATTCGAATGAGTCAGTTTCTTGTTTTCATAACCTTTGCAGGTGGCAATAACGCATCCTTTGGCAGTCACAAATTGCAGTATAGACATGGAGAGTTTAATTTCAGATCCGAATAGGAGCATTGCGACACTGGCTATTACTACACTGCTCAAAATCGGCAACGAAGCAAGTGTCGACCGTCTGATGAAGCAAATAACAAGTTTTATGTCAGATATTGCAGATGAATTCAAGATAGTTGTTGTGGAAGCTATTCGGTCATTGTGCTTGAAGTTTCCGCAGAAATGTCGCTCACTGTATGTCAGATTTTGCCTTTTTGGGTTAAACTACTTTCGTATTTTGGTTGACCTTTTTCGTCTGCGATCATTTCTCAGGATGAACTTCTTGAGCAGCATTCTCAGAGAAGAGGGAGGTTTTGAGTATAAAAAAGTGATCGTTGACTCGATCTTTATCCTCATCCGGGACATACCTGATGCCAAAGAAACTGGGCTGTTTCATCTCTGTGAATTTATCGAAGATTGCGAATTTACGTATCTTTCTACGCAGGTATTACTCACCTAAAGCAACTATTAACCTCTTTCCTATTTTCTTAAGCGAACTGACGGGTAAAGAAATCAGCAGAGATATGATCTTGATACTAATTATGCTTTAATTGTCGTTATTTACTATCTATCTTGTTGTCTAGGTTTCTTAGATATGATCTTATAACATTCCTATCTCGTTGTCACCGTGTTACTTACTGTACAGATTCTTCACTTTCTTGGAAATGAAGGACTCAAGACACCTGACCCAGGCAAGTTCATAAGGCATATCAATAATCGCGTCATACTTGAGAATGCAACAGTTCGCGCTGCTGCAGTCAGCACATTGGCCAAGTTCGGGGCGATGATCGATTCACTGAAGGTACCTGAGAACCCAAGTTTTTTTTTATAATAATTTTATTTTTCTTACCCAGATGCTTGGAAATTTCCATGAACTGATCTTCTCTCGCAGCCTCGCATACTAGTGCTCTTGAGACGTTGCCTTCATGACATTGATGACGAGGTAAAATACTGTCATTTTTGTGCTTTCTAGCTTCTATTTTGTTCACAGCTTGCTATGGAAACCATAGGGAATGAATGCTCTTTCGTAAACATATCACCAACTGTGAATAAATCCGAGGATTTTCAACTGTATATTTTCTTCATTACTGTGAAGAAAAAAAAACCTTATTTATTATTTATTTCAGGATCATCAGTTTTTCTCGCTTGTTCTTGTACTCATAGGTCCGTGATCGGGCAACTCTGTATCTGGGCACTCTCGGAGGAGAAGAACCCACAGCAAAGACCGACCAAGATGCTAAAGAATTTCTGTTTGGCCCCCTCGACATTCCACTTCCTAATTTAGAAACTAGTCTCTTGAGCTATGTGAGTACGATCTGAACCATATACTCTGTCGATCTCATACATCCTCTAGAAGCCATCAATGTCTCAATACCCTGATTCAGGAGCCCTCTGAGGAGCCCTTTGATGTTGCTTCCGTGCCCAAAGAGGCCCAGTTCCAGCCCCCCGTGGAGAAGAAGGTAGTGGGGGGTAAGACGGCGGCCGGTCTGGCCTCGGCCGTTGACTCCTACCAGACGCTGCTCTCCGCCATTCCCGAGTTCTCATTGTTTGGGAAGGTCTTCAAGGTTCGTCCTCCACACGTTCCTTCTTCCGCCGTGGAATCGAATCCCATGTGGGTTTGCTTGTTCTTGCAGTCGTCGGCCGCCGTGGAGCTGACCGAGCCCGAGACCGAGTACTCCGTCAACGCCGTCAAGCACGTCTACGACGGGCACGTCGTGATCCAGTACAACTGCACGAACACGATTCCGGAGCAGCTGCTGGAAAATGTAACGGCGAGGCAGCTCAGTTCACCTTCTTCATTCCCCTTACAATCCTTTTCCTTTCTAATCTTAGTTGGGTGATTCAGGTTACTATATTTGTCGATGCATCCGAAGCCGAGGAGTTCTCGGAAGTCGCGTCGAAGCCCCTCCGGTTCTTACCGTACAATTCCCCCGGACAGACATTCGTGGCCTTTGAGAAGCCGGCAGGCGCCGCTACTGTGGGGAAGTTCTCGAACCTGATGAAGTTCTTCGTTAAAGAGGTGCGTACCTCAATGAGAGGGACTAGAGAGAGATTATGGAAAGAGAGAGAGAGAGAGAGAGAGAGAGAGAGAGAGATAGAGAGAGAGAGAGAGAGAGAGAGAGAGAGAGAGAGAGCATCCTACTTATGGCATTTAACCATGTGGGGGTATCTTCTTCAGGTGGATCCATCGACAGGGGAAGCGGAGGAGGAGGGAGCAGAGGACGAGTACCAGCTGGAGGACGTGGAGGTGTCAGCGGCAGACTACATGCTGAAGGTTGGTGTCTCCAATTTCAGGAACGCCTGGGAGAGTCTCGGCCCCGACAATGAGCGTGTTGATGAGTATGGGCTCGGGGCGAGGGAGACCCTGGCAGAAGCTGTCGCCGCCGTCATTTCCATCCTTGGCATGCAGCCCTGCGAGGTTAGCCTCTCTCTCTAGATCATCCCCACATTACTTCTCTGAAGAAAACTTGTGTTCTTGCCAGATTCTTAGGTTAGATGGATGGGTTCAAGAAGAATCTTATTCTTGTAAAGTGAAAATCTCGCTAGATATCTGATGGACTGATCATCGTCTTCTTTGTGGGTCAGGGGACGGAAGTCGTTCCGGCCAATTCGAGGTCGCACACGAGCCTCCTGTCCGGGGTGTTCATCGGCGGCGCCAGAGTTCTGGTCAGACTCTCCTTCGGGATCGAGGGGTCAAAGCAGGTGGCCATGAAGCTCGCCGTCAGGTCCGATGATCTTTCGGTAAGCGATGCGATCCACGACATCGTCGCCAACGGCTGATTCCTCTTCACTGGTCAACTCCCTCCTTCGAGGTCAACCTTATTACTTGATTTTGCTATGTACATATATATATACGCATACAACAACATATACACATATGTATAGATATATGTAGAGAGAGAGAGAGAGAGAGAGAGAGAGAGAGAGAGAGAGAGAGAGAGAGAGAGAGGCTCGGTAAAGCTTCCTATGTATTAGATCCTACCTGGTTATTGTAGAGCTACTACTATATACACAAAAATTATCAATTTTTGCTACTATGTCAGTTTTTATATATATATATATATAGTGATAAAAGGAATTATCAACACCCAATTCTGGGCTTAACAATTAGCCCAAAAATCTTATTTTTCCTGTTGTTGGATACTAAAACGAGGAATTTTATGTAAAATTATGGGGAAGTTTTTGAAATTTCAAAAATAAGTAATTAATTTAGAATGGTTAATTGGAGTGTGAGAAATTATGGTATCCTAATTTTCATGCCTATTTTTGTGATTTTATGAAATAAAAAATTAGGGTAAAATTTCCTAATGATGATGGCTAGAATATAATTATGTTGGATGCTTGAGCACAGAAAAAGGTTATGTATGCAAATATTTATGTTGATAGGGATATGTGACAAGTGAAATATAAATAGTAAGGGAATTGATAGAGATCAACTTTTTCAATAAATAGATGTGGCTTGGTGTGTATGTACGCAATATAATTATGTACTAAAGGGTTTTTGACAAATATGTATGAATAAATAAGACCATCCTCTCTCTCCGCCGCGCCAGACCTCTAGAGCTCCGATACGAAGACGACCTCCGTCCTTTTTAGGGTTTACGTCCAGTTTTCTTGCTGGTGGGAGAAGAGGTGTATAGATCGAGGGTTTGTGGCTGAGGAGGGAGAGGCGGTCGGTCTCTCAAGATGGGAGACTTCAACGATGCCTTCATGCGCAATAGGGATACTAACGTGCAGGCGCGGACCAAGGCGCAGAACAGAGCCACAGTCTTGCAGCTCAAGCTGGTAAGCGAGGATATTCTCTGTCAGCCCTCCCTTGTTACGGCATCGGGGGATATCTCATTTGAAAGTATGATCCACGCGCAGCACTTCAGATCATAGCCTCTTTTGCTTTCGGTTATGATTGATTCGTTCGCTTAAGGCATTCATCTTCGTGTTAGAATTGAGAATTTCGTGATTCGATGCTTAGACCAACTTGATTTGCTTCATCTACGTTGTTATAAAAGTTGTGCTCTTCGTGTACGATTCAGATATTGACACATTCTTTTTCAACAGATATTGTATTATCGAATTTCGTCCTATGTTTTGTTTTACGCCATTTGTGTGAGACGTTGTTTGTATTCCTCTGGTCTGCTTCTTCTTTCTGGATTAAGAAGCCACACGGTCGCAAGGATCTAGTTACATGTAGTGATCACGAAATCCGTTCTCTTCTACTCAGATTGGGCAGAGTCATCCTACGGGTCTCACAGCAAACCTTCTGAAGCTATTTGAGCCCCGTCCTCAGTTGGATTATAAGCCTCCACTCGAGAAAAGGAAATGCCCTTCTTACACAGGTAAGGAATTTGAGGATTTGCTTCTGAATTGTTGTAACACGATGGGACTAAACTTATGTGTCTACAGGTATTGGACAATTTGTATCACAGTTTGCTGAGCCAGGGGATTCTGAATATGCTCCGCCTGTCCAGAAAGGGGAAACAGCGGTAAGATTTTCAGCATCTATATTGGCGCCGGTTACATTTCTAATTTCCCTTGAGAATTTAGTTCTGTGCCCGTTGGGATTCGATTTGGCTTTTCATTCCTGCTTGTTGTTGGAGTCTGCCATTGTATGCCTTGAGCTCCGAAACGATTTTTTCAATTATCGCATTGAAAATTAGAGAAAATGTGGGAACATGGGTGTTTCGTGCCTGATATGACCAAAGTAAGAAAGCGCATCATTCTGTGATCCTGTATGGTCTTTAGATGAAACTAATGGGTGCCAATGTTTTGGAGGTTTGGGATGTTAAATGACGTTTGCGGTTCTTTAGTACGTGCTATTACCATGTCCCTGAAGGTGCTAACTTCCACGAATCTTTTCCGTGGATCGTTCCAATTTTTTTGTTTGCTCTGATTCTTCCCTTCAATTCTAATGGTAAAATATTGAAATTATTTTAGTGTATTCGTCAGAATATATTCCCCTGAGGCTTCTTGAACATTCTATTATTCTTTAACAGTAAGTTTTGATGATTTAATACTTGAATTTTATTTATTGCTGGTTTCATGGTGGCAAATTAATATCCATCGATGGATTTGGATTATCTATTATGATTTAATTTAGGATTGTTAATTAATGAAACAAGAAACATATTTGTTGGCAGGTTGCAGCCAATGTTATTGCTCCAGTAATGCTTACTTTTGATAATTTTGTGTTGCATAAAAATGCTGATCTTACGGAGTTAGCTATCTGATTTGTTCTCAATGTCTGTGCCTTGTTGTTCATGCGCTTTTTTTCATGAAATAGGCGGAGAGGAGGGCTAGAATCCATGCACTTCGACTGGAGAATGGCGCAGCAAAGGCTGCTGAAGAACTTCAGAAATGTAACTATGCATTCTCCCAAAAAACAAAACTGAACGAAATATGTATATAACATAGATTTTATTTTGCAAACGGTGAATTATTTTTTTGATGTTTCGATTTCGTTTCTACAGATGACCCGTCCAAAGATCCCAATGTGACTGGAGATCCATACAAGACATTATTCGTGGCGAGACTGGTCAGTTTTTCCAGTCCTCTTTCAATGTGTCTTTTCTTTCCTTTTCGCTGTTACAAATTTATGTTGTACTGGGGATTCACTATCTTTTCTTTCAACTTGCGCAGAACTATGAGACAACTGAGCACAGGCTCAAAAGAGAGTTTGAGTCGTATGGACCAATTAAACGGGTAAGTGTTTCGTTATGTATTCACCGAGAGGTTATTATTGTTCTTGAATTAGGTAAGCTTTTTAATGTAAAAAAATATTTCCTAATAATGGAAAAAAAATAAAAAAGGCCAACCGTACTTGTTTGGTTTTCTTTAGGCTTACTTTTTCTAGATATGCAAATAAAACACAAATCATGGCTTAAAGCTGATCCATAGAAATGGCCAAGAAAAATATGTTTCTATTTGTAATTAAATGACGACAAGTATATATAGGGTATAATTTAGTTTGTTGCATTTTTTGGAAACCTTGATTATAACAATAAGTTATCGGTCGTATTTACTTTCACTTGTTGCTGGTTTGTAATGATATGAGAATTCGACGTTATTAGTAAATCTACCATAAAATTTGTGACTAACCTTCTTTCTGTTGGAATGCAAATGGCCGAGGGGAAATCGCTCCGTAGTAATGTCAATGATTTGATCTGTGAATCTGAAAATCACATTAGCGGGATTAAGTTAGTTAGACGATCTCTTTACTGTTATCTGTGAGTCAGTGTTGTTTTGAGCGTGGACGTGGATAAAGTATTGATAAAAAATATACATGCCTGGCAATGCAGATCTGCAAAATAAGCACGATAACACGAGGGTACACGCAAGTGCTTATACATACACTAATGTGTTATGCATTTTGCACGCGTTAGCAACGAATAAATAAATTAAACTTTGTTCCAAAAATGAAGAAGTTCGCGGTTAATGTTTAAAAGTAGTTCAAATCATTCACTTTTTTAGTCTCAATCATGTTTAAGGAGATTGATGCTGTTTGTAATATGATAACATGTATACTGTTTTCATAAACTTTAGATCAAATGTTGGCTCACTACAGAGTTCTAAGCATGTTATGCTTGAAAAACCTAATAAGAGGTTTTGCTACACTCTGGCGCCACAAGGAGCAAGTGTCAACATAACTAATTAAAAATGGCCGAAACACGAAAATTTAAGCCACAAAGCGCTAACTTTGTTTCGGATTCTTGTGAACTTGGTCATTTTCTATTTGGGTTCACGTAAAAGACAACAGATTCTCATGGTGTGATAACTTGCTCTGTGCTTGCCCCTAGAGGTGAAACCAACGTCTGTGTGCACCTTGCCCCATGATCTTTTTCATCAGATTAGGGAGTATGGGTTGGGAAGAGGATAGAGAATGCTTCGAATTACCCTTCTTTTGAGGATCTCTCCCACAAGTTTGTTTTTTTTTTTTTTCTTTTTTGCGATTTCAGGACGGGCCCATTCCCTTTCCAAAACTTTCCTAGTTCCTCACTTTTTTTTTTCCCCCTTGCCCCAACATCCATTATTAGGCATTGTGAATGGTATTTCTGAGTAAATACGAGTAGGAAACGGCAACAGGTATACTTATGCACATTCACCGGTTCACTTGTTTCCTCCGTGTTTCATCAACTTGTCTTGTTCTCGAGGGCATCTAATTTCTTTGAGACGCACACAAAACACACTCAATACAACCACTACTCTTGTTCTGTATTCGGCATTGGAAGTTGGAACAACTTTCCAGGTAAGAGGATTGCTAAATACAAGTGGGGAGTGATCAGGTATTTTCCTTTTCGGCAAAATTTGGCAGCGTCTTTGTTGCTTTCCCTTCTTTGAGCTGTCGCTACCTTTCCATGGATGGCCTTGATAGTCATCTAGAGATCCAGAAGGCACCCTAAATGCCATTTGGTGCATAGCCTCCGGTAAGCTGGCATTCCTGTTCTCCGTCTCTTGTGGTTCTTGGAAGGTTGTGCACCGGTGAGGGTAATGTCCAGGTATATATATATATATTAATACATATTGGCCGCAGGTTTGTGCTCCTGTTTTTAATAAAGAGTCCTTATAAATCGTCCTGCCATGAGCTCTGTAGAGTGTGATCTAATCTCTTCCAGATAAGAAATGAAACGAAAGCATACGACTTTGATGAATTTCCTGGTGGGCCACTCCCTGAGTTGACTTTTGAATATATTACGTTCATGTTCGTACTAATACTTTTGATCTAGATCCGGAAGATTTGCTGGTATTTTCACCTTTTCTCCTGCTCTGGTCCTCGTAAATATGCTTTTAAGAAAGATTGCCCGGTAAGAGGATGGAGAGGAAGGTATATCAGATCTGGATTTAATTAATTCCTCTTTTAAAGAGTTCTGGTTCCCTGGTAAGGGGATGTGATGGTCATCCATACCATATCTGGTTCCATCTCCAATGGTGGTGATCCATCCCGCGTGGGGCGAAGCTCTACACCTTGGAAGGTGAGCACGGCCTCTCTGCCGTGCCGATCTAGGGTTTACTTCCTTGAATGGCCTCCCGCCAAAAATCCCCCCATTCTTCGAGATTATTGATATTATTTCTTCCCTGAGGCTCATTTTCTCCCCCTCTCTCTCCCTCTCTATGTGCTTCTTTATACAGCTATTTTTGGTTTATTTTCCTATAATTTGGGTATTTTCAGGTCCGGCTGATTACCGACAGAGAGACTAACAAGCCCAGAGGCTATGCCTTTATCGAGTACATGCACACCCGGGACATGAAGAGTATGCTTTCTCTCTCTACAGATCTCGCCCTTTTTCTTCAGTCGTGTCTCATTAATGGCGAGAATCCCATTGATCCCCACGCTGTGTGCAGATGCTTATAAGCAGGCCGATGGGAGAAAGATCGACAGCAAGAGGGTACTCGTCGACGTTGAACGAGGCCGGACGGTTGCCAATTGGAGGCCTCGAAGGCTCGGCGGCGGCCTCGGGTCAACCCGGGTCGGAGGGGAGGAAGTCAACCTCAAGGGTTCCGGCCGGTGAGATTTTCTGTTCTTGAAATCGGTCAAACGCTCGATCAGATGCTGGATCGATCGTGTTTCCTTAAATCGGTTGTCTTTTTCTTGCTCCTCAGAGACCCTCAGCAGGCGGCGTCTGGTCAACGACCCGAGGAGCCCAGGGCCCGCGAGGATCGTCACGTGGATCGGTCGGTGCCCTTCTCTCTCTCTCTCTCTCTCTCATCGTCGTCTCCATCGATAGATTTTTCCTTCTTGTTGCAGGGAAAGAGAGAAGTCCCGGGAGAGGGGGAGGGAGAGAGACAGGGAGAGGGAAAAGTCCCACGAACGGTCCCGCGACCGGGAAGTGAGAGACGACCGCCACCACCACCACCGCGACCGGGATCGCGACCGCGACCGTAACAGAGACAGAGACAGAGACAGGGAGAGGGAGAGGCGCGATCGCGGTGGCGGCGGAGGACGAGAGCGCGGCGGCGGCGGCGGCGGCGGCGGAGACCGTAACAGGGAGAGAGACCGGGAGAGGGAGAGAGACTACGACCGCAGCCACAGCCGAGGAAGAGACGCCGGTGAGAAGGAGGCGCCACCGGACTACGACCCCGAGCAGGGCCGCGACTGGTACGGCGGCCGCGGCTCCAGCGGCGGCCACTACGGCGGCTACTACGACAACGCGCCGCCGCCGTCATACGAGCAGGCGGATCGCAAGGACCACCATCGCGGGTACGAGCAGGGCGAGCACGACGACTACCGGGGCGCCACCGCCTCCCGTGAGAAGGAGAGGGCGGAGAGGTCCCACTCGGGTGAGTACGAGTACTGATCATCGCCGCCTCCTCTCCGGTAAGTGCCCGTTGACCGATCGCCTCTTCTGTGGTGTCTGCCCCTCCTCGTTCCAAGGCGTTGACTCTCTTTCTGTCGCCATTTTTAGCTGCGTTTACGCAGGAGGCATCCTGGCTCGTCGGTGGTTGTGGGGGAATCTGTGTTCTCGTTTGCTTATCTTGAGTGAGTGAATGTACTTGAGTTGGAATGGAACGACGCTACTCGCTCTCTCTTCCTCTCTCTTCCTCTCTCTTTCTCTCTCTGTGTTTGGGTTTTTCTTTTTAACTCTCTGCCTCAAGGGACTAACTTGTATGGTTGGGCATGTCCGCCTGGCTCTTTCTTCTCCGATAACGCCACCGTCGTCTCTCCCTGTAGCAAGTTGTCGTCAAAAAGAGAGAGAGAGAGAGAGAGAGAGAGAGAGAGAGAGAGAGAGAAGCCTCTTCTTCAACGAACGAAGTCATCAGAGTTAAGGGAAAAGGAGAGATGTAGACGCCGGAGATGCCACGCCGCTCGATGGGGACGGTGTTGTCAGTAAGTGCGAATAGTGGCGTTTTCGTAGATATTCGATTTAGACAGGTCAACGGTCTTTTATTTGGAGTTCTTCTAGCCCCGTGGCTTTTGGGAGATAATGACATAAGTACCCTTGAGGCAATGTACAAATGAATAGGTGAAGAAGAGCCAGCCTGGTGATGCGGACGTCCGTCCCATGCAGAGCAACGTGAAAATGGCAGTAGATGTGGTGATGGGAGCTTCCCCCAGCTACTCGCCCTCTTCCCCAACGTGGTGGCGGAGGTGGTCGTGGTCGTGGTCGTGGTCGTCCTCCTCACCCTAACTCTGCACGGAAACCCTAATCCCTTCCGCATCTTCGAACCCCACAGTGATCACGTTGATCGTGTCGGGCCGGGTAGATTTCTCTTTACCAGAAGCTTCCCCCACCCCTTCGCCGTCCTCCCCTGGAGAGGTAACTCAGGCCAGGCTTCCCCCTGGCGGTACTGCCCTCTCTCTCTCTCTCTCTCTCTCTATCTCTCTCTAAAGAGCCCCCCCTTTCGAGGAAATCAGGAGAAACATAAACCGGGTGCAGTACCCGGGGGAGGGGGGGGGAGCTATAAGCGATCACGGGTGGCCTCGGATTTATCCTCCTTTGGATGCTCAGTGCCAGAAACAGCGGATCTCTGAGTTAGAGAGAGAGAGAGGGAGAACCCACTAGCTGGGTTTTGGAGGAAGAACCAGCGTGGTGGCATCGGCAGCCTTCTCCCGCTGACTTCTGTCTTTCCATTTCTCTTCATCATGATTCGACCGCAGCGGCGTCTGACGGCGGTGCTTCTCATCTGCTGCGCTCTGTTCGTCATGGGTGAGGCATTTGTCGCCGAGAGGCCTCTCAGGTCCGCCATGGAAGACGAGGAGGGGCCCTTCGCCCTCAGCAGCTACGTGAGGTCCCTCCTCAACGCCTACCGACACGTCTGGCCGGTGCGCCGCTTATTTCCTTCCCTCTCCAGATTTGATTTCTTCCCGCTTCTTCCTCCCGAGGGGGATTCCAAATTTCCTTCTTCTGGCAGGACATGGAGTTCGGGTGGAAGCTGGTGGTGGGTTCTCTGATAGGTTTCATCGGCGCCGGCCTGGGCAGTGTCGGCGGCGTTGGCGGTGGCGGCATCTTCGTCCCCATGTTCACCTTGGTCATCGGCTTCGACCCCAAGTCCTCCACCGCACTCTCCAAATGTATCTCTCTCTCTCTCAGTACCCTTCCTGCAAGCGATTATTCTTCTCCAAATACCTTCCTGTGAAGCGCCATTTGTTCTCCTCGCAGCCGTCTGCCTTGTCATGCAGTCGTCTTTTGATCACTCTCTCTCTCTCTCTCTCTCTCTAGAGCAGGGTTACTGAAAGCGTTTATTCTTCTCCAAATTCCTACCTGCTCCAGGCATGATAATGGGGGCCGCGTCGTCGACGGTGTACTACAACCTGAAGATGAGGCACCCGACGCTGAACATGCCGGTGATAGACTACGACCTCGCGCTGCTCTTCCAGCCCATGCTCATGCTGGGCATCAGCGTCGGCGTCACCTTCAACGTCATCTTCCCCGACTGGGTCGTCACCATCCTCCTCATCGTCCTCTTCCTCGGTACCCATCTCCAACTATGAGAAAGAAAGAGAGAGCGAGAGAGATGGCGATGCTATTCATAGTAAACTTTGTTTAAAACTGAAGTGGATGATGGTGATTCCAGGTACCTCCACCAGGGCGTTCATCAAGGGGGTGGAGACCTGGAGGAAGGAGACGGTCATGAAGAAGGTAATAGACCCAGCCAATTCTCTGGCCCTCTAAACTCCTGCACAGGGCTGCTCTGATAATCTATGTACTGTTTCAGGAGGCAGCTCAGCTCCTGGAAACATCTCACCAAAATGGTAACCCCGCTAGATCCCTCCCAGCTAAAAAAAGAAAGCTTTGATTCCATCAGTTTCTTCATGAAACCGCCTAAAAAGGGTAACGATGCGCAAAAGAGACAGCTAACTGTGTGTATTGTGTTCCAGACAGCTCCGCGGTGGCTTACAGACCTCTCCCAGGTGGCCCTGCTGCCGCCGCAAACATCCAGATGGGGCCCTCTGAAGATGCAGAGGTTTCAGTTAACTGATTAAATAAATAATTTATTCATCCCAAAATCATGCTCTTTATTCTAAAATTAGGACGAATATTAGAAAGAGTGATGACATCAACTTGATGCCCTCCCAGGCAGCAGCCGCCATGGTCTGTGCTCCTCGTAAAGACTATCTGCTGCTTCTCTTTGTGTGGGTGGCATTCCTCGCTGTGCAGATAATTAAGGTGATAATTGACGGTTTTCTTCCTCCTGGTGCTGCTAAATTGAAGAATTATGACGTAATAATGTACCTCAAATACCTGCGCAGACTTTTGCAAGGACCTGCTCCTTAGAGTACTGGATTCTAAACGCATTGCAGGTAAGATCTAAGGCTGAAATCTTCCTACCCATGTCTACCACCTTCAGTAAGACCTCATACGGTCAGCTTATGGTCAACTTATGACATATTCTATAATAAATAAAGTCTATCTCTAGACGAGCTTTGGAAGCATTCTAACTGATCTCTGCTCTCCTGAAGCTGCCAATTGCTGCTTCTGTGACTCTTTATGAGGCCGCTAGCTTGTACAGTGGAAGAAGGGTTATCTTGTCAAGGGGAAAGCAGGACATGAAGTGGAAAATCCACCAGCTTTTTCTGTACTGCTGCTGCGGAATATTAGCTGGAATTGTCGGAGGTCTACTTGGTCTAGGAGGAGGATTCATATTGGGACCTCTTTTTCTCGAACTCGGAGTTCCTCCTCAGGTTCGTTCCTCTTGACTGACCAAAGAATCTGCCCACGACTTGTACGAGTTATGGTACTTGGACTGCAAATATCATGCAAATAACTAAAATTGACGTATAATATTCCGCTTAGTCGAAATGATACTGGTTAGTCGAAATGATCCAAGATCCCTAATCTGATCTCCTCTCTTCCAAGATAAATAATTTCTGATTTTCTACATCTAAATTGGAAAGGGTCTGACAAGTTTGTTTACCAAAGTTTGATGCTATATCAGATCTTATACATGTATATGAATCTCTGGTGCAATGCCTGAAGACAGTGGCTGATCAGCTCAAGCTATGCATTTTCAGGTTGCAAGCGCAACTTCAACCTTTGCAATGGCGTTCTCGTCATCCATGTCTGTCATACAGTATTATATATTGGGCCGTTTCCCTGTTCCATATGGTAAATTTCAGAACATCCTTGTTATCATCGAACTATTTATTTCAGAACAAATATTCAACTATTTATTTTTGTTTCAGCGGTGTACTTTATAATTCTGGCAACTATTGCTGCTTTCACCGGTCAGCATGTAGTGAGAAGATTAATCATGCTGCTGGGCCGAGCATCACTGATAATCTTCATCTTGGCGTTGACAATCTTCGTGAGTGCAATCAGCTTGGGTAAGCGTTGACCATGTTCCTAATATAGTATTTAATGCATATTTCCGTGCTTGATGAGTCATTGTCTGCTGCAGGTGGTGTGGGCATTGCAAACATGATTAAAAAGCTGGAGACCAAAGATTACATGGGTTTTGAGAGCCTATGTTACCGCTAGTGGCCTTTTTCTCATGTCAAACACATCTGATTTGTAACATTCAAAATGGAGATAAAACCTTCTGTTGTTGAAAATATGAGCGACAAAGTGAAGAAAAATTGATGTGACCAGCAGTCTGTTCCTCACCAAAAGGAGAGCTTTTTCTTCCCATGTATTAGCCGATCACCAGGGGAGATTAATGAAAGAAAAATGCTTTGAAAAACACTGAAAATCACAAACCTTCTTGAAGTCTTAAAAGTTTCTTCATTGTTTCTTGGATGGCCACTGTGTCCGAGTGCTCACAGCCATAAATTACCTCTTTGATGTTGAGCGCTGACCTGAAAAGGCGTTCTGCAGTGTCATAACAGCCGCCACTGAGCATCATCTCAGCCCTTGTTTCAAGGATGGTCGCACGTAACAGAGAAAATTCCTTGTAGCTGCACTGATCAAACTGAAATGCTGAACGATTTTTGTATGGGATCCCAAATAATTGTTTCTCATGAACATTATTCTCCTGCAACGTGTACGAAATTTCCGAGTTCTTCAGCAATTCCTCACACGCAAACAGAAGCTCAGAGGCAGCTTCACACCGACGAAAGCTTTTGAATGTGTCCAGGGCTAGAGGAAGAACAAATTTACTGATGAACGCTAGCAACTCTGAAACCCTCAGTCTGACGATCGGCGGACTGGTACCCAATCTGAACAATAGGAAGGATGCTGCCCATACGTGCTCTGGGTGAAGATGTGGAGAACCCTTGTGAAAAATTGCACGAACCATTGCATTAGCAACCCAAAATTTTCCTCTTTTCCTGGCGTATTCCTTGATAATGTCATGAAAATGAATGCAGCCTATTTTGGCGCTGCACTTTGCTATTCTAAGCCTCACTAATCTACTCGATGCTTCGACTCCTGGTTTCTTGGAGTGTGATATCTTGTGCATGCATGCGACCATATGTCGAAACTTCTTCAAAAATTGCACACAATGATTGTCTTGAATGATCTCAGAAGCAGCCGTAAATAGTAGATTGACCGGAATTGGTGAGGGAGCAAACCAACCACATGCAAGTACCATCCTCGATGCGAAATTCTGATGATTATCAGCAAGATCAAAAACTAGAGAGCAGATACTTAAAAGCTGGACGATTGAAGGGTATTTCTTGAGCACCGACTGCTCCCCATCATTCCATGTAAGATCTTCGTGGGGCATTCTCTCAATTGCACTGAGAAGTTTTCTTGGGCTGATGGGAACTTCGGATAATAATGCACCAAAGATTGCAAGTCCCAGTGGCAATCTACCAAGTTTTTCTTCAGCAACGTCAAGAGCATGAGAGTCCTCTGGAGGAAGGTCCCCAGAATGTCCCTTGATCAGCGCAATTGCTTCTGAATGAGATAAAAACGAGATCTTGAGGGGTTTGAGGTTCATCACCGAAGACATCTGAGTGGAGATGAGGACATGAGTTTGCCCACCAAGACAAGGAAGAATCTCCATTACATTCCTTCCATCCCACCAGTCTTTGCCACTTTCTAAGTTGTCAATCACAAGGAGGAAGGGGATATCTCTCATGAGCTCCTTGCGCACCCTTCTGATTGTTTGCCCTTCAACCTCCTTAAAACTAATCGGGCCATTACTCTTGAGAAAAGTTTCCTTCTCACTGCTCAGATTGACACCCAGAGCTGGAAGTAGATTCAGATAGTTCATACGGATGTATCTTGCTTCACCACCGAGCCAAAGCACCATCTTGTACCTCTGAGAGAACCTGTATGCGAATTCCAAGAGAAGTTCAGTCTTGCCAATGCCCGACTCACCGCAGACACAAGCAATGCCCTTCCCATACAGGTCCCTCGCAGAAAATCCACTTCCTGTGTGACAACTTTTTTTCACATGCATGCCGAGCCCGTCTCGCCTCTCCTCAACCCAACAGCGTTCCCTTCTGATCTCTCTTTGAGATTCCTGATACTTTCCTTTGTGATCCAGCTCCATGCTAGCACCATTACTGGTCGTCAAACCTCTTCCAAACCTTGTAACTCCAACGTTCAGACAATCTTCCTCTTCTTCTTCTGTATGGCCAAACAAAATCAGCTCAAGCTGATGAAGCTCCTGGTTTCTACCGACAAAATGGTGGTTTCGGGGAAATGGATACTCCATGATTGCTGCCGATTCCTTCAACCTCGACACTTTCTCCACGATGCCCTTCCTTCCCAATCTTCTCCCTACAAGAACAACGGAACCCAATATGCAATCCCTGAAGTTACTTTCGCAAGTCTCCAGCTTGCAGTCCAGACAAGAGAGCTTATTCACAGCGTGCCTCCATTCCTTCTCTAATCCTCCATATGCCTCCCATAGAAAACCCCCATGCTTCCTCCACAATTCCCCCTTCTTCTCGGTGATGTCCCTGACCAGGCAATCCTTCTGGCTCAACCCGAAGAAAATAGGCACCAAATTGCTCCTCTCCGAGAACCAACTAATCTCTTCCATAGCATAAGAGCTCGAAAAGGTTTCCCTGGTAACGACGAGCACACCGAGAGTCGCCAATCTCATAGCCTCTCTTGCCGTGCTGTAGGCACATGAATCTCGTCCCCGACTTCTAACAGAGACAAAGCAGTGGATCCCATGGGACTCTAATTCCGCGCGAAGCCAATTCACAAAACGGGGAAGCGATCTTCTGCTCCCTCCCGCACCTATGTATACTTCACACGCCTTGGCCGCTGCAGATCTATAGCAGGCATGATAACCCCCCAAATAGTTTGAGGAAGATTTCAAAACCTCGGGATGCAGAGCAGAAGCAGAAGAATCAGCCAAGTTTCTGTGCATGGTTCTGGATGAAGATAGACCCAGCGGATCCACATTGGGGAGACACGAGGGATCGAGTGGACGGAAACATCCAGCCGAGGCATCATCCATGGACTTCTACCCGACAGAGAGAACGTTCCGGCGGCGGCGGCTGCAACAGAGGAGGTGCTAGAAGAAGCCGCGAGTCGGCGACAGAAGGGGGTTCGGGATCGACCTGTCTTCCCCATCTCGGACTTGCCAATTGTGGACATGGAACCTTGGCAACAGTAGAAATCAGGAGCAAATCTGGCCCTTGCCATTTGCGGGAGAGCGATGAGATCGCCGGAGACAGACGCCTACCTCTCCTGCCGTACGATGAAGCGCGGGAGACCGTCTGTCCCAGCACTCAAAATAAAAACCGCGCCTTTTACCACTGTCGCCCCTCGAGCCCGCCTGTTCTTACAACTTTTTTTCTATTATAATAGTTATACTAAAAATGTTATTATTCCCTATAATTTACCACTTTAGATTATTATTATTATTATTAGTATTAATATTATATTTTTCGTAGCAGCTACCCACCTGAACGATTTTTATGGGCCTCTTAGGCCCATTAATAAAATACCGGCCCATTAATCCGCTGGTCTTCACAACATGGGCCTCTCTTATCTCCTTCTCTCGTTGGGCTCAACTTGGGAATCGTGTCCCGGTTGACACCGTAAATGAACGTTTTTATCTCAAATAATCATACTTTATATTATGAAAAATAGTTTTAAATATAATAATTTAATAATCATAATAAACGTGTATCTTTCGTCGAAGGTTTGACCTCAAGGGTCAATGAACGAAGGCGATGACACCTGATATCGATCTTTATGGGTACAAGTTGGGTGGGGTCGGGCCCATTAATAAATACTGGCCCATTAACATCCTGGTTCACAAGATGGGCCCTTCGTATCTCGTTCACTCGTTGAGCCCATCTTGGAAATCGTGCTTTACCTCAAATAATCATACTTTAATATTATTACACTTTTTTTATAAATATAAATACAGTTATAATCATAATAAACGTGTGCCTTTCGTTGAACGGTTTGACCTCAACGGTAAAAGGAAGGAGGGTGACGGCATCGTTGGTCGGGGATGAAGCTACTGGTAGTTCTCCTGAGAGCGTGGCCATCGCCATCTCCGCTCGCTCTCTCCCAAACTGAGGTCCTCCTCGCCAAGTAATCACTCCGAGCGGCCGCGTGTGCTCCGCCGTGGCCGCTGATAGCTCGGTCAAAGGAGAGATTCCGAATTGCTACCGCCCTTCCGCAGCGGGCCGCCTTTTCTACGGAGAACCCACGACTACCAACCGGAAAGAACCTCGTCGGAGTCTTCCCCGGCTCTGGCTGCGTCGGAACCCTCGGTCGACTGTGGTGAGTGCAGGGAAGACGCAGATCCTGTCTTTGTCGAGGCATTCAGATAGATCGCCGTCTATCTTTTCAACCTGTCTCTGTCCGTATATCTATCTTGTTTGTTTGTTTGCTTGTTTCTTCTTCTTTATCCGTCCTTGTTTTCCCTCTCTGTTTGTGCTTCTCATCATTCCTGCGAACGTTGTTCATGGTTGCGAAGACGGAAAAACAGGGTGAGGGAATCGAGGAACGAGAGCCCCAGCTCGCCATTGGGAGATGTGGCGGTGCGTGTCTCGGAGCCTTCGCCTCGGCTCTGCGACGAAGAGGCTAATCGCAGATACTGGGCCAAGCCAACCCGTCCTCGCCAGATTCCTTTCCACCGACTCCGTAAGATTCCTCGAAGAACCTTCAACGTGAATTTCTACATGTTTTCATTTTTTTTCTTGAATGTCTGGAATGCGGTACGTGAAGTCCCGTGCTCTAGTTAGTGTTCGTGAGATCTTTTTCTTATCTACGCTTTTCTGCCGTTCGGCAACCGATACGTTTTATACCCTTCTGATTTTGTAAACGCATCTAGTCTCATGTCTAATAGATTTGATCGGCCTTTGCCCACCATGACCCGACTTTTTCTGGACGATTCGATGGGAGCCATGATTTCTTCATCTGTTTACTTGTTTTTCTTTTTCAGGGGTCTTTTATGTTTAATCTCCTAGCCTGTCCTGATCCATTGCGTGAATATTTCGATGAAATTAAACTTGGCGTGTTTTCACGGTCACCTGTTGCAGGTAGGATCCTACACAATTGTTGATCACACTTATGACGCGGTCGTGGTGGGAGCAGGCGGGGCAGGGCTCAGAGCTGCCATAGGGCTTTCTGAGCATGGCTTTAACACCGCATGCATTACCAAGCTGTTCCCTACTCGGTCCCACACTGTCGCAGCACAGGTATGCGTTTTGTTAGGGCAGTTTATCTCAAACTGTTACATGTCAAACATGTCAACTGGTATTCAAGCTGTTGCCATCCGATTGTTTGGCAACCCGTTACATGCCAACTACTTTGAAAACTGCTGCTTGAATAGCAATCTGGGTACGGATTTTGCGGACTAACATGCCTGGATCCGGTTGTGTAATGAAATAGCTGGATGCGATTATCATAGTTATGCCGATGCATGTTTCTTCACCTTTAAATTTATGATAGGAAGATGAGATGCAGTTGACACTATATGAGAGTCACAATTAATTTTAGCTTCATTGATTGAAATGACAGCGTCTATGGCTATATTGGTAAATATTATGAATATCAATGAAGGTGATGGAATTTTGACAGATGTATTAATACTCTAGAAAATTAAGGTGCAGTTCATGTAGTGACATATGTTTTAATGATTTGGTTCTCTTGGATTAGTGCTTTTATTTTCCACATTTGTTGCATATTGAACAGTCCAATGTCCCCCTGTTATGGTATTCGTTACTACTACATATTCACTGTTAAAAGGTGACGATGTAGCCAGTGGTATTAGGAGAAACCATTTTGACAGGGTACCTTTGACAGTTGAGAAATAAGTGGACTGTGACGTTCAAGGAGATGATCTTTTATCTACTTAGGGATACTGGGTAATTGATGTTTATTGAAGACGTTGGGTTAGATTTTCTGTGTAGTAAACAAGGTTTTGAGGAAATGGCCCAAACTTAGGCGAGAAAGCTGAATGGGTACTATTAAACATTCAGGGAGACCCAAATTTGCCTGGTGACTGACATGACAATTCATGATCTGAATGAAGCCTAGAAGTCACGATCATCGGCATAAGAAAACCTATGCTGGATACATTGGCCTACTATCACCTAAGTGAGGTCGTTTTAAAACCTTTCGGAGGTCGTAAGAAGTCCACTGTTCGATACAATTCCTTTTAGTTTATAAATGGTCTTGAAAGCGTGTTTTGAGGTCTTGGGGGCGGGTTCAGGAGTGCTATTGAACAAAGACTTAGGTTTACTTCTGGAGGTGTCAAGCTCGGTGATACTCACAAGCATCTGACTAGTAGATGAGCCAGCTTGTCTGCAGTTCCAAATATCTTTGAACTTTTGCGCTAACCTGACCCCACTTTCAATGGGGATTTTAAAGGTTCATCCTCTTTCAACGGAGGCTGTCATTATGAACATATAAGATACAAGGTAGCTTGGTCTTCTAGTCATGTGATGAAGGGAGGATGAACTGTCTCTCCTTATCGCTTGTAAAATAAAAAGATTAATTTGTCCACATATAGCCGGTCTTGTTTCACAAAGTTCACTTTGATGTTATTTTTTATTTTCTGCTAATTATGGTAGTCATCCTCACGCAGGGTGGTATAAATGCTGCCTTGGGTAATATGACTGAGGACGACTGGAGATGGCATATGTATGATACTGTCAAAGGAAGCGATTGGCTAGGTAAGTTCATAACTAGAGTCCTCATACTTTTAATGGATGATCGTGGTCATTTGCATTGATATGTTTTTAGAGACGTTTTTTATAGCTATATTTCTCATAATTTTCCAAGTCCATTTCGTCTGACCAATATTAAGACTAATAGTTGGATTGATATGGGATATGATTCTTATGGAGTGTGTCTGTAACTGAAGAATCTTGATTGTTCAACTAAAGAAAGTAAACTCTCATTTTTCCTTTTCGCCGACCTCTATTTTTGTAAACCCTTTTATGAAGAGGAGGAATATGCTCTAAAAGATCTTGGTACCACATTTGTTGCTATACCATAAAGCTACATAATAACTTTCAGGTTGTATTCTTTGGATGATATTGACTTGTTTGAGTGCTTACTTCAGGTGATCAGGATGCTATACAGTACATGTGCAGGGAGGCACCAAAGGCAGTCATAGAACTGGAAAACTACGGATTACCATTTTCCCGAACAGACGATGGGAAGATTTATCAACGTGCATTTGGTGGACAGAGTCTTAACTTTGGAAAAGGTACAGATACTCGGGATTTTCAGTTTCCATTTTTTATTCTCTTGGTGCGCTTGCCTAACTACGCTTGTTGGTTTTGGATCTGTATTTTATCATATTATAGGTGGACAAGCCTACCGCTGTGCATGTGCTGCTGATCGCACTGGACATGCACTTCTGCATACACTTTATGGTCAAGCAATGAAGCACAACACCCAGTTTTTCGTGGAATACTTTGCTCTAGATCTTCTGATGGATGATGATGGTAAGCTGTTGCATACTTTTGTGGTTTATTTTTCTAAAACTTTTGGCACGCTCATTTATTATTTGTACATTAGATGCATGCCACTGCTGTTGTTGAGAAGTAGGTGCCAGTCTGTTTGTTTTTGCTCATTAAATTCTGCAATTAACGGCTAAATTTGGATTGCTTTCCTGAATAGAACTTGTTTCATTCCGGCGGTTTTGTGTGATGACTCCTAAATCTTTTTAAAATTGAACTGCATTGGATGAAAGTCAAGTATTGTCACTGCATCCTAGATTAGCCAATCCTGACCCTGATTTGGATTGCATTGACTTGGTCCAAAATGGGCTCAGCTGACAGCTTAGAAAGCCAAGGTTTTTAAAACAAACGAGATGACTAAGGTGGTGTGAACCACCACCTTACTTACTAGGCAACAAGTTTCGTTGTGTCCTTAATTTTAATATATTAAAATAATAATAATAAAATGAATTATTAAATAAGTTAATATCATATAGTAAGTTTATATCTATACATAATAGTACGGTTGTACATGTACATGCGGATATATTCTCATGTAAAATATTTTCAATTATTTTTTTTAAAAATCATTTTGTATTTATTTTCTAATTTTAAACGTACAGAAACACTGGCGAATGGTTGCCAATGGTTGTATTAAACAGTGATATGATCCGTACATTCCCACTCTCTAAGCCCAGCACCTTCCAAAAATAGCATTAAACAGGATTCCTACATTCCTTCGTTGAAGGATCTCCCTCCAGGTAGTCCATGGATCGATTCTTCTTAGCATATGGAAGTCTCAGTCTTTGTAAAGTACTGATTATTTATGAAGTTACACTAGATTCTGTCCATTCTTGCTAATTTCGTGCCATCTCCCCTGCCCTGTTGCATCTTGTGTCTCTCACTGAGTGATTTCTCCTGCACCATTGCATCACTACGACAATAACTACCCCCTGCCACGTTGGTGGGGAGAGAAGGTCAACCAATTAGAACATCGGATAACTGCTGGAAAAAAACAGCTTCTTAGTGGCAGAATCTTGTTCTACTCCAGTCCCTTCTGAAAGCTAATAAGTTGCTCCAGAGCCTGCAACATCTCCACTAACATTAATGTCACCACTATTTCTTGATGTTTGTATTTATTTTCCAATCAGCAGAATAAAGTTTGTGGCGAGGTGATTTTTTATATCTCATCTTCCTGTGGACAATGAAGAATATAGACTATGCCGTGTTCAGTGCTATATTTATGTTTGATCCATGTGCATCCATGTTGTCAATTTATGTTTTCTTTTGATTGGCAGCATGTAGTTTTGACGAATGCAAAACATTCCCTGCAGATCATTGACAACGTCATCCATTTTTCGTTAAAAGTAATCCTTAGAAAATTGGGGAGAATGGATAGAAGACTTTTTACTGAACTTTAGTCAGTGTTTGATTTTCTTGGATCATTTATGCCACAGGAACTTGTCAGGGTGTGATTGCACTCAATATGGAGGATGGGACTCTTCACAGGTTTCGTGCAGCCAACACCATTCTAGCAACAGGGGTATAAAATGCTCTCACTGAAGTGTGTTGTCCCATTCTTTGATCAATGATGTTGAGACCCTTACCAAAATCTGAATCATTTCCCAGGGTTATGGCAGAGCTTATTTCTCTGCAACTTCAGCTCATACTTGCACTGGAGATGGTAATGCCATGGTTGCTCGTGCTGGCCTACCTCTGCAGGTTGGTGTGATGGTTTTCCGAATTGGAAAGATGGCTGATTATTTTACTTCTATTCTGAGTCGTTATATTTGTCATTCCTGCAGGATCTTGAGTTTGTGCAATTTCACCCTACAGGCATTTATGGGGCTGGATGCCTCATCACTGAAGGTTTATTTCCTTGCCTCGTAAAAGTTAAACGATAATTCCAAAAAATAATCAGATGGATTCTGTGATAAAATATGAACATTGGTGATATAATTTCTCACTTCTAACTTCCGCAAAAGTCGGATCATCAAGTTCCATTTGTCTATTCATTTCTTTTTAAATTATTATTCGTGTTTTGCTACCTGTAGGTTCTCGGGGTGAGGGTGGCATTCTTAGGAACAGTGAAGGTGAACGTTTCATGGAACGATATGCTCCTACCGCAAAAGATCTTGCATCAAGGGACGTTGTCTCTAGATCAATGACTATGGAAATCCGAGAGGGTCGTGGTGTGGGTAAGTGATCACGAAGAATTTGAAACTCATGCATGCCATACGGTTGCAACCTTTGTTTAATTATACCTTTTTCACTTGAGATGAGCGCACCACGAGTTATAACGAGTAATCAATTTACTAAACAAATTTCCTTGTTTTTCTAGAGTCAGTTGTCCTTCGATTTATCAATATCTCTATAACGATTTACCAATATCTCTTTGCCTTTGCCTGTTGATAAAGACCTGTGCTTGTTTAAGTGGGAGTTTAGAGTTGGGCAAATAGTAGGGCAATGAATCATAATTTTCAACCATGATAATCTATGGGAAGATTAGCTTTTTTTTCAGATGTGACATAAATTTTATTGCACTGTGGCACCGTCAATGTGATCCAGATATCCATGAGAAAAACTCGTAATGTGGACCTCTAACTAGCTGCATTTTTTTAACTATGTTTTTATGTGCCATATGTTATAACCTTAGATTTTTGATTAAATATTCTAATTGTTTTAGCTGATGAATTTGATCCTCATCCAGGTCCACTTAAGGATCACATTTATCTCCATCTCAACCACCTGCCCCCAGAGGTATTGAAGGAGAGACTCCCGGGTATATCTGAAACCGCAGCAATTTTCGCGGGTGTTGATGTAACCAAGGAACCAATCCCAGTTTTACCAACTGTGCACTATAACATGGGTGGCATACCCACAAACTACCATGGGGAGGTGAGTTTTAAATTAATTGGATCACATATATCATATTCCTCTCTAGTATTTAATACTTTGATGAACTTTTCTTCCAGGTCGTTCAGATCAAAGGTGATGATCCTGATGCAGTGGTGTCTGGTTTAATGGCAGCTGGTGAGGCTGCCTGTGCATCTGTCCACGGTGCCAATAGACTTGGCGCAAATTCTCTTCTCGACATTGTCGTTTTTGGCCGAGCGTGTGCCAACAGGATTGCAGAGATCAGTAGGCCAGGTAGGTAGTCTTTCAGACCGTGGCAGACCTTCGGTGTTGTAAAGAGTATGAAGTAACTTTTGTAGATGATCTTCTGCTGCAATGCTCCAGGAGACTCACTTAAACCCCTGGCGAAGGGTTCTGGAGAGAAGACCATTGCTTGGCTGGATAAATTGCGGAACGCCAACGGCTCACTGCCGACATCAAAAATCCGACTCAACATGCAACGGGTGATGCAGAATAATGCCGCTGTCTTCCGCACCCAAGAGACACTAGAAGAAGGTATTTCTATAGTCCACACCCATTTTATTATCTCCTCCCCAATTTTTTTTATTACTTGGGTATCCCCCTTGAAATTTTTATTATTACTCGAATCTATGATAAAATGCTATACGAAAGTTGTTAATGAAACTTGATTGGCCTCCTTGGTTGGTCAAGTCAGATGGGTTATCAGCCTCGGATTCATATTCATTAGTATTAACACATGATTGGCCACCTTGTTATGCATGAAATTTCTATTTCTGTGCCTAATTTGTTCACGGTAGGCTTGATTTTACCTCCTTGTTTTATCAACCTTGGGTTTTTATTTATTACAGTAATACATTAACAGTTTCTGTGCATTATGGTAATTTTTATTTATCTTATAATATGACAATAATATAAGTTATAATTTTACTTGAATTATAATATGAAAAAAATATTTATCTGTATAAAAAAAATCCAATGCAAGGTTTTTCTGCATCTGATTTGATTGGTCTGCTTGGATTTCTTTGTAGGATGCAAACTAATTGACAGAGCGTGGGAAAGTTTCGGTGACGTCCAGATTAGGGACAGAAGTCTCATCTGGTAACTCTGCGGGCCGTGCAGAGCGAGCCTCTCAGCAGTCATCCATTTATAGCAATTCCTCTCATTGATTCTATCACAAACGAATTGTGGCAGGAATTCTGATTTGATTGAGACCATCGAGCTCGAGAACCTCTTGATCAACGCATGCATCACGATGCACTCTGCTGAGGCGAGGAAGGAGAGCCGGGGGGCTCATGCCCGCGAGGATTTCACTGTCAGATTACTGTCTCATAAACGATATTATTATTTCGAATCAAATTACTCTGGATGAGCTAAGTCACCCATCTCTTTTCGCTGCAGAAAAGAGACGACGCAGAGTGGATGAAGCACTCCTTGGGGTGGGTTCTTCCTTCTTTCACTCTTGCCCAATCCCTCTATACTCTGCTGGCATCTGAATTTCCGTATTTTCCTTCTCTTATTCGTAGTTCTTGATACTCATGATGGGAAACATGCTTAGATAGATGTCTAATGAATGAGGAGAAAGAAAGAGAGAGAGAGAGAGAGAGAGAGAGAGAGAGAGAGAGAGAGAGAGAGAGAGGATCTTCTTGTGGAGACGCGAGTAATCTTCTGTGTTTCTGGCAGGTACTGGGAGGAAGAGAAGGTCCGGCTGGCGTACAGACCCGTCCACATGAACACTCTGGACGAAGAGATCGAGTCGTTTCCACCAAAGGCACGCGTCTACTAATACTGCCGCCGCTGCATAATCTTCGGTAGAACACCAGAAGATGATGACGACTCCGAATAAAAATATGCCCAGATTTTCTTCTCTGTGGCTTTATGCATGCTCAGGGTGTCACTGAATTTATTAATTATTTATTAAAAACCACTGAAAACTTGATATTCCATCTTAATTTAAATAAATAATCTGATTATACGAATTCTCATTAATAAGTAATAAAACTCCACCCAAATCGCTGACTCGGCCTTGTAGAAGCTTATTTCTCGCCCCCCGTTTGGGACCCCATTCTGCGTACGGCGGCGTCATCTAGGGCCCGGCGTTGAAGAAGGACATTTGTGGAAATGGAAGTCGTCAGTCGGTTATTGACGATCTAGAATGTTCTCAAGACGTGGCTTCATCCGCATCGTTGTTTTGTTCCTTAAATTCCCTGCCGAAGCCCTAGCTACTACTTGGACTCTCACTTCTGCTTTCGGAAAAGCGGAAGCTTCCACATCTGCTTCTCCAGATCTGTACGATTGTCGTTCTTTTTCCCTCATTTTCTTGCCAGATCCGTTGAGGTTCTTCGCTGATCTATCGATTGAGCCCAGTTTCAAAGTCTGTCGGTTATATTTGCATCCTTGTTTCTGTTTTCCGTAGATTCTTTGAGGTTTGTAGTAGACATCAAGATGGATCTTCTTGGTTTGGTTGATCCGGTCGGCCTGGATGCCTGCTTGGATCGTTTTCTTCCTCTTGTATGTCCATTTGTTTCAGATCGGTTGCAGATCTCCGAGGACTCCTTGGGTGAGACCCGGAGATGTATGTGTCCGTGATGAGAATGGATGGTCGCTGTGCAGATCTGTCTTTCCCAAGGGCCGCGGCTATTTTCTCATCTGGTCTGCGGTCATCCCGGACTGTGCCTTTGGTTGATTGGTCGATGGGATCCGTGCGATACAAGGACGCATCGGCATGACGCTTCTACGGTGGAACTGTGCCATCGGTTTCCGATTTCAAGTTACAAGTTGATCGGTAATTATGCTCATGTTCTAAGTCAGGGATCATTCTCTGCCGTTGTTGTGGATGTGTAGATGAAGAGAAGCAGCTGCAGGTGAGGGCATCGGATAGAAGGATCGGATGTATGGCGGCTTTGGATGTCATTGCTTGAAATGTGTCTGCAGGCCTTTGCTATGTTGGGTGCGCTCGCATAGCAGGTCACGAGAAGACTAATAAAAGTCGCGTTTCTTTGGAGTCGGGGGGAAGATCGCACGGGCAGCCTTTTACTTTTGCCCGGGTTCTTCCCTCCTTGTGCCCCCTCTCTCCCCTTCTATGCCTACCATCCCGCTGCCGTCTAATATTACCCGCTCCGCAATGACCAAAACACTTGCGTCCGCGACTTCGTCATCGCCACCAGCGCGTCGAAACGAGGAAGGTTCTACGTGTTTAAGCGAAACGGCAAAGGTACACAATATTCATATTCCACGACTTCCAATACCAGTTACAAACCACTTAAGAGATCGATATTTCTTTTTTTCAGCACTGCAAGTTAAAGTTATAGACACGAGATCGATATCTCTCTTCCGATAGCGTTCAAATGTTTTTTTCGTGAAGAACCCGGTATATCTTGGTTCTCGTTTTCAAATTTCAAGAAAATCTTGTTAAACGTTGTTTCTATGCTCCGATTGGGACTTTTTTTTATTAATTTTTATTCTCGAGCTCACATAGCGTTGATTATAATCCATTTGATGCAAAATTCTGAGCATATATCGCCACAGCGAAAAATATTTCCGCAGAGATATGAAACCGAGAGCGTCCTCAAGCTGCAACATTACAGTGGTAACCTCTGTCTGTAGTTTCTCTTTCGTTCGTGTTACTGTTTTTCAATTTTCGAATGAACTCTTCAGCTGGAACATCGTAATGGTTCTGCGTTCTCTAAGGCATTCATAGTTGATGATAGATGCAAGAAACACAATTGTTATGCCATCAATATGTTTTCTGATGCTCGCTACGCAGAGGTACATATTAATACTTCCCGCAGGGAACTAATATGGTTGCCACAGGCTTGTACGGCCTTTTGTTACATTCAACGCCCCGCGGGGAACTATCCGCAGCAAACGTTTCTTATTTGTCTTCTGATACATCTTATTTTTGAAACTTCAGATTTATCTCCAAAAACGGTGTTATTTAACTGATTATCTCGCAACGCGATAAACTTGTTGTGGGTGTTATATTCTCAGATCATCTGGAGTTGTAAACTAGTGTCGATGTACTCACATGGATGATCCATGTCCTCAAGGGGATGAAAACATTAATCACTTGAGCCACAGGTCTCTCGATTTGTCTATACCCCTGCTAATGAAAAGCTACTTGTCAACTGGGGTTGCGGCACTTGATGGATCTCTAGCTCAGTTTGGATAGAGCGCTCAATGAGTTATATTGAGAGGCCGGTGGTTCAAATCCACCGAGATCCCTAAAGATGGATTCGATAATCGCTCGTAAAGAATCATTCGAACCGGTGTTCGTCTGATTGCCGCCTCCCCAAGGTTCTCAGCGATAACATTCAGTTTTTATTAAATTCAGGATCCAGAATTTGATGCGCTATTCTACCGTTAGGTTTGGTTCTCGTTCTTATCGTGGCTCAACGTATGTTTCTATCTGCTCTCCTGCTCGCTTCAACCCCGCTCCCCGTGGCCCGTGGTTCCTTTCGAACCCTGCCACTGCTTACTGAAGAAGGCTACTCTTCATCCACGGAAGCGATGTAGATCCCGCGAGGCAGCGGGCTAACGGATGCCACTGCTTCCCTGCGAACCGTTGATGTTGATCTGACGTAGCATTTGCTCTAGGTTGTTCCCAAGAATATTTTTAGGACGAAATAAGTTGGACCTTGGGGTATGTATAAGATGAACGACTTTCCTTCATTCTTATTTTCTTACTATTATTCTCTCTCAAGATGGGTTGCTTAAAATTCTTTGATATCCTATTTTCGTTCTCTTAAATGTGATTTTTACTAAAGAATTTTAATGGTTTCGCCCGAGGCTTCGCTTGTGAAATACGATGCGACTGATCAGAAAATTATGCCTAGAACTAACTTGAGAGAAATTACTCGTTTTTTTAATATAGTAAAATAATTTTGACATGAAATCCTCTTTGATGATGTCATTTGTTACAGAAGTGGGATACTTACTAAGAGGAAGGAAGTGCCTGTTAGTTTGTTGGATATCATTTCTAGTGGATTTTACAATTTCAAAGTGAAATTAATTACTTTAATGTTTGTAGATAGTGAGAAAGCATTAACAGGGTGTCAGAAAATTCTCTTGATCGAGACGAGACATTAAATTGTGTTTTTCTGTCCAATGTAGAGATTTACAATGTTTCACTTTTATTGATTTCGCCAGTGAGAATCCCCTCATTCCAACTATTTTTCTTTAGAACAATATAGTTGAACTTCACATAATTTTGACTTCTTGCGTTGTACAGGAGCTCTATACTATCAGATGATACGATAAGTACGGAATGAGAAACTGGGTCCATGGATGATTCCGACGGTTTTTTGCCGATAGGTGGAACAAAGCGTGTACTTTTATAGGTAGCTAGAGCGTTCCACAGGGAACAATGGAGAACCCTAAGGAGTAGGTCTTGGACGGCGTGGCGCGGTGGGCTCCGGTGTTGGAGGGGGCAGCGTGGGAGGGTAGGAGTAGCTGCCGCCATGTTGGGTCTCCTTCAGAGTGTCGGCAGCATGGCCGATGCTCTTGGGGATGGAGCCCCTGAAACCGTTGTTAGTGACTGTGAGGAAGGCGGTGATGGTGAGGCCAACGATCTTTGGCAGCGGCAAGTTGAAGGGGTTGTTGTCGTTGCAATGATTGCGTCTTTTGCCATAATCTCCTCTCGCACCAGCAACTGCTTGAAGGTGGAGAGATAGTGCGAAGCTAGAGGAAATAACGGCTCCTTCTCACTACTTATTTATGGACAAGTGGCTGTGGAAGAGGGGGGGTTTATCTTGAAGTAAGAGGCCACTCAAATAGTCATACTATGTGAGTCTTATTTGTCCTAAGTTTTCTCGTTAGGTAGCTAATATACTCTTCTTAACTACTGTGGTGACCATTGTTTGGTAATATTTAATTCAGTTTCTTTCTTTCTCTCATCGATATCTATTATTTTCTTCCTTTTCATCATCTGGGTTAGTAATTATGGTGTTATTTACATAGGGGTTCTACTAATTTGGTATTAGAGCTGCATCTTGGTATTTTCACTCTTTCATTGTTATGCCACTCCATCAAATAAAATCTATGATAGAAGTCATGAAGAAGGATTTTGATGAACTCTATAATTTATTCAGCTGCATTCTAATCAATTCCCTCTTCACCCAAAGGTTCCTTTTGACGAAGAACTCTATAATTTATTCAGCTGCATTGTTATGATAGTAGTCAATATTTTGATAATTTCACATCAAAGGTATGACTACACTTATAATTTCCTTAAGTTACTACTTTTATATTGCACCAACCCACATGGATGGTTATATTGAGTTGAGCTTTATTTTTCCTTCCACCCATTATTTAATGTAGAGAAACTTTTCATGGTGGGCGTTAGTTGCAATGATGAGGCATTACATTGCTTTAAATGGATTGAAATGATTTTCATTAGAAGTTGTTAGAATTTTCAACAATTACTTAGTCTTCAATAACACTATGGATGTCTAAAGCTTATTACTGATCTCTCCATGGATGTCTTTTATAATATTTTTCTCAAAGGATTGAAGCTAGATATTTGAGCAGAAGTCATATTACTACATCTTGTGGGACTCTAGAGTATCATGTAAGTCACCTAGAGTATAGAGGAACACAATAATCTTCTTCATTAGAGGTCCACGTGTTCTCTTGCCATGCATATCGCATGTACTTTTCTCAATCGAATGAGCAACCTTAATGTACTTTGATCAACATAGATTCGTACACCCTAGTGACCACCAGCTATCTTAACTACACGACGTCACTCTTTCTAATGTTAAATATGTGGCTTTTAAGTGTTTGAAACTTGCTCTCCTCACCACTTCAATTTTAATACTTCAAGATTTTAATTACCTTTTGAAACTTGTGGCAAACATATCAAGTTTTGGCGTTGGCACATTACTCGCGCAACAACATCAACTGATTGCTTACTTTAGTCAAGTTAGATCACCCAGCATTGTCTTAAATCAATATATTAAAGAAAACTTATGACAATAGTTTCTATAATGCAGAAATGACATTACTGGCCCGAACTTTCATCATTTATATTGACCAAAGAAGTCTAAATTTTTTACTTGAACAAAAACAAGTAATTAACATATATTGGTCAATCAAATCATTAGTTTAAAATTGACTTCAACAATAAAGGCATCAATACTTTATCTCACATGTCTCAACTAAAGTATATTAGAGTTGCTTCATCTCCACATGTGACTTCACTTACTCAACTCTACAATCATATTCTACATCTCAATATATTATTCAAGATTTCTCTTCACAAGCACTAAAATGACCAAATTATTCTTTGTGATTAGGTTTTCTTATAAATAATGCATATATATTCCACCAACTTCATCTATCATCTCTAAAATTTTATGTGAATGCCATAACACACCCTTTGCTGGAGACTCAAGATTCTTGCAGACTTACAAAATACCTTCATTATGGTTTGTGTTGACCATGTATGAAAAGATAGTCAAATCTTACATGGATTATTGTTTTATTTGTCAACAAAAATAAATATCAAGCATTTGCCCCATCAAATGCCACTTCCTCTGTACCTTCTCAAATTTGAAGTGAAATATCAATAGATTTTATTGAAGGGTTGCCACGATCTGAGGGGTTTAATGTCATATTTGGCATTGTCATTGTTTGAGTAAATTCATACATCTTTCTCTATTAAGTCATCCTTTCACTATTATTGATGTTATCTAAATATTTCAGAAGGACGTAGCTCATCTTCATGACTTTTTACTCACCATCATCTCTAATCGTGACTGTATTTTTCTTAGTTAGTTATGAAAATAACTCTTTCACTTCAAGGCACTTGGCTTCATTATAGCACAACATATGATGGTACATATGTTGTAAGTTGATAGTCAATCCAAAGTTGTAAACATGTGTTTTGAAATTTATTTGTGGTGTTTTTCTTATGACCACCCTTCATCATTCATGGGCTTTTTTTGAATATTTGTGGTATATCCCTTCGTCAGCAGCTACTATGGTGACCATTATTTGGAAATATTTAATTCAATTTCTTTCTTTCTTTTGTCGATATCTATTATTTTCTTCCTTTCTACCATCTTGCTCATGAATTATGGTGTTGTTCATGTGGGGGTTCTATCACATTCTCTTGTTTCTGGTTCTTGAATTGCAATGGCGTTGATGATGGTGATGGGGGAGGCAGAGATGGTGGCGGTGGTGTTGGGGATGAAGCTTGTTTAAAGGTTCTTTTAGGAGATAAGGCTTGTATGAGATTTTGATAGCCTCTTGGTGGGCCCATCACATCATCACATGAAGAGGACCTAAGGAAGCAGGCCCCCATCACTCCCATCTCATTTTACATTTGTAAGTATTGAGGAACGACTTGCATAAGATACAAAGGATATGCAACATCATTCCTAGTAAGAACAATTCCAAAGAGTGAGATGTTTACTTTTAGATCTTCTCCGTTCTCTCTCTCTCTCTCTCTCTCTCTCTCTCTCTCTCTCTCTCTCTCTCTCTCTCTCTCGTTGGCACACTTTCTTTTTATATCTCAATGGGTCTACTCACTTTCTCTTTCCTCTCAATTTATTTTAAAATATTTTCTTTGTTATAATTTGATTTAGCTTAATGTATATATGGTATATGTTTCTTGACATTTGTTATCGACACTTGAAAAATATATTTATACAATAAATAAAGTGATTTTGACAATTTAGATCATTATTTATGGGGCTTATGTATTCAAACATATTTTATAATTATTTTTCATATTATCTTTATATGGTTAATGAATAATATTTTAAAAAATAACATAATAACATAATAACTATGTCATCAACCATTTAATAACACACCAACATAGCACATGATTTGTTGTAGGAACAAATATAAGTATTAGATTGACTAAATATGGTCAAAATTTGAGCATGTAGAGTAAATAAAGTCAAAGTAAACATTAATTAAAATGATGTGTTGGTTTTAAGGATGCTAGAGGCACTAAGATAATATATATTTTTAATAATTCTTGAATTTCCGATTTTTTTATGCAAATTAAATAACTTAGATTTACAATGTTCAATTCATTTGGCTTATTCTAATAGATGAAGATCTCATTCTTGGGTTCTATTAAATGAAACTTGTACAATTATTAAATACAAATACTTACATTGGTATTTACTAGATTTCACAACTTTAGTTACCATGTTTTCCATCAAAATATTTTTTCCAAAATTACAACTTTAAAGGGTCAATGGGATTGACACCTAATTAATCTCTTCTAAATTTACAACTCTTAAGAAGTCAACTATATTAAAACCTTACTAATCTCTTCCAAACTCAACTTTAGGTCCATCAGAATACAAGAAATATGCTACAATAAATAATTCCTTATTAAATGCTCTTACATACTAATTAGATAGCTTATAGTGGTGTAAGTTAGTTGGCCCTTACATTCTTATATGACTTTTCATCAACATGGGCATTTGAGAGTATGTTCCTTCTATAGGAACCAATTTTTATGGATTTCCTATAAATTTTAACAGTAAAAAATATATCTAACAGCTAGGACACAATTCAATGGTGTTGTAGTACTATTTGCCTGCCCCCCCTCTCTCTCTGGCTCCCTCTCCCTCTCTCTCTAACTCGACTCCCTTTCTACTATGAATAAAAAATTCATGAATTCTTGGATAACAATAAGCTCTAAAAATTCTAAGGAAATTGTATAAACCATATTAGAAGATTTGAACACAATGAAACATTTTAGAAGGTGTACGTTCTTGTAAAATTGCCATTGAATCCATTTCCTTGGATTTTGATGTATGTTCTTATTTCCTATGTCTTGGCCCAATGTTTTAGCTATTTAATATCCGAATTTATCATAGTACTCTTTCATATTGTCTTTCTATTTAAGAGTGTAACACCTCTAACTAGCTGAGCATATTATTGAGTCAACTCCCCGGTTAAAAACAAAAAGAGACAATATGAAAGGTTAGAAAAAAAAAAAATCTGCCATCATTTTTTTTTTTTATGGGTGCCAAGAAAAAAATTATGCCTGTTGTGAGTCGTTTTCTTCATGTAAGGGTAGAAGCTTCTTTGTAAGCCCTACGATAGGAGAAGAAATTGATGAATTGAGGGAAGTCTTCTTACGCATTTGTGGTACCGACGGCTTTAGCTTGTACGGAATTTGACCAGGAAGACTTTAAGGGTCTTGGTAGTCAGGTTTTTGGGATGGACCAGGCCCATTGATTCACTAAGAACTTGTTGTGTAATACGTTGACGGAGTCGCCGCCTATCCTCCAGAATACGACTTGTCTAGATGCTTTGGTGCCTATCGTCTATCCATTTCTTTCTGGTCAACATTCCTCTTGCCGACAACACGACAAGGGTAGATGCGGCGACAGGTCAAAGCAAGGGATTTTGAGGACCTCTTCCAGGAAACGTCTCTCACCGGTTCCCTCCACCTACTCTTTCTTTTTCTTCTTTCCTTCTTCTTCTTCTTTTTCTTCTTTCGTTCATCCAGAAGAGGGGCGGGCCATGGAGGAAACAGGGAGAAGAATCTCCAAGGCGAAAGGATCGGTGGCACAGCAGCCGAGAAATTTAATCGCAAGGACGGACAGCTACCTGCCCCTGCTGGATTCCGGCGACGAGGAGGAGGCGATGGGGAGTGTAAAAGAAGGGGAGCTCTCCTCGCCAGCTGCAGTTCCTAATGGCCGGGTTGGGCAAGGGAAAGGATCACCGTGGAGGTTAGTCGGGAAGCTGCTCTCACAGATGAGCCCTAGGAAGGACGAAAAGCAGCCGGAGGATAAGGAGAAGAAAGTGGCGGGAAAACAATGGAAGGTAGAGAAGGGGGAGAAGCAGAAGAAGAGGTCCTCCTGGCTGCCTGATCCAGAGAAGAGATGGCCTGTCCAAGGATGGTAGTTCCGAGGCGCGTGATAATTTTATCTGTCGCCTCGAATATTGAAATTTCTTCGATTGGTAAGGTCTCCACCATCTTCCGTTCCGTCTCTCTTTTTTTATTCGAAATACGTTTCCAGACCAAGTTACGGAGCCCTAAATTTACATCCTAAATAGGTTAAAGAGCATCTTTGTCCGAATTTCATGCTCCGAACGGCCGTGATGATCTAAATCAAGGAGTTATCTCGGCTGAGAACCAGGAGCTCGTCGTCTCGCACCAGTCGCAAATTGGAGATCAGAGAAACAATCGCAACTCTCCACCAAGGAATGGCGAGAGACTACGGAAGAATTGGCCGACAGCGCTACCGACGTCCGCCGCGGCACCGCTAAAGTGGGCGGCGATCTCGCAATCCACGTATCGCCATGTGCTAGAGGACGGACCACGGGAGTCTCGGGGGAGCTCATACGTACCTGATATCTTCGAAATCCCTCAAGATGTATTCCATGTATTCGTCATTCCAGCAGAGAAAGGAATCTCAGGGGACCACCATTGCTTCTGCCTGGCCTTCTTCCCGCCATGTCGTCAACATGAACGCCGGCCAATAATGCTCGCCAGATCTGCTGCGACAAGGACCCTCGAAGAGCAAGCACCGTGAATGCGGGAATGCTTCCCCTTCCTACCTGGTACGAACCCTAAATACGCTGCGCTCATTCCTAACCCATCCCCGAGGACGTGAAGGCCCCATATATATATATATATATATATATATATATATATATATGCAATTTTCGAAACTGGTATCCTCCCCTTCATCTCCCTATCTATTGTTTTCCTCATATATATTCAGATAGAAAATAGATTAAGGTTATGTCTCATAAATTGATAGTAGTACCCCTGAAACTTATTTAGTAGCCTTTGGAATAATAACATACAAATATAAGGTCACATTGCAAAATATTGCCTTATGAAGGTTGCCACATTTCTAAAATGCAATTTTAGAAACTGGTATCCCCCTTCATCTCTTATGTATAAATATGTTCTCCAGATATCTATAGTTTGCCTCAGATTTGGATACATATTAAATTAAGATTATGTCCCATAAATTTATAATAGTATCCCTAAAACCTATGGTAGCCTGTAGCCTTTGAGTACAAAACTAATAACATTCAAATATAAGATCACATTGCCAAAAACTATCTTTTTAAGGTGGCCACATTTCTTAGATACAATGTTAGAAACCTGCATCCCCCCTCATCTCTCCTTTGTTTGTATGTACATATATATATATATATATATATATATATATATATATAGTTAGCCTTGCATCGATTTAGATAGAAACTAAATTAATTAAGATTATATCTCATAAATTTATAATTTTACCCCTTAAACTTATTAACCTTCAACTTTGAGAATGAGAGTGAAGGAAAACATTCCTAAGTCAATTTTGATCCAAATTTGAATATGAGGTTTTGGCCTTTTGAATCAATAAATTGTTGTTGTCAAAACCTTATGACTTTCCTATTTGAGTGATGGGATGCTTTAAAAGTAAGTCTGGTAAAATTGTTGATCAAATAACCTAACTCTTTATTTGTAGCCACGAGATGGTTAACCTCACGATGTCAATTTCTAATTTTACCCATCACAAAATTATAAATAACTTAGTCACCACACATATGTAACCCTATACTTATGAGAGATGTTTTAATCTCTTATTTATTCTTAATGAATCTATTTAGTAAGAATTAACTTAACAATAACCTCATAATATATAAGTTACATATATGTACCCACATTTCAATCAAATCTATATGATAACTTAATAATCACTATTATTATCGACAGCATATATAACAATATCATTTAGCCATGAGGTATCATTTGCTTTATAGTCGCACATGTCAAATCTTTCTAAAACTTTACTGATATAATTTTTTTGAGGCAGATCAAGGATGTTTCAAGACTGATTTTGATATATTTATATGTCAAGAAAGAGGTTTTGTCAAGATCTTTCATCACAAATTTCTTAATATAAACTTTTTTGTGTCACATAATAAGCTTGTCACATTATTGACAAATAGTATGTCATTCACATTTAAAACTAAGAAGAACTAATTACTCCCCCTAAATTTATGATATATTAAAAATTATCAACCACATTCATTTCAAAATCGAATGAGATGATAACTTTATGAAATTGGTGGTACCATTGATGGAAAACCTACTTGTCTATAGATGAATTTCTTTAATTTTTGATGACAACATATAAATCATTTTCTCAATGTTACCATTGAGAAATATAGTCTGCACTACTGTTCAATATAACTTAAAATGAAATATTCTATAAGTATCATTATATTCTAAAACAATATTTCAAAGAAATAAAAAAAATATCTCTTTATAGTCAATGACTTCCTTTTAAGTTCCTTAGTAATAAGATGAGTCTTATATCTCTCTTGGTTCTAAATATCTATTTGACACATTATCTTTTGAATCCCTCTTGATTTTAGATATTTATTTACAATCAATGGGTTTCATACACCTTTAGATAATGAGACAAGATCTTAAACATTTTTTGTCTTTCATAGATTTAAATTCTTCTTCCATGACATTCACTTATGAGGCATCTACATGACTTCATAAAAGTTGATAATATCATCTTTCATTATTCTAAGGTCAACTTATGTTCTTAAAAAAGTACATAATAATTATTTGAAATTATAATTTTTATTTCACCAATAGATTTCTTTGATGTCACCCATTCTTGAGAGTGTTGAATTTGTTTGTTTGAAATAAGATGTATAAGAACATTGTTCTCACCTGATGTTACTTTTTGAACAATGTTAGATAAGACTTGATTATGATCACTGTTAAAACTAACAAGAGGAATTGACATATGTTACTCTTCAAAAATAAATATTTAACCTTACTTTTCCCTACCTACTCAACTTCCTTAAAGAATCAAGTATTTACTATCTCAAAAATAACCTTAATAGTGGAATCTTAAAATGTATATCGTTTTGAAGTTTAGGTGTAATAAAAAAAATAACAATTAAAAAATCTAAAATCAAGTTTCTTTCACTAGGTTGTAATCTTTGATGCTTCTCCTTATAGGTTTTCTAATATGGTAGATTTACTAATCATACTTATTATTGTATCTAAAAGAGTCCTATTTTATTGTTGAATAATACTATTCATGTTAAGAGATCCCCACATAGTGTAATGTGAGACAAAAATTCAGTAAAAGACCTTAGATGTTGTTTACCTTGAGATACAAAAATGATATTATTCAAATTGCACGAGTCTCATGATCATTAACCACATAATTTCAAAAGCCATCATGTGTACTTTGTTTGAAAAGTCACTACAATAGAAGTTTTTCTTGATAAACTCAAGAAAATAATTTCTCATAATAATAAAATTGAAATTAGTACGATCTTAGCAAATCAGATCTCAATGACTTATAACGACAAGAGAAACATCAAAAAAACATTATGTAAATCTCTCACCTTGAGATGAAACTAAAAGTACTATAACTAGAGGTATTTAAAGATTTACATGTACATTTAGTTTTGCTTTCATTTCATACACAATTTAGTCAATGCAAGTGAGTTAGAATTGTTAGAAGTACAAATACTTCACACTATATACAAGAGTAAGAAAGATTGAAGTAAAAGAGACATGAAAGTGCTTACTTGGCAGTGAATCTTAAGGGAAAAAAAAACTTAAAGTTAAAAGAAGTTGCTAATGTCCCACTACTAAGGAAACATAATAAGAATTAGACAATCTTTATCTTGCTTCAATTATTTTTATTAGTAGTGGAATGTTTACAATTTCTTTGACTTTATGTATTTTATTTCTTTTGTCTTTATAAGTCATGACCAAGGTAGCATGTTTATGTCTCTCTTGTTTCAAACTTTCTTCTTTTTGTTTGCAGTTGAAGCCATTTGTTTATTTCACAGTTATACCTCACTACTTAATTATTCAATAAGTAAAAATGAAACTAAATGTACAAACAAATCTTTAGATACCTCAAACTTTAATAATTTTAGTTTTGATGTAAGATGAGACATTTGTATATATACTTCCTAATATTTCTATTGTCATTATACCTTTTGAGTAAATCTTTTCTCAAGCTCATCAAGAAAAATCATTATTGTAGGAATTGATTTGGACAAAGTACCTCTAAAGGCTTATGAACTAATGTGTTTAATAATCATGAAACTTGTACAATTTATATGATCTAATTTTCATATATTTAAATTCAGTCAATTCAAGGTGAGTAATAGTTGTCAAAGGGGCAAATTATCTCAGAATCAATTCATATCTCATAATCTATAAGAAGAAAAATTGAAATAAGAGATACATGAAAGTGTTTATTTGCTGTGATTTATAAGGGTAAGAAGCTATGTCTCACTACTAAGTAAAATATAAAAGAAGTATAAAGAATTTTCTTATTTCTTTTATAAACATGGTGGACACATATAGAAGAATTGTTCCAAGTATCTTAATTAGCATACAAAAAAAGGTGAGCTTCTCACATTCATTTATTCAAATTTATGTACTATTGAACATTTTGTGGATAAATTGTACTATTATTATCACATAAATCTACTCATGCATGGTTGCCTCTATACTTGGAACCAACTTGCTGTTGAAAGATATATCTATATGGGTGATGACAATAAGGTGAAATATATATTATATGCACATTTAGGTTATCTAAAGATTACTTACTACTTATATTTGAATGAGATATGTTCTATTGTCTTTTAGCCCTAATCTAGTTTCAATTTGAAAATAGGATGTTTAATATATGTCAAAATTCAAATTGTATTGATATTAGTTATTTATCAAGTCATGATTTATACAATGGTCACTTCTAATAAATATTCTATATATTTTAATAAGTATAAGTATTAAATTAATCAATGAGAATTATACTTTGTTGTGGTGTAATAAATTATGTCACATATCTAGAAATAAAACAAATTAATATGTCCAGAAGAAATCTTGACCCATTTGATTATAATAACTTTGATGTGTTAATTATATTAAGAGAAAATGACAGATAGAAAGAGAACATGTGTCAAGTGAGGTTTGCACATCTTAGAATTATAATACACATATATTTGTGGGTCATTTTGTGTATTCTTAAAATGATCAATAATATTTTATTAAATTTATAAACATATTCTCAGTATAGTTACCTATCTAATATTAATAGTAAGTCTCAATTATTGAATGTGTTTAATAACTATAAGACTAAAGTGGAGAATCACTTAACAAAAATATTAAGAGTGTCAAAATAAATAAATAATTATTATGATTAAAAATATAATAATTCTTTATTTGTTCTTAATGAATTACGTTAGTAGTGATTAACCTAATGATAGTCCCATAATATATATTTAATATATATGTACGTGCTTAGATCAAATACAATAAGTTGTCTTTAATATTACTCCTAAAACTTATTACTAGTCATGAGATGATCCCATGCCATGATTTAGCTACAAGATGAGTGTAAAAGGTAAGCCTCAATTACTCCACGTATAGGGTTCATCAATTAAAAACTGGTATTATAATTTCCCTAATATAGATTTGAATAGAAACTAAATTAAGGCCATCTCAAGAATTTACAATAGTACCCCTAAAACTTATTAGTAGCCACAAGAGATATCCCATGCAATGATTTAGCTAAAAGGGGGTGTAAAAGGGGAGCCTCAAGTTAGTCCTGGTGTAGGTTGGGCTCGTCACCTCCTCAAGTGACTGACAGCTGTCCGATAAGAGCGGACCAGCAAGCCGACGCCGATCCCAACCCCGAGAGAGATGCCGAGCCCAATTCCAACACCCACCCGGACTCCAGCATTGAACCAGGAGAGCTCCACGTCCTCTTCATGGAGGTGTTTCAATCTGTAGTGAAGGCCGTTGATGTCAATGTCTGACTGATCCTCGGTTGTCCAATTGGTAGAGCCCATGGCTCGCTGTGGAAGATGAGAATCTGATGAGCAAGACGGATGATGGAGAGCTTGGTTCTACGATTTTTGAGGCCAACTTTAATGCTTTTGTAAGTCGACATGGAAGAATGTAATGGGCCGGGCTTGGCCTGGCAAGGCCCAGCCTGAGCCCAGGAATCTTTTGGCATGGCCCGGTGAAAACCCGAAGAGAGAGAGAGAGAGAGAGAGAGAGATGAGGGTAGGCCTGTTTTTCATTTTGGGTCTCATTATGAGCCTTAGGTCCGGCGAATACATAAACCAAAACAAAGATATAGCTATTATTCCACACAAAATACTCCAATATTACCAAATATTTTGTCATAAACAATGAAAGTTCGATAAAAAAAATCTTAAATAGGAAAATATCCGATCTTCAGTAAATTTTATCATACAAGTTAAGAAATATGCAAAAGGAAACTAATAGAAAACAGCTAACCGCCTTAAAAAAACTAACGGAGCCAAGAAAATAACCTTTTATGCAGGGCTACTTAGATGGTATATTCAGAGGAGATAATCACATGAGCTCAAGATGAACTGCACTGGTTAGACACCTCACGTACTATCTTTAAGGAAATGGAACTAATGTGACCATCCGCAAAGGAACGAATAAAAGGGAATGGAACTGTATCACTCTGAGTGATGGTTCACGAGATACAGGATGTATCAGAAACTTCAAGCCATAGAAAACTGTCGAGTCAGTGTACCTGTAAAGCCTCAGAGGAACCATCCATCCTCAAGTCAGTCAGATGATTTCCCAGAGTCGAAGCCGGCTTTGCCTTCTGATCATGTTTTGGTGTGAACCCAAGTTGAAGAGTCTCCGCCAAGATGATGTGTGAGCCAGAGAAGCAACCAGTGACATACACATCCACAGTTGGTATCTCTGTTTCTAGCCCCATATGTTGCTTCCTCTTCAGGAATGTGACACCAGCGGTCTTTATCTGTAGATGGGTAATGCTCCACTTCTTGCAGCGATCTCTTGATTCCCCAATAAATTCATCACTGTTGATGAGCTCCAAGAGCCCAGAAAACAGTATATCGTCTTTGTGACAGATCTCAAATCTCACACTCCCCGTCATTCTTATCTTATCTGTGCTCACAAATGTAGCTTCCTCGGTTCTCTTATCAGCCCTATCCCTGCGAAGAAGGGAAGAGAGGCTCCCACTGCAACTGTTGCCACTTCTTCCGTTGACCTCAAGGATAGTGTCAGGGCTCACAGCATAGTGATTGACAGTCAGATGGTCGGGTGTTGACTCCTCGACTTCACAGTTGCTGATCCTCATATAGAAGACCCTTAGATCAAACCATGACGATTTCATGGTTTGGTGAAGAGGGTGCTTGATGATCTTCCAATTCTGGGTAGATGGTTCCGGATACATCAAAGGGAGATTCTGACACCCTTCTGTCGACATTGAACTATGATCTTCCAATGGATAATCTCTCCCCCTTTCACATAAACTTCGGTGGCATGAAATGTAAATGAGAAATTGAGGCAGCAGAAACCATGGAGTCCAGCATCTGTCAAACCCAAGAAAATTATTCAATATATGTATCTAGAAATAGCACACGAATTGGGAAAGCTTTAGAAGAAAATTTCTTTAGAAAAAAATGAAGCAAAAGGATGTGAATGATAGACGGATGTTTGGAGCTCCTCTAAAGGTAAATGAACACATATTTAAGAAACGAACTTGTTTTAATGAGAAAGGAGAAGAAAAGCTTGCCTTCCCCAGACCAACCCTCACCCCCTCTACAGAAAGAATGGAAAGCAGAGTATTTCAGAAAGAAATAAGCGGAACGAATCTAAGATCGAAGCTTAGAAAAGGATGGTCTCAGGACCAAGAGAAGGAGAAGAAAGAGGTGAATGGTGAATCAATACAAACAGGGTAAGCCTAAGGCATCGTTTACAGAGCGTAGAAGAAAAAGCCGGGAAATATATCACCTGAAGAGAGGAATAGGACGTTACCCGGTCGATAAGAAGTAAAAAAGTAAATAAAACATGACTTGGTGAGACACAAAAGATTGGAAAATCCGTCTAGCTGGGTAGGATCATACCGATTAAGAGATTTGAGAGCGTGAAATCCGGCTTCTAACTCAAGATTTTACGCGAAATTGGGGAGAATACTGGGAATCAGACCAGAGAGGATCGCGTCTTCTCCGCTCTCTTTGGAATAATTTGTTTTTTCTCGTTCCTTCCACTCGCGATCGGAAATTAGGGCAGAGAATTAGAACAGAAGGAGAAATGCTTCGAATTCCGATAGAACTAGATACCAAGACTTGGTGTGCATAAACGATGGGAGGCACTACAATCTCACTTCATCCAGCAGCACCACAACGCACATCCTCCTCAACTCCCCAAGGGAATCCAAAACGAGGAGAGGGTTCCTCCCCCAATCCCTTTCACTCAGCACCAGATATGGACGAACACAGGCCACTCGTCTAAAGAGAGAACCGAATTATGCACTGTTTCCACCCAATTGGGGGATATCACGGTGAAGATATCATTTTCTAGACGAAGCAAACCAGCAGACGGAAGCAGATGAGAGGCGGAGGACAGACCGTCGATCCCGATCACAGCGATCTTCTCAATGGTTTAGATAATCTGCCGTTGGGATCCTACCCAGGGGGCCGGGGAACTTGGTGCCCTTCTTCCACCTGGACCTCTGCACTCTCCGCCTGCTGTGCTCATGCTTTACAGCAGTGGTCTGTGATGGTGAGGCTCTCTCTCTCTCTCTCTCTTTCTTGACACAGACACTCTTCTGGATCTTATCCCCCGGGGCCGGAGTCGACGTCAGCGAATCACACGAACCCGAGGTCCTTATATCGGTTAAAGATAACAGGCCCTTATCGGATCTCGGATAAGATCAGGGGTCCAGGTAAATGCTACGTGGACCTATCGCTCTCTCTCTCTCTCTCTCGCTCTCTCTCTATATCTATCTATCTCCATAAAATACTAAAAAAAAGAAAAGTATGTCAAAAAGCATCCCACAAAAGGACCAAATCTCTCTCTCTCTCTAATTCAACAGCTGGGTTTTAGGACAGGAGAAGTAACCTGGAGCGGGTAGAAGGAATAGAAGAGGCCACTTTGGGAAACGACGAAGAAAACGGTGGAAGGAAAACAGCCCGCTTCAGCTGAAACAGCGGCTTCACCCCTCTTTCTCCGTCACCGAGGGAGGGCAAAGTCTACGTAATATAGAACAAGAAAACAAAGGAGAGAGGATCAGAACCTGATGCATGCCAGGATGAGAGAGAAAGCATGTACAAATCAGAGAGGGAGTGAGGGAGAGATGCTGCTCAAGTCTGAATAAAGAGGAAATCAAGCAGAAATCTTCATCGATTATAATACCAGCGGAAGATATACTCGGCAACTCTTACCTAGACTAGAATTTCTACCCATAATAGTAACATCAAAACCTTTTATGCCCAACTTGAACAAGCATTTTATGTGATCAGATCAGACCCTCTGCTTCTTTTTTTTGAGAATGTGGGTAGTCACAGATGATCATCAGATAACACAGTACAGGCCATACTAGAAACGTTGATCATGCTTAGAGAAAACTGAAATTTAACAAGAGTTTCTTCCGAACTGCTCAGCGGATGATAGCTCAGGGAGTCTTTCAGCACAAACAGATTCCTACCGGTTCTCTATATATGTTCTGACTAATAGATGAAAAAGAAGAAGAAGAAGAAGAAGAAGAAGAAGAAGAAGAAGAAGAAGAAGAAGAAGAAGAAGAAGAAGAAGAAGAAGAAGAAGAAGAAGAAGAAGACATCACTAATCTGTACAGAAATCAAGAAAGAGTCTCTACCAGGATCATGGGATCCACTTCAAAGAATACTGTAAATGATAATTTCAGGCCTCTAGGTTACTTAAAGCAAAAACCATCTTTTCCATTAGATGGCACAAAAAGAAAACGTTTGAGATAGCTGCAATCTAAGTGCTTATCCGGAGGCCTTATTATTTTTCCTAACTTATGATACTTGCTCCAAAGCTAATCAGTATCCTTTTCAAACAAAGACACACGTACAAGAAAAAAAATCAAACAAATAAATAAAAGCCATGTTCCATATTGATAAGTTCCCAACACCATCCGGCAATAAATTGGGGCTGGTTGATCCAAGTTCAGATAATCCGCTACGCATTGATGTCCCCAGAAACACGCAATGCTTCCTCCAGGCTGAATCTCTAACCCTGCTAGGATTAACTTACTATCCCTCCTCACCCACACTGGGTTTGATGCATTCACGAACAAGTCCATTACCAGTTATCTACTCCATAAAAACTTATCCGAAACGATTATAAATACCCCTACCGGACATCACAAGAAGAAAAGATGGTTTTATCGAGCGAGAAAACAACATCGGATAGCTGCTGACAACAAAAAATAGTTCCGTGGTTTGAATAGAGAACCCAAACGCTCCATGCGTTACTGAAGTAGAAGGAAGGAAAAATACTCTAGAGTTTTCTGGTTCAAACATCAAGTATTGAGTGTTACAGCATACAATCCCGTGCACAAAACAGCACCTCGCACTAATTACTGGAAAAGATTAATCTTTGATTGATACCACATGGAAAAAAAGAACATGGACAAACCGAATAAAAGATTGTCGGATCGAACCCAGGTAACTAAGAGAAACGCAACACTTGCAATAGGCGGTGTATTCCTTAGGAGAGATATAAGTTGGCATCCGCATAAGTAGACGGTCCAAGAACTACCCTACACAGTTTACAATAGCATTTAAGGAAAAAATAAACATCACAATGACTTCATCTATTGCGAATCTATTTGAATCTTAGGTCTCCAAATGTTCCTTGAGAATTGATTGCCTCAAAGGTAGTATGATGGCATTCAATGCAGCAAAGTGGAAGTTAAAACATCCGAACGCAAACTGAGTCATAATGAGAAAATTGGCAAGAGTAAAGAAAACGCAAGCATATAAAAATACGGTAAAACCAGAAGTTCTGCTGCATAGAAAGATAAAAAAAATCCTAACGGTTTGGATTCACACACACAATGCACTGTCCAACACAAGAGGAACCCAATAATGAACCATGGACAAGATAAAACAGCAGTCCTGTTTATTGTGAAAGAATGATAACAGAAAGAAACGTGATCTGATCTCTAAGACAAAACAGATAGATGAGTTGCTTTCCAGGAAATTTCGTTCAGGTATCCACCTACATCCAATTTCCTGTTTTACCATTTAGACGCAAGCCCGCTGTCAAATTCAGAGTTGAAATATGGAGTCACATTCATCAGAAAACAAACACCAGGCTTTGCATCACACAGTGTAACAAAAAAAGGTGAAGTTTTGATAAAAAGGGTGCCAAATTGCGCATGAACAAGACAGCCTCAATGAAAATATAGCCACAGGCAGAATCCAAATGCCATCCACCGCAGTGTACTGTCTGTTGAGGATACACTAGATAAAAGATAACACAGTTTGAAATTGACCCTAAAAGTTATTATGTCTTCATTTTGATCCCCATAAATGTTTATTTCCTTCCCATACAAACAGCAGGTCTTGGTCACAACGGTAAAGCACGTCCTATCATGAAATAAGAAACAAGTTAGGACATGGATTAGCTGTGTTGATAAGTTATTTGCAGCTATCAATGGAAATTGCGAGTTGAAGCCTGAAAAAATGTGAACTGATACGAGACAAAACATTGAAGTTTTTTTAAAAAATTGCTTAAAAAAGAAATGTTGTTGTGGGGATGAGTGGGAAAATCATATAGAATTGAGAATATTTTCCCGAGATAATTAAGTTTTCTTGATGATCTGCCTTCACTTTAATATTCAATTCTTTTTCCAGTCAACAGGTGGATAGGCTACACTAAGAGGATTCTCTTAACCATGGCATGGAAGCGAAAAAATATCAAGTATGCAAAAAGAAAAAAACTTGGCTACAAGTGAACAAACCTCAATAAGTATATAATCAATTAATGAGTTTATTAGGCTTGAAAATCACCAAAGAAACCTAGAACATTCAAATGCAACCGCTCTTCCATGGATCCATTAAATGTGTTAGCACAGAGCAACGTAAAATTGGCTTGTAAGTTTCTGACTCATAGGTAGACAACGGAGAAAGGGTTCGCATTAGTATCATAGCCTTTAATAAGAAAGATGCCTGAACACTAGGATTAATCCGAAAGAAAAAAAAAACACTCACAGTTCATATTCCACACATTAAAGCCCTCACTTTTCCTAGCACAAGTCAGATCCCCTTTTTGAGACCTAGGCAAACATTAACATCATCGTAACTATCAGACTACAATAGTTTAATCCATAAACATAATTAAAGCATCCATAAAACTGGCATTCACGCAACAAAATTCAACCGCGGTAGTTAATCTGCGTTAAAAACCCCTTGTTCTGGTCTTTGTAACCCAAACGAAAGTCCTCAGGGGTAGCCCAGTAGACATAAACCAGATAAAATTGCTTAAAGAAAACAAAGAACAAATAACGCAGGCCTCAATCAACGTGATACTTTCGTAAAAATCAAACGAGACAGGGAGGAGCAAGGAATACCCTGAGAGAGCCAGCTCCAGCATGACGAATCCACGGCAATGAAGGACTTAAGCCGGGCCGACGCGATGGCACTGTGAAGAGGCATCAAGGATTCCACGGTTTCCAGAGCAGCACATGTTGACCTGAAGGGCGCACAGAATGCGCGGAGGGAAATCAAGTTAGATCCAGGAAATTCGAGCGAGAGAGAGAGAGAGAGAGAGAGAGAGAGAGAGAGAGAGAGAGAGAGTGCCAGACCTTGAGATGAGAGGAGGGCCTCGCTTCTGTGGGAGGGCCTTCGGAAGAACGCTCTTGGTGCGTGACAAGACGGATCTGGCGGTGGCCACGGCGGCGGACCTGGACAGAGACGCCATCGTCGAGCGAGATGGCTGCCTGAGAAGGAAAAACCTCCAGCATAAACCCTATTTGGGAGGCGGATCGGATCGTACGCAGTATTCGGTGACTCGGACGAGTTGGTCGTCTAGGACTCGCGGCTTCAATTGTTCTATTAATGTATAATTATGAAAATCCTAAATAAATCCGCCTTGTTTAGGTGGCATTAACAAGCTCTTTGTCATCATATTTTTCAGATTTAACTAATTAAATAAACATGAAGTTTTTTAGTAGACCACACTTGCTACTTCGATTTTATTATTTTAATTTAAATAATTGAAAATTAAGATGAATTACTATCGGCACATAACATCAAGATCACAACGATGCATGTTCACATTAAATTATTTGAAAATTAGTACTTATGTACAACCTAATATATACATCAATAACAAGTCAACGAGTTAATATATGGGAATTAACTTCATCAAATAATTGTTTAAATAATAATGATAGAAGATAAATTAGCAACTAACATGATAGTGGAATTAATTTATATATTGTGGGAATCAAGACAACTAAATAGCAAAGTTGACTCACCCTACCATGCAGTCTAATATTGTATCAAGATTGTGACAAGGATCTGAAATAGACCAATTCATGTATCCACTCTTTTTCTTACTCCATGAGGTGACCATGATAAGATGAATAGGACATGTTTGAAGCTAATTAAATGATTTTTTCTATTTTTTTATTTTTTATTACCTACGTATCAAGATGTTGCTTAAAATGTATGATAACGTTATCATCTCAAATATATTAAGATATTTGAAATGATAAAGTTATTTCAAGAGTGTTTAAACCCTTTTTTTACTCATAAATTCATACAATAAATACTATATTATTACTTATTATGGGAAGAATACAGAAAATTACCATTAATATGTTACAAATGACTTTAGAACTTTATTTTGACAACTCTAGTTTATAATTTACTGTCTAATAATCATGCTGAGGGATTTGTAAATGCTAGTATTGTTTGCCATTTTTCATCAATTTATGAACTATAGATTTGATCTTCATGGCAGCCGCATACAACCCTTATGAAATTATTTTCTACCAAGTTCCACTTTAAGAGAAACCTAATTTCATGGCCCTAATTCACTTCAACATGTGATATGTCACTAGAGTACCATACTTTCACAATACCTTTGTGTTTATTAGAAGGGGATTAACTTCTCATTAAAAAAGTCAACTACTACAATAATAATAGATTATGTTGATATAAGTGGGTCACATGAGGAGCTAAGCTGGGAGAGATAAATTTGACCTTTTTTGTCAATTTCTAGTCATAACTTGTCAAGTGAGTCAACTCAATTTAATAAAAAAATAAAAATGAAGACCAAGATTTGTAGTGGATCAGACTATCCTTTCTACCTATTATAAGACTATTTGAAAGGATGTGTATTCTCCATTTCAATGTACATCTGTTGAACATCATGATATTAGGATTGCCTTACGCTAGTGAAAACTTGCTAGTTTCTTTTTGGATAATATTCATTGACCTATATTATTAGTACGTTAATCACTAAGGCATCAGATCTCCCCTTGATATAGTTGGCAACTCTAAATGAGCATAATATTTGGCACTCAACACCAGCTTGTCCTTTTAGATTGATAAATATAAATATCTATAAAAATATATTTTTCCATCATAATTTTATGAACCCTTGTAATAAATGAAAGTTAAAACACTCACAAATGGTCTAAAAATGAATGGAGGTAGAAATATAATTATTGTTTAAATAGTTTCCTTTCAATCCTTCAATCAATCTATGGACATAGATATGAAAATTTTAGAGCATTTTAGTAGTAGAAAATGAATTGTGTTTAAGCATACTCACTAAATTCTCAATAATGCAACTAAGAATGTCCTTTACTACATCACCATACTTTACAACATTCCTTACAAGGTAAGTCAACCCCCTGTGGTCAAGTCTTTGTACAACCTTTTGGCCGTAGATTAGTACATAAGTATAGTATTCTTTTACGTGCATTCTAAAATTAATGATATGATGATTATTTCATTATGATAATCTCAGTGTGGGGCTAACCACAGCTTTTAAACCCGTCAGCTAAACAATCAGGGTTCATAAGACTTTCAGATAGAGTTGACTCACTTATACTCACTTGCCATTATTCTGAGACAAGATCTTCATGGGGATCATCTCAGTCGAATTATAAAGAACTCTGAATAATTCTACGGCACTCGGATTCTCCTTTCTGATCTTCCTAAAGGCCACAAAGCCGGAAAGAACTTGCCATGTGTAGCTAATCCCACCCCACGCCGCCTTTGATTCTTGTCTCCACTGTATATCCTCCGAAGGACTGGATGGTCGGAGGGATCAATCAATCAATACACAATTGGAACTGAATTTCTGTACGCAGTGAGGGGTAGATTGATCAATCGATCGATCCTCTGGGTTTTCTCTGTCTTCTATCGCCGCCGCTAAATTCACGGCGGAGGACTGGGCAGGTCGTCGTGGTGGCAGTCGCCGGTGGTGGGCTCCGGGAAGATCTCCTTCGAGGGCTTCCCGCGGGAGAAGGAACGATCGCCGGGGCTCTCTAGCTTCAGCCCCGCCGCCGGCTCCCTCGCGCTGGGGGCAGAGGTGATGTCGGAGGAGCTGTGCCGCCAGCTGCCAAAGAGGGTGGCGTTCCAGGAGCCCCTGGAGGAGCCGACCCGTAGGCGGGCAGAGCCGCCACCACTATGGTCCTCCCTCACCACCTTCAATGGGCTCTCCAGTGCCCGCAGGATATGCTTGGCCAGCGGCCGCTTTGATGGCCTGGGATTCATGCAGGACTTGGCAACAATCGCCATGGCCCAGACCTCCTCCAGCAGGTCATCGTCCACAATCAGTGATGGGTCAACGATCTTCGCCACGAGCTCCCTCTCATGGACACTGATGCAGGAGAGCGTCCTCTCCAGCCAGTCACCATCGGCGATGTCGTCGGAGCTGCTGACCCCGAGCTCACCGGTGACCAGCTCGAGCAGCACCTTCCCCAGGCAGTAGACGTCGTAGGCGCATGAGACCGGCGCTGAGCCTGGATATTGACCGAGCACAAAGATGAGTCAGAGTTAGAGTCAGAGTCTCTTCACACCAGGGTCAACGGGAGAGGTCAACGCTAGGTCTATTTTCTCTCTGGGCTTTGATTTGAGGTCCGAAAACCGCAAGGAAAAGGTGGGCGAGGCATACTCACACAATCGGTTCGTCAACGTACCTGAAGTGCCTTGATCAGGGGCCCTGCGCATCAGGATAAGAAAGAGATGGATTAATTCCAAATGAAACTTACCAAATTGCAGGGATTATATGCATATAAATGTCATATAGATCAAGAAAAATGTCACAGCATGAGACAATTTCGCAAGACCACAGTGAAATTCTACAATCACGGGACCAAAATACCAATAAATAAAAAAACCAATCTAGTAATAAAATCTGGGTCGATTAATATCACCGGATCACTTACTTACGAAGGAACCGAGAGAGGATATTCTGGTGGGCATCGCCTTCTTGGTGGCACACTTCACTCAGGCTACCAACCCGGACTTCAAATTTGTCGTCCAGAAGAATGCTGCTTGCTCGGATATCTCTAGAATTATTCACATAAATGACTCAGCAAACGGCAAAAAAAAAAAAAGGGAAAAAACTTTAATACATTCTTATTTCAGAAAATGGGTTGCAAATGAATGCTAATGAACTGCTTAAGACGACAAAGATCAAATGGGTTGCAGATGAATGCTCAGAAAGTTAATACCTGTGGACAAATGGAGGACTGCACTCGTGATGCAGATAGCACAGAGCCTCGGCGATCCCAATGGCGATCTTCATTCGCGTGATCCAGTCCAGTGACTGCAGACCGTCTTCCTCCATCGCTGATTTCCAGTGGAGAGAAGTAGAGAGATCGCCATTCGGGGTGAACTTGTAGACGAGGATCTTCTCGTCGTCCTTCTCCAGGCAGCGTCCCAGAAAGGGGACCAGTCTGGTGTGGGAAGCCTTCGAGAAGAAATCCAGCTCGATCTGATGAACGTCCTTCTTGGAAACCTTCAGGTCGATCCTCTTCACGACCACCGGAGCGCCGCCTTCCAGGGTGCCCCGGTAGAGATCTCCTGAATGCCCACGTTTCATCAGATTTGACTCGCTGAAGTTGGAAGTAGCCCGGAGGATCTGCTCGTAGGTGAAGGAGGTCCCAGTGGTGGAGAAACCTGCAGAGATTCCAGGCCCAGCTCCGGCATAAGCGGCGTCGTCGGCGACCTTTTTCTGATCAGCAGTGGCAGCTCTGAGCCTCATCAGGCAGCAGAGAACCATCACAACCAGGACGATCCCAAGAGCGACGCCGCCAAGAACCCCTGCAAGTATATACTTGAGGTGCACATTCCTCCTCCGGCGGGGGAACTCTCCATCTGAGTTGGTGCCGTTGACTCCATCATATGCCAGCCCCCTCTCGGCATAGAATTCGGCGCACGTGGTCGAGCTTCTCTGGCGGGAAGTATCGCTGAAGCAATTCAGCTCGAAAGAAGCGTTGACGCCGAGGGGTGCCTGGCCCTGGAAATAGTTGTCGGAGATATCCACAACGTCAAACCTCTTGAGAAGGCTCCCTTCTCCGATGGGTATGGACCCAAAGAAAGAATTGTGGGAAATGTTGAAGAACCCGGACCCGGCTTTGAAGTCAACCACCAAACCTGGCAGGCGGCCGCTGAAGTTGTTGTAGGAGGCATCGAGGAGACGAAGATCGGAGAGGGTCCACAGAGAAGACGGCAATGTTTCAGAGAAATTGTTGTTGTTTAGATAGAGAGACTGGAGCTTGCGGAGGCTCCGGAAGAGGCTATCAGGGAGAGCATCGGAGAGGGAGTTCCTGCTTACGTCCAGTACCAGCAGGCTTTGCAGATTCTTCAGTTCCTCTGGGATCCTTCCGCTGAGAGAATTCCGACTGAGATCAAGGGTAACCAGCGAGGAGAGATCTCCGAGTTCAGCTGGTACTGCTCCGGCGAGGCTGTTGTTGGAAGCTCGCAGGGTTACCAGTTTCGACAGCTTCCCAATCTCCGGCGGAATGGGGCCGGCGAGGAAGTTACCGGAGAGCTCGAGGAAGGTGAGTCCAGCGAGTGAACCGAGGGTCGCCGGTATTGACCCTGTAAGCGCATTGCCGGAGAGATCCAGGACGGTGAGATTGGAGAGGTCGCCGATCGTCGGAGGGATGCGCCCAGTTAGCAGGTTGCCGGAGACGTACAGGGAGCTGAGCGCCGCCGCGTTGCCCAGAGAGGAGGGAATGGAACCGGAAATGGAGCAATGGCGGAGGTCGAGGACGGAGAGGGAGGGTGGGAGACGGGGGCCGAACCAGTCCGGGAAGGGACCCGGCAAGGCGAACCCGGAGGCGTTGAATGAGACCAGGAACGAGAGGTTCTGGATGCCGTCAACGGCGAACTTAGGGTTCCGGCGACCGACTCTCGTCCGGCGGAGTCCGGGGAGCTCGAGCCCCACGACATGGCCTGCTCGGCACCGGACGCCGGCCCATCGTGCGCAGGGGTCCACCTTCCTCGGCCAGTCCCCGGAGCGGAGACCCAGAGAAGAGCGGAGGCTGTAGAGAGCAGCGAGCTCGGTGCCGGAGGTCAGCCGCTGCTGGGACGGCGGCACCGCCGGCATCGCCTGCCCTAAAGCTGTTTGTTCCGGGTAGAAGAGAATGAAGCACAGAAAGAACGTGACGACGACTAGCGACGTCGGAGCTGCCATGGCGGCCAGAAGTTGCACCAATCCGCCTTGGAAATGTCACGGCCGAGACCATGATCTCTCACTCCTCCACCTCGTTCCGACACCGTTCGAGCTGCGAGAACGCCCCATTTTCTTCTCTCTCTGTACACCCGCAGCACAGAAATCTCTACTCCTTCCGCATCTTTCGGATTGGCGGGTGAATCGAAGAGGGATCAACAGAGAGATAATAAAGGCAGGGTGATAGAGAGAGATGGACAGTGTTCTGACGAGGATACGATGCGGCGAGATGAATTCGATTTCTACTCTGCAACCTCCTACAGCTATCGTCCCCTACCTCATTAAAATCCCTCCCCCGTTTAAATGCAAAAAGACCCCCCTTTTACCAACCCTCCACCCCCCTCCGCTCCCTTCTCACTTCCCCCGCTACCGCCGCCGCCGCCGGCGGCCGGGAAGAGAACACCACCACCGCCGCCACTGTTCCCCGACATGGGCTCATGGCCACAGCGTTGACCGACTGGAGACTCTCTCTCTCTCTCTCTCTCTCTCTCTCTCTCTCTCTCTCTCTCTCTCGCTAGATCTCCTGCGCAAGAGCAGCCGCTGCCATGGCGAAGCTGCTGCGTCTTCCCTGGGAGGAGTCTTCACCGCCACCTAGGTTACCCATTTAAAACTCTCGGGGTAGGCGTCTTCGGGCCCGCAGGCCCGCTCGTAAACTTCCTGGCCTGGCTCGGCCCGGTCTCTTTTTCAGTTTGACAACTCCACTGAGCTTCCATTTTTCTGTCACACAAATAATTCAACTAATAAAAAAAGCCCACGGGGCCACCATGAACAAAGCCCGCGGCAAGGCGGACTAGTCAAATGCTCACGTGCAGTGTAAACGCCGCATTCGTCGGGCCCCACACGACGCGCTCCGCTCTCATAAGCCGGGACCATGCTACGGACGATCGAGATCTTCTCTGACGTATTGGTGGGCTAACCCCGTTATGTTTTTATTTTTGCAGAAAACAGCGCGCGACCAAAAATTATAATCCTAGCGGCAATCAGTTGACTCGAGTCTCCTCCCTCGCTCAGCCCGCGTAATAAAAAAATAGATTACGACGTGAGGGTCCTCCATGAAATATTCCACGCCGGCGGATTCGAATTCTTATCTCCTTGGATACCGTCACTCTCTACCTCATTTACTCCGCTGCATCAGTCTACGGCAATCACACGCAAAATCGGAAACCCTCGCGTACTTCCAAAAGACCTGGGCGGTGACGACAATCCAAACTGACCCCCCTCCTCCACCCCACCCCCCCTCTCATGGACTTCGATATTCCACTTCAGACGGATCCAAATCGGGTATTAAAGCTGGACGTTGACATTGGAACAAATAACCCGCGGCATCGGATTTAGATCCATATTACTCGATGGGGGAGGGGGAGTATGATGGTGACACGTGGTTGTTTCCGCGCTTTAAATAATCCGTGGGACAGAATACAAGCGCCAAAGATTCTATCTTTTATATCGATGCCAGGGTGTTCGTTGGGCCATGTATAATAGAGCTGTTGGGCCGAGTGACGTGGACATGGGCTCGAGTGTGAGCTGGATGGGTTCTGGACTTGCCATGTGGCTCATTATTGCGCTGTCTTCGGCGCCCCCGCATTAACTCGGCAGACCCTACGAGACCCGTATGTTAAAAGACTTTTTAAATTTCAGCTCAAGAAAATTATTTAGTTATGTACAGACATTGACTTTTCTAGGTTTAGGTAAGAAGCCCGTAATGGACGTCTCTCCTTCCCTTGCTTGTGGGGGTTGTAATATAAATAAAACTAAAGATGGTGGATTTTTCCATGGTTAGAATACTAGGGAGTAAAGAAGGAAATGAACCCACCGCGAAGTGCGCCGGCTATAGGGCGCCACGTGGACGGAGAGCATCTCCAGGCTGTCTGCTAACGTGTGGGATTCCGTGGACCGGGTCAGTGGCTTCGACGGTGATGGGCTTTTTTGGGCCTTCCGCCCCGACCCCCTCCGCATCTATTAGGCCTGAGGGGGACTATGGGGCCCATTCATGGGCCCACTCTTAGTTTCTTCGGATTTAAAAATGGGGGTTTGCTAAGCCTCCTCTCTCTCTCTCTCTCTTTCCCGCCCTCCCAGTCTCTCCATCAACAACATCGCTCCCGTTCGCGAGGAAGGACAGCCGTGAAGGAACGAAAAACGCGGAGATACAAAAGCCAGGGCGAGGAGAGATGAAGAGAGAGAAGCCCTCTCTCTCTCTCTCTCTCTCCCTCCCTCTCCTCTCTCTCTGATCCCGTCAATCTGTTACGCACGACGAAGGATTCAGCGGGGAGGGATGGTAATATCGGGCAGGGAACGAGCAGCGGGAAACTGTAAACACCGTTGGACCTCATGCAGCCGTGTGTTTCAAATTTCCCGCCGCCCTCCTACGCCCGCAGGGTATGAGAGTTACAGGTTTTGGCGGGAAAAAGGAACTATCTCGCCTTCTTATACCCCTTCTCTCCCCGCCCTCCGTCACGGGGCTCCTCTCTTCGATTATGAACTGCAGAAACCTACCCGACGAAATATGCACCGAGATCCTCTCGTGGCTTCCGGCGAAGCAGGTGGCCAGATGCCGGAGCCTCTGCAAGGGCTTCCGCGCCGTCACCCGGAGCCAGTCCTTCGACCTCTCGCAGGCTCGTCGGGGGAAGGGTGACGCCGGCGTATTCCTGCGCGGCTATTTTGGGGTGTCCCAGTTGGTGTTTACGGAAGAGAGCTCCGATGTGCCCCCGGAGTCCGTCCAATTCCTGAGCAACGAGAAGAAAACGATTTTCGGGTGCGACGGAGGGCTGGTCGTCCTTCTGGAGAATGTGTAGGAGGGACAGGCCTCTTCGAGGCTCTTGCTCTACAATCCCGCCCGGGTAGCATCGTTGCCCCTGGGGATACCAGGCGGCGGGAAGGTCCTTGACAACATGAGTTCCGGCGCCTCGGCGAAGGCGTCGACGTGGACGTGGTCTGCGTCACCCCGACCGACTACTGGAGCTGCTTCATGGAGTGCTGGCTCTCCTCTTGGGAGCGCAGGTGGAAGCTAGTGAGCGACAAGGTCTTCCTAGCCCATAGAAGTATCAAGATCCACCACCCCGTCCTCTCTGCCAACGGGCTCATCTACCTCGCTTCAACCTGCGGGAGACACAAGAGGCAAATCCCCCCCTACCTTCTCGCCGTGGACGTGAGAGTTGGGAGCTCCAGGATCCTGCCGCTGCCAGAGAAGGCGGCCCTCGCTTCGGACGACGGCGACATAGAGATCGCAGGGTCCGGCAGCGGCTCTCTCCTCAGCCTGGTCGTCTGCAACAGGGCGTCCGAGTTCACCATTTGGGACGTGAAGGACCCCGACCGGTGGGTGTAGGAGGAGCGGGGCCTCCATGTGAGCATGGCCTCCAAGGGGCAGAAGCCGACAGTCTGTTGGAGCAGATCACCTATTGATGAAGTAAAACCACCACTTGTACTAGAGATCTGGAGAAAAACGTGAGAGCAAAAGAGGGGTTAGAGAAGCAAACAGATTATTCTACAGAAAGAAAACGATTCTTCTCATTAGCATTTTAAAATCAAACACCCGATAGACATTCTTATAGAACACATAGACAGACAAATTCAAGCAAAAAGAACAGAAAAATAAGGTCGTCTATTGAATCTGCAGAGTTGGATCACCACCCATCATTCTTCTCCTTGATCTTGCTCCTCATCTCCAATAATGCTAAGTTCCACCTTCTCATGCATATCATTAAACTTCAGCCTTCCCAATGTTTTAGTAAAGTCATCTACCAATCGCTCTTTAGTCTTCACATACTCCAGTTCGATCAGTTTTTGTTCTAAATAAAAACGAATAAAATGATAATATGTGTCAATATAATTCGTGCGGCTGTGATGAACTGAATTCCTGCTTAGATCAATAGCTGATTTATTATCAACCATTAATGATGGCAATAACCATTTTTACCTCTTCTCCTTTTAACTCAGTAATAAAACAACTCAATCAGTTTTTTTGACAAGCTGCGACAATGATGGCAATATATCTGCTTCACAAGTCAACAATGCCACGATCTTTTACTTCTTTGAGCTCCAACTAATTGCCATGGACCTGAAGTAGAACACTTGGCCTGTGGTACTCCTCTGATCTTCTTCTACATCTCCAGCAAAATCATTGTCGGTGTAGTCAATTAATTTTACTACATCTTGACCTTTATCGTAAACAAGTCCATAGTTCAATGTCCCCTTAATGTACTTGAGGACTCTGTTCACTACTAGCATGTGTTCAAATGTCGAATGCTCCATAAATCTGCTCAGAAGTTTGACACTAAACACAAAATCAGGTCGAGTATGAGTCAAATACCTAAGACTCCCAATCATGCTTTGATAGATAGTGGGGTTTACTATAGAATTTGGCCCATTCTTTGTGAAATTCAACGTGTTTCCATGGGAGTGAGAGCAGAATTACAATCCATCATACTGCACTACTCAAAAATCTTCAATGCATAAGTTCTCTGATTTAGAGAAATATGAGAGCTCCCTTGAATAACTTCAATGTCTAGATAAGGGTTAAGTAATCCTAGATTACTCATCTCAAATAAGTTCATCATTTTGTTTTTAAAATTATGAATGTGAATAGTTTTTACACTTGTCACAATCAAATCATCAACATAGACATCAATATATAACTAAGAATCACCATTTTTTCTTGAAGTAAACAACATGCTCTTGTTCACCACTAATGAAATCGAGATAGGATAATTATTGATCTAGCTTGAAATATCAAACTCTTGGTGCTTGCTTAAGCCCATAAAAGGCCTTTTTCAATATGAACACATAGTGTTCTTTTTCTTTGGCAATGAAGCCTTTTGGTTGGTTCACATAAATTTCCTCATTAATTTTGTTGTTCAAAAAAGTAGATTTCACATCCAATGATGTATTTTCCATCTACTTTGCGGTGCAAGAGCCACCAATACATGAATGAACTCAAATATTGCAACTGGAGTAAATACCTCTTCATAATCAATCGCATATCTTTGAGTGTACCCCTTCACAACTAGACAAGCCTTGTGTCGTGTCACTTCTCCTCTATATTTTTTTTGATCTTAAATACTCATTTGAGCCCAATGGTTTTACAACCAGGTGGTGGAGAAATAAATTCTCAAGTATCACTCTTCTTTATTGCCTCTAATCCTTCTTTTATTGACTACTTCCATTCTTCATATTCAGAAACTTCAAGATAAGTTGTTGATTATTCTTGAGAAGTGCAGTAAATAGTCATGCTAAACGACAATAAATTAGTCTCATTATAAATATATTGAACAGACCTTAATCAACTTGCTTGCACCTCTTCTAAAGAAGAGAATTCCTTTGAATTTTTTGTGAATGTTTCTTTAAGTATAGGTTCCTTATGTTCAAAATTATCAACCATCAAATTAGAGAGTGAACAAAGATGAAATCGATCTTCATCATCTGCATCTTCCTCTATATTCTATTCTCATTTGCTCCCTTCTTCAAAGACTACATCCTTACTAATATGAATTTTAATAATTAGAAGATCAAGGCAGCTATAGCCTTTGGTGCTAGTCTCCTAGCCAATGAAAATCATAGGTCAGCATCTATCTTCTAATGTTTCAGTCTCTTTCTAGTGGTTTTAAAATGAACAATAGAATCAAATACCCTCTAATGGTTAACACAAGACATCTTACCAATCTATTTTTCATATGGAATTGCACCTTACAAGTATTTCATAGGTGACTTGTTCAAAATATAAATACAAGTGCTCATTACTTCTCCCCATAGCTCCAATGACAAGTTTTTCTCCTTCACCATGCTTCTGACCAAGGACATAATAGTCTTATTTTTTTTTCCCATAACCTTATTCCATCATGGTGAATAAGAAGTCATCAGTTGCCTTTTAATACCTTGTTCATCACAAAACTTCATGAATTCTTTTGAAATAAATTCACCCCCATGATCTGTCCTCAAGTACTTTATCTTTATCTCCTTTTCATTTGGTTGCCTTAAACTTCTTAAAGGCTCTAAAAGCATCTGACTTATTCTTTAACATAGCAACCCACATGAGCCTAGAAAAATCATCAATGATTAGAAAAAAGTACTCAAGAGGCTTCGTGGCTTTGAAATTTGATGAGGAGGGCAAAACTTTCTTTGTTATTTTCCAACATAACTCTGAAAAATCTCTTTAAGTTTTTTAAGAGATGGCATCCCAATCACTTGATTAGTCATAGACATTAATGACTTAAAATTTAAGTGCCCAAAATGCTCATACTATAGCCAAATCATTTCATCTTCTTCCTCCATCAATAGGTAGGTTTTCACTATATTCAACTTCAATTGATATGGCTTGTCATGAGATCTGCACACTATGGTCAAAAGTTTTCTATTAAAATTATGAATTACTAAAATTTTATTTTTCAAATTCATATTGTAATCATCCTCATCGAGTTGGCCAAGACTTAGGATATTTACACGCAACTTAAATGTATACAAGACATTCTTTAATTCAAAGTTCTCTCTATTTGTACATTTCACCACAATTGACCCTTCGCCACATATGTCAATACCTAAATCATCACTAAATTTTACTCTCCCTATTCCACTATTGTCAAAATGATAGAATAAGTCATTTTTTCTAGTCATGTGAGTAGTGGCACCCATATCAAGATATCACGTCACTAATAGAGACATCTCTATCTTGGCCTTAGATAAGAATGGCTTTTAGTTCCTCAAAAAATGCCATGAGCAATGCTGATTCACTCTTTTCCTTGGTGTTGGCAATATTTGCCTTCTCATCCTTCTTCTTTGGCTTCTTCCCATTGTGACATTCGGAAGCAAAATGACCCATCATTTGTAGTTAAAATATTTTACCTTAGATTTGTCAAAAGTCCTTCTTTCCTCATCTTCATTATGAGTTTCAAATGATTTTCTTCGTCCTCTTTCTCTTCTTCTGCACGGCCATACCACAATCTCGGTTGGATGATTGCCCCCAAGGTTAAGCTTCATCTTCTCCATGGCTCTTGCTAGGAGAGTCTGTTGTTCTTTTCTAACCTCATGATCATGAAGCCTTTACTCTTTGACCAACAATGATCCAATGGCTTCTTCAAGTGTCATTTTGTTCAAATCTCCATATTACTCTATGGTAAGTATCAAGGAATCAAACTTTGAAGGGGTGGATCTAAGAAGCTTACATATTGCTTCTTTCTTAGAGATTGATTCACCCAAACTCTGTAACTCTAGCACAATCTTAGTGATCTTGACAGCGAAGTGAACTACGAGCTCTTCCTTTCTCATGGAAAGGGCCTCAGTCACACCAGAGTCCATCAACTCTTGACTCAACGACAAGATCAACTCCAGTATTGACAAGACGTAGAGCCTCTCAATTTTGCTTTGCAATCTTCTTGGTGTCGAGATTTCTCAAGAAATCCTCTAACACAATGTTGAAAATTAAAAAACAATACCTACTTGTCATTTTTCCTAAGAACATCATCACCCTCAATGGCATCTCACCATCCTTGTGCCTCCAAATAGCACTCCATCATCATTGACCAATGACGATAGTTTGTCTTGGTCAAACAAAGTAGTTGTGTCGTCGCAACAAGTTTTGATGACTTGGATGAAGTAGCAACAGTCTTCAACATCATCACAGGTCTTAGAGTTAGAGGATCTGATACCAATTGCTAGAGTAGATCACCCATTGATAGAGTAAAACCACCACTTGTACTAGAGATCTAGAGAAAAACATGAGATCAAAAGAGGGGTTGGAGAAGCAAATAAATTATTCTATAGAAAGAAAAATGATTCTTATTTTAGTATTTTAAAATCAAACACTTGATGGACATTCTTATAGACACGTAGACAAACAAAGTCAAGCAAAAAAAATGAAAAAATAGGGTCACAGTGAGATAGATGACAGTCTCATACAATAAGAAAAATAAATAAATTAAGTAAGATATAGTCAAATGCGGAAAAGGGGCTTGATCGGCTCCTACTCCAAGCTCTACCTTCTCGAAGATAAATCTCATCCATTGAATCTACGAAGGAGTTGGATCACCACTCATCATGGTCAACGGCTACATTCTCGTCTTCACAATTGAGTACATCTACATCTACAACATATACAACAGCTAAGGGCAGAAGCTAATCCTTCACCAGCCAATGCTCCATTCCTTTATCTACTCATACGTCAATGCCCTCCAACCTTGTGAGAGATCAAAGGAGGGATGAGGTCACCACACAAGCCCATGTCTATATTTTCTTGAAATATCCTATGATTTAGAGTCTTTTACCTTGTATTATCTGCATTGAGTTGAATAAAAATTCAAAGCTTTCCTCTTTTGGATCCATATTTGCAAACTCATTATCCTTTAAACACTTCAACCCTTCATATTTGGATATGGATAATTGTATAAAGAGCCCTGCTGGGTTGTGCCGACATCTGGTGAAGAACCCAAGCCCAACCCACCTCCAAGACAAGGGACTCTCTATCACTTAACTTGAGGCTCGAGACTATTAACTTAAGAGAGAAGAAAGGGAGGAAAGAGAAGGCAAATATGTCTAGAAAGAGTAGTGGAGAGGAGTCATTGAGACAAGAAGAAAGGTAGCAAATCGTTTGCATAGAATGAGCCCTAGATGATGCAATTTATTATATGGTAGATGGGTTAACATAATTAAGTGTGTTAGGCTGTAATAGGCTTATCGCTCTAACACTCCCTCCTCAGACTCACAATGAAAAAATTATTCAGAGTTTGTTTAGAAGAAATTGAAAATAAGATATAATATAAGTTTTGGTATTGAAACCAATCAATTGTAGAGACTATAGAAATGTAAGACAATGTCATAGTGGTGAGCTAAAGATGATGTCAAACAAAGTGGTAGTATAGAAAACAATGCCATAATGGTCAACTAAAGACAATTGGGCAATTTACCATAACGATGCCATAGTGGTAAGTTAAAGACAAATAAGTAATTTACTATAACAATGGCATAGTTGTGAGTTGAAGACAATCAAACAATTTATCGTAACAATGCTATAGTGGTGAGCTGAAGACAATGTCATATGTTTCGTGCACTCATGAAAAATAGACGTGGGTTATCTGAACTTTACTTTTGTTATCACAATGGAGAGAAGTTGAAGTGGTAGACTGCGATACTCACATTTCACCAAGTAGCAGGCATGTGTTACCTCATTGGTTGAGGGGGGGTGATAAAAGCTTTTTTAATTTTCAGGGATTGACTTTAAAAATTAAAAATATAGAAGAAATACAAAAAAGTAAATAATTATTAGTGATAAAATAAATCACATGTTGAGTTTAGTATTCTAGAGATTTAATCCTAGCTCACAATTATAGATTTACAAACATTTGCTATTGTTGATAGGCCTTAACCATAATCAATCAGTCAATATGAAAATAGTTAAATCAATTCTAGAAAATAATTGGTGCCAAAATTTCCTTGAAGTAAATAATCAATACAAAAAAAGTCAATTTTCATGATTTTCATCAGCACAACATCCATTAGATAAGTAGTGACTACCCTCTAAAAAGGTCTTGTTAAAATTTTAGGTCAATGAAAAATATCTTAAGTAGCAGCATGTAACCTCAAATAGAAATCTATCATGATTTAGAAATAAAGAAATAACAAAAATATGAATAGTATATAATATGCCAATGGTAAAGCATAATCACATAAATGATCATATATAATTAAATGTAATTATGACTTTCAAAAACAAAGAATTTGCCTCTTAAATAGCCCTACTACTTTAGAGAATGACTTATCCACATTTATATAATATTCACTTTGGCTTATCCACATTTATATAATATTTACTTTAAGCTGTTACGACCTATATGTTTAGTTTTTTATCCCTCCACTTGTATCATCTAATAATATACTTAAGAGGATCTTCCCAATATTATAACATAATATAATATAATATAATCTTATCTAATATTTTAAAATACAACTTTAACAAAAAAACTTACAATTTCTTAGTCTTATGTTTTTTTTTCTACTTTCAAAATACTCAAAAGAAAAGTAAAGAAAAATAAACTTGAAGAACACCGAAAATAGGTATGTGAAAAGGTGCGAATTTGAGCCGACAAGGTCTGGCCCGGCTCTTTCTTCCCTGATTTCTTTATCGACGCTGGTTGATTAGGGTTTCCGGGGTCTCTGCCGGAGTTTCGGGGGTAGATCCAAGCGGAAGAGAGCAGATCGGAGATCATCCCTAGAAAGAGTGCTACAGATTTTCTATTACAACTAAATTTACAACATCACTAATCTGAAGAACCAGGGATGATGGAGGAGGAGAGGAGCTAGATGAAGGAGAGTATCCGCAGAGGCATCAAGGGGACCGGCAGCACAACTCGAGGACTTCTTGGAGCCTCTTCTCCTCCTCCGACAAAGCGACGGCAGCGGGGCCGGCCGGCCGCCTCCACAAGGGGAAATTTAGGCGGAAACGCGGCGGCGCAGGCGACGGCGCGCCGGCATAAGGTGGCGGCGCCGCCGCCGTGGGAACGGCGAGGCTGCCGTCGTGGTACCAGGAGAGGAGCATTGCAGCAGTGGGCGCCATTAGAGACGGATCTCGAGGAGGATGGGCGAAGACAGCTGGCGGAAGAAGCTTGTCAACGGGGGAGTTCTGGCGGCGGCGGATGAGATGGGGTTCCGAAGAAATGGTGGGAGAGCTCCGAAGATTTATGGAATTTTAAGACAGAAAGATGTGATCTTTACAGTCCCCGGGCTCCGACGGAAACCGTGGGTAGCCCCCCCAGAAAGGTCGCTGTTTGGGGAGGACGGCGACGAGCCAAAGTCTGTGGTCCGAACGTGGGTTCGTCCGCGCCGCCACGGGAAGCCACGTGGCGACGGCATCGGTGGCGCGTGCTGCCCACGCGATGAAGATAGCGGGGCCCACTAGGTCGGGCTTAACTGGCCACAACGACGGGGTCAACGGGCCGAGTCAACGTAACGAGGAAAACCGGAAAATGGACTCTAGTCGGTGATCTGGCCCCACCCATCTTCTGGGGAATCTTCTTGTGCTCTCGGCCACCGCCGTCTAGGAGAGTCCAAGAACTTAAATTCCTGAAAATAAATACATTTTCGACGAAAGTTGAAGCAAATATCTATTGACTTACACATAATATTAAAATTTATCAAGGTGGGTAGATTAAATAATCATCCTTTTTCTCTCCAGAAAAATCGCCGGTTTAAATAAAATAGACCAGTATTTACATGAAAACAGGATCTCAAACTTAGATGATGCACCATCTGATCGACCCGTCGAGCAATTGCATGAAGTGTCCATGGTTCTTGCCGACAGTTGACCAGAGTATTTGACCTTAGGCGACGTGGGTGATCTCCATGATCGGTCACAATGGAGATAAATATGGATCTCTCTACGCAGAGACCCAGCACTCTACAAGCTCGCCTTTGAATCTGAGATCAGAAGACAGAGGCAAGGAGTCAAACCCAAAGCTCTACTTGGGACGAAAGAGAAGGAAAGTTAGAGCCTAGAGAGAGAGAGAGAGAGTTAAAAGCATAGAGTGGAGAGGAGACTCAACAGCCTACCGCAATTAGGTGCTCTCAGAAGGCTGCACGGGGTCTGTGCCAAGCACCGGCTGTGGGTTTGACCTCTCAACAGGGGGAGAACCCTCTTCAGCCTCTTCGTCGAATCTATCGATGCTACGGAGAAATATGCCTGCCAAATAAATATATGTTTCGCTAAAAAATAAGTATATGCTCTCTTGTGTGTGATGATACTGAATGCCGTCCTGGTTCATTGAATGACTGCTGTTTCGATAAACTATGAAGAATCATAAAATAATGAGATTCATTGGAGTGGTCAACCAAATTTCACATGGAGAGGGGGGGGGGGAATATGAATTTAACAAAATTTGATATAAAATCATGAGACTTGCAGGCCGATCTGAGCATTCTTTTTCACTGGCCAGACCCAAAAATAGGCCCGGAAATGGGCTCCAAGCCAGACCACCGAGGAGCTCAGCGATGGCTAGACTCAGTCAGCAAGAACATCTTGTAGCGTGTTCTTAAGTTTTCTTAAGACCCGAGGCTAGAAGAACTGAGTCGGATCTCCAAACTCATTCAGAAATGTTTATTTTATTTATTAGATTTCAGGAATGGGGTTGTAAGCTAATAACTAGGAAGCGGCAGTGGGGAGAGAAGTCAAAGAGATGTACCTACAAACCATATCCCAGATGCTATGAACAGAATAGAGGTCAATATTAAGGAAGTCTCCCTCCAGTTGTGAACGTGGTCCTGCAAAAGAAGAGAAACAGCGAGAAGGATGACATCTAAGTGGGCAAACACCCATCCATCTGGGCATAATCTACAACAATTTCATAATGTTAACAATAAGAACAGCTCCAACAGGCATATGGGTTATCTGGGCTTGATGGGCAGAAAAATTTAAGTATTCGATTGATTGCTTCTCATTGGCAATTCTGTCATTAGTCACGAATTAGATGATGGTGATTGAATATTGAACGACTAAAAGTGTGTTTTCATTCCTGTAAGGGATAAAAACATCAAGCATTACGTGGTCAAAATACTCATGAATCAAAGTGCGTTCTATATTAATTTTAGAGGGATAAGAACTATGAACAGCATGAACAGCTTCAACAGGAGCTGTTCATACCGTTCATAGTACCCTCCATGGCGTAAGAACTTGTTGGATTACTTTTCACTGGGAATTCCATGATTAATCACGAACTAGGTGATGGAGGTTGAATACTTAATGACCAATAGTGTATCTTGTTCATGTAAGGAATAAAAACATCAAATCGAGAGGAAAATACAGCTGGAATATAAAACAAACCTGTAGAACTCCAACTAGAGGTGAAGATGGCACATCACCAAATATGTGGATGGAAACAGTAGACATAGCCATAGATAGCGGTCTCATGCTGGGCTTGACACAGTGAAGACATACATAATTCACAGGACCCTGATAAAGAGTAAATAATGTCAAAACCCTTGGAGAGAGAGAGAGAGAGAGAGAGGTCTACAAACAATTGGTGCTCTTGCAGTAGCTTAGATGAATATAAAGTAACTTTTATGCATCTCCCATTCAGTATCAACCACCGACCGGGTTACAAATTTCTGATTGAAATCACCCATGGCTTTCATTGCTCTTTTATCTAACACATTTAGATGTGCATTACCCTAAAAATTGCTTATTGTTAACCCTTTTTTTTTATGGTCAGATGATATCAAAGCAACATGTTGCTCAGAAGTATCAAATATGTCTTTGGTAGTGTTAAATGCAATGGGTATTCCTATTGGGCATTCCTATGTTATGGCCCATCTAGTGGACCACCAACTAGGGCTAATGGACCAAACATGTCATGGCCCATTCTGCTGCCTTTAGGGTTAGGATATAAACCCTAGACTGCCATCATTAGTTTGGCATTGAGATTTCCACCTTCTACATGGTAGAAGAGCTTTGTTAGGGTTTCAAACTGTTGAACTCTCTAGGATTGTTTTTCCTTTCTATCTGTTGTTTCTTTACACTGTATTTTCGTCCTTCTCTGTCATTCCCTTATGTTAAGTGGATCCATTAGACTGTTAACAGATCCACTTAAAGTCTAATGTAATGGGCCTGGCCCATTAACCCATGTAACCTGTACTTAAGCGGGAAACCAAGATAATTGATGAAAGATTTTGGGATTACAGAAACTCTGCTCCAAGAAGTGGTGACTGATTCATCTTCCTGGAAGAGGAGGATCGTGAAGATTAACTACTTTCATTCTCCAAGTTGCAAGAATCTCAATCAAGATCAATTCTCAACACAAACCCTTCTTTGGTGCCGTTGCAGGTTGACATTGCCATTGCTAACGTACTCCACCGTCATCTGCTGGGGCTATTAGCATCATACTTCTTCTCGACAAGGTCTTCCGCCTCTACTAAGTTTCTTTCTAGTGAATTCTTCCGCCTCGCCAAGTATCTTTTTGGTGAGATTTTCTACCTCTATTGTGCATCTTTATGGTGAGTTCTTTCACCTACGCCGAGTATCTTTCCAGCTAGGTTTTTTACCTCTGCCGTACATCTTTTTGGCAAGTCTTTCACCTCCGCTGAGCATCTATTCAGCAAAGATCCTCCACTGGTTCTCCACTAGCCTCCTTGGCATCCTTCCCTGACATCTTCTGCCACCACCATCACTGCCTCTGTTCGGTGTCGGCTTTATCTAGTGTTTTTTGTCTGCCACCAGTGCCATTGCTGCCGCTACCATTGCTGCTGCCATCCCTTTCAGTAGTTTGACATATTTGACATATGTGGGCATCTTTGGCTTTTGCTGGTCAATGGACAATAGCTTTAGCTAGTCAACAATCAATGATTTTTACTAGTCAATGATCAACAACTTTGGCTAGTCAACGATCAATGGTTTTTACTATTCAACGGTCAACAATCAAACTTTACAATATGATAGAAAGACCAAAACCCACTCTTCTAAGTACTCTTCCATTATCATACAAAGTCACTTTGTGACAAACCACAAGTTGATTCGAAAGAGTTATTATCATTGGTAGAGATCAATAAAAATTTATTTCAAGGAACAATATAAGATCAACCATCTATAGAAAGATGTGCCATCTGATATTAATCTACATGTACAGTAGGAACAACAAGATGCAGTCCTAAATCCATTATGAAATTCTATGGAGACTCATATTACACAATTGGTGAATAATTTGGACACATGCAAGGCAATGTGGGATCATCTTGTACTGACGTACTCTAACAACATCTCTCAACTCCTTGATACGACTATTGAATATTATGAGCAGAAATAAGATGCAATAGACCTAAGTTAGTACTTCTGTGAGATTGTTCATCTTACTCAAGATCTTCACTCTTTACTTCCATTATCTATTAATCTCCAAGTAATGTAGAAACAATAAGATCAGCTTACAGTATTAGTGTCTACTCAATAACCCTCTCATGGGCGTACTCATAGTGGTTGCTCTGGGAGAGGGGGGGGGGAAGTGGAGGTAGAATATATGAAGATCGCCAAAAATATGAGTGCACATAATGCAGAAAAAAGGAGCACATGATGGACACATGTTATGGACTTCATGACTGTCCTCACAAGATTGCCAATGTTATTTGAGGTGGAGAACAAGGAGAATCAAGTCATATGTCACATGCCACTTTCTGATGAGTAGGCTCACATGCTCCAATTTCAAGTTGCTTACTGCCTCTAACACACCTAGGACATATACAACATGCCTTTCTCGCACATCTACATACTCGTCAAGTGAATCACTCCACTGGGTTCTTGACTCAAGTAATACTTAGCATATTATTTTTCGTTTACTTCAATATGTTGTATGGGGTTTTAGTCAATTCTAAACTTGGTTTTAAATACTTCATTACTCTTATTGATCATTCTCATTCCACTTGGTTCTATCTCATGAAAGATCAATAAGAGTTTTTCACCATCTTTTGCTCATTTTGTGTTGAAATTAAGAATCAATTTGGCAAGAATATTTGAATACGTCGTTCTGATAATACACAAGAGTATTTTGGTTCATCTTACACAATATTTGAGCACCTAGGGCATCATTCATCAATCATCATGTCTTCATACTCCTCAGCAAAACGGGATAATTAAGAGGAAAGATCATTGAGACAACTCATATATTACTTTTACATATGAATGTTCCACTTGAGTTCTAGAGTGACATGTTTCTTACAGCCAGCTACTTAATTAATTATATGGCATCATCAATTTTGAATCAAAAGACCTCTTATTCAGTTCTTCATCTTATTAGCTCATTATATGGGTGTACTTGTTTTGTCCATCATTTAGATACATGTCAATATAAACTTGGTCCCAAGTTTGTGAAATGTGTTTTCTTGAGATACTTCTGTACTAAAAAAGGATACATATTATTGACCTTCAATTTGTAGACACTTTATCTCTATTGATGTTACCTTCTTTGAGAGCACTCTTTTCTTCAATATGTCACAACCTACTAATGTCCTAGATGAGTCATTACCTTTGATAGTCATTATTAAGTTAGTCTTTCTAGATAGTTCTAATGGGTTCCTAGAGCACATGTGTACACATGGTAAAAAGCTCCCTCAACACCTCTTGAAGCATTTACTTCACAACCAATCCTTCCTATGTCTAAGGAACCAAAAGCAAACACATCCGTGACAGGTGATCTTGACCTCCCTATTACCTTATGAAATGGGAAACATTTTATATAACCAATTTCTAATTGTATCTTATCATCACTTATCTCCTACACATTCAACTTTTACATCTACTTTATCCTACTCCCAAGACTATTTTAGAAGCACTAAGTCATATCAGATGATGTGTAGTCATGATAGAGGAGATGGGTGTGCTTGAAAAGAACAAGACTTAGGAGCTTGTCCCACATCCTCTAGAAAAGTCAGTTGTTGGCTACAAATGGGTCTTTATAATTAAAGTTGGACCTGATTGTATAGTTGATCACTTGAAGCTTATTCTGTAACTTTTTCACATGTTGCCAAGATTACTTCTATTTGCCCCTTTATTAGCTTGATATAAAGAATGTATTTCTTCATAACACTCTTCAAGAAGAAAAATATATGACACAACCTCCAGGATTCAATGCACACAAAGGCTCTAAAATGATATGCTGATTGTAGAAGCCCCTTTACAATTTGAAGCAATCTTCTCAAGCATGGTTTAGTTAGATTAACAACACTCAGTGAATTTGGTCTTCAGAGATGTGGTGTTGACCACCTTGTCTTTTATCAACACTCTTTAGTTAAGTGTATCTTATTAGTTGTATGTGTTGATGACATAGTTATTATTAGGAGTGTTTTTGTTCATACATGTCAACTCAATACCTTTTTGTAGGGTCAATTTGTCATAAAGGATCTATAAGCAATCTCATGTTCTTTCTTGGTATGGAGGTTGCCCATTCTAAGAAAGCCATTGTGATTAATCAATGGAAATTTACCATTGTGATCTACTTACAGAAACAAGTATGACTGGAGCAAAATCAACTACCACTCTTATGAATCTCCACTTAAAGTTGTCTCATGTAGAAGGAGAATTATTAGACAATCCAAGGAGATATCAACACCTTGTTGGAAAACTCCACTACTTGATTATCACTTAGCCAAATATCTCATTTTGTTACAAAAGTTGCAAGTCAGTTCATAGATTAACCTCATAGTGGGCACCTCGCAGCCGTTACATAGATTATGTGATACTTGAAAAAAACCCAATCCAAGGATTATTGTACAAGAACCGTGGCCATCTTAACATCTAGGGCTTTCTAATGCAAGTGAGGTTGGAAACTACAAACAGGAGATCTACGACTATTATTGTATTTTACTTGACAATAATTTTATTTCTTGGAAGAATAGAAACAACTAATGGTCTCATGATGCAGTAGGGAGTCTAAGGCTATGGCACATACTATATGTGAGTTCATTTGGATTTCTTAGAGGAACCCAAGCTTCTTCCTCCTGGACTTTTGAAAGATTGATGTGATAATCAAGTTGTTATCCACATTGCATCTAATCATATCTTCCACCAGAGCACAAAACGCATTGACATTGATTGTCATTTCATTCAAGGGAAGCTTTAAGCTCAACTCATCATTACTGTCAACATGTCATCTGAAGACCAGCTTGCAAATCTTTTCACAAAATCTCTATATGCTCCTCGGGTGAGGCCATTTGTACTAAGCTTGGTGCATATGATATCTATGCTCCAGCTTGAGGGAGGGTGTTAAATGTAATGGGTCATCCTTATTGGGCTTTCCTATGTCACGACCCATCTACTAGACTGTCAATTAGTGGCAATAGGCTGAACATGACATGGCCCATTACGCTGCCTCTAGTGTTAGGATATAAACCCTAGACTGCCGTCAGGTTGGTATTGAGATTTCCACCTTCTACAGGTAGCTCCAATAATTAAGGATCTAATGGATAGTCAAAACAAGAACATGGACAATGACTGGACACAAAAATTTAGAACTATCATAAAACAGTGAGTTTGCATTCAAGATGATCATACTATGGATCAATGACGAGCAATGGCCCATACCTGTGTCGCAAAAATAAGCAACTCTCCAATGGAAAAGAGTGCTATGAAACCATACAGATTCTTTGAGCAAAAAGCCCCGAAACAGAATGCAGCCCCAAGAAAAGTTGCTCCAGAGAGAAGCTGCAATTTGACATAAAGAGTCCATGCAAGCACTTACAAGCAATTAATTTTGTGAATTGATGTTATGTGTGATCAAGAATCATAAAAGGGTGATACTAATTTATGTAAAATCATGTCTACCTTAAAAGCATTGGATATCGTAGACTGAATGAGATCAAGGATGAAACCACCAGCCAATGTTCCAAGGATGCCACAGATTATTGTTATCCCTCCAAACATCAAATCTGCATTTTCCTGTAGAAGGTAACGAAACAAGAGTCATCTAAGTAATATGAGGGAGCGAGCCAACATAAGGGAAGACAACATGCAACCACAAAAAACTATATCTCCAAATGATAGAGGACAAGAAATATCACTTAAATCATTTCTTTTAAAGATGTTAGTTTCATAATTTTGTCAGAATTTTAAAAAAATGGTTGCTATGAGCTTTATCAAGGACTCACTTTTGTGTACATTTTTCCACAAAAAGCAGAAATAGCTTTAAAAGGCACATTTCATTCAATAGACATCAAAGGCAGATCTGGACGGGGAAAATTAGAGGGGTAAGTGAAAGAAAATCGGAATGGATAAATTGCAACTAGCAGACAGCTGGAATTTGTTCGACAGGTGGGGTTGAGTATTTCATCTTCCCCTAGTTATTCCAGATTCCCGGAGATTGAAGTAAACATGATTCCATCAGTACAATAATACACAGAAACTACGTAGATCAGGTCTCTCATAAGGCTTGTAAGCTTCATTTCCCACAACATGATCTTGCTTTGACACAATTCCGATATCAAGGACCTAGACCCTGTAAAGGTCAAGTTTCCTTGAGCCTCACATACCATACCCACATCACCCTCCAAATAGAGCAGAAAAGGAAAAATGTGAACTCGTATCAGAAATGAAAAGTGAATGAGGGATAGAAAACAACCCAGTAAATATAATCGGAGGTTTTTTGGAAAATAAAAAATATAAAGTTAAATTTAAAGCATATTCAGATCACACTAGAGAAATAAGATCCAATGCTAGGTAGATAAGCGTAGTCCAGGCCACCAATTGCATTTTCATATTGAATAAAATGTCATGGGGTATAATGAAAAATTAAACATTGAACAAAAGCGTCAAAAGCTATGGTATACCATATGGTAAATGGAATAGCCAGCCTTTGGGCCCCAGTAGGAGTAAGCACCTACAACAAAATTATATGCTATATAACCTGAGAAAAGCCACGTTGCAGAAGTGTCAGTACACAGAAGCACAACAACTCAATGACGACAAAAAAAAAGACAGATTGGAAATTATACGAAATTATAAAATCAACTCTGTACGATTAAGCCAGTGAAAATTCACCACATCCAGGAATGTTCTCATAAAATGGGCAGCAGCTATGGACAGTTCTAAACAAGTAGAGGTAAATGCATGTTTACTGAAGCAGTTATTTCCAAATGCTTATATCATTGGTTCTCTTTGAAGGTAACAGGAGTTGTGAGATATGCCATTGATTGGTATTCACCTTCTGTAAACTGAACACTAATTCTTTTTTGGTTAGATGATGGTGCAATTCAACTTCAGAAAACAAGGGGGAAAAAAACGTCACGGAACTAGTCGTAGATAAAAGATGGTCAAAAACTTACCAACAACATTTGTGACGTAGACCTTATTAACCAAGAGATCCCTGAGGTCTTTCCAAAAACTCGCAAGTTGTGTTGAAATCTTTTGAGCAGCCTTAAATCTAACCATCAGAGAAAAAAAAACAACAAATAGTATGGTATTAGTTTTATCCTCCGAAAATCAAAGAGAACAAGATCCCAGTTTGACTAATGCAATGCTATTTTCATGATCGCATATATGATCAAATAAGGTCTATATAACTACTCCTTCCCAGTAGTTTTTGGTGAGTGCAGAAATGTAGTATACCTTTCTATCCAAATCATGCAGTTGGTAAAAAATTGTATAAATGAATAATACGAGTCCAAATGCGATTTCAAGGGCAATATTACAAGAGAAGAATTCTGAAAATGTAGCCAAATATTGAATAAAGTATTTCTGATAAGGTTTTCAAGAAGGACGTTTCCAAAAGAATTGCTAAACATTCGGAGATACCAAAACTTTGCTCTGATCATATATTTACAGATCAATAACACAAGTATAGCATGATATTGCACTAATCTCCGATACTGTGAACCACATTCATTTAAAAATATTAAGCGACACTGTCAGTTAGATATATGATGTACATACAATGATGTCTTCTTAGAGGCTATATCATTCAAATGCACGATTCTCACTGATGTGCCATTTTCCAGGGCCTGTTCACCTGAAAGCAAAGTTTAATTTGTTAACGTGAGCAAAAACCACCGGAGAAAAATTGAAGATATAACGATAGAATTCTAGAGTTCTAGTATGCTGAAATGGGTAAAGATTAGTCATATTTCTAAATTCTATACACGTGGCATAAAGTTGGAACACAAATGAATCGACACCATTTCCTTAATTAATTACACAGATGACACTATAAAGGCACTAATTTCCCTTCCATATGCTGTAAATATGTATCTTTGCCCAAGAGGATGTCTCTTACAAAGAAATATTCAAAGCCTTGTAAAAAAAAATTGACATTAATGTTACGTCAACAAAAGTTATCATTTCTATTATCCGCTTAAACTGTTTCCTCCCTCATTAGACAAACCTCTGGAATATTGGGTTAATATTTGGCAGAAGATTCCCTCTGAGGCAGAACATTTTCAGTGAGAAATTTTTTTATTTAGAGTTGATATTATAAAAACCCACCAGGAGTATCTTGGATCGCTGGAACCAGTCCAGTGACAGAGGTCTCCTTTTTTTCAGAAACACCGAACCCTACATTAAGCAGTAAAAAATATGGATGAGTCACTTCAAGCGAGAAAGTAGAAAAGCAAAGAAAATTATCTAAAAAGAGAATATACCTTTCAGCTGCAATGGCTTTATAACAAACCCTAAAATAGCAAATGGGAGCATCGAAATTGATTCTCCCCAGAATGCATAACGCCAATTGAAGTGATTCCCAACCTGGATTTAAACAAAGGGAGCGAGCGCATTTCAATAGAACTAACAAGATTACTAAAAAGGGGACAAACTGAGCTGAGCTCTAGAAAAAGGCTGCAACGTAGAGAACTTATATATATACGGTGACATTAACAGAGAACTTTAAGCACTGACAGACAGAAAAGCAAGTCTTCCATGACCTAAGAATGCTTACAGAAGGCAAATCTACCTTGTCAATGAAAAAAAACTGCTTTAGAGGCATGATAATAAGAAGAAATCACATGGATGTTAAAAAGCACTGAAATTGAGAAAGCAACGACTAAAGTCCATAACTCTCTAGAGCAAACTATTTTTAAAACATAATGAGAAAAACCATACTTTCTTAGAAAAAAACCTATCATCTTTATGCGTACAAATGTATCTTTGTTTGATGTACATGAATCCTCACAGGAAAGAAGGAGCATTTCAACATAAGAATTTTCTTGTAGAAATATCGTCCATGAAGCAGAATTTATTTCCACATATGGTACCAGAGAAACTCCGGGAAAATAGAAAAAATAAAGGAATGAGAAATCAGAGATAAATAATCAAGAACAAAGATCTACTCTAATGGTACACAAATTTCTATATGCATAAACTTTTGTAAAGTTGATAATTTGGGAAAAATCGAAACAAAAATATGGTGGGAATAGACCTTACCAGTCCTCCATAAACATAACCAAGTGCAATGCCAGTAGGTATGCACATGTAAAACATAGCAAGCCATGCCGTTTTCTGTTAATATGAAAAGAAAGAATATCATATTATAAAAAGAATAGCAGTCACTCATGTTAGCTTGAACTTAAGACAAAATATGGTAACTTTTCTTAATAGCGTCTTGGACAACTGACAAGTAATCGGCCCTACATGAAACAAAATGTAAACTCCTTATTTTTAGTGAACTGACGAGGATTACTGGAAAGACAGGTTCTTTTTTGGTCCCAATCAGAAAAATCCTGATTTAGTTGATTTAATAGAAAATTCATATCCTGTCAACTCAAAACATATTTAGTATCCATCATTCATTGAGGACTCGCTACATGATAGTCATCCTAAAGTTGGTAAACATGGCACAATAGTAGGCTGTTCCTGTGAGGCCTTGTTCTAATGGAGAATACTCGAGATTGATATTAGCAGTTACCCATTTGGAAATTTCAGGCACAGTACTGGAGATAAAGAAATTGCAGTTCGAAAATAAAGGATCATGGCGCGACATTTTTTCCCATTATTCTTCACAGAAACATCTTGACCATATGGTGTCCGACGGAAAAAGACAATTCAAAAAAAGTATTTTTCCAGCTTGACTCTATGGCACATCCGTGCTCGTACCTTTCCAAGCACATTTTATTTTTCCAGCTACTTTCAGACTGACGTAACCCCAATTGTCATTTTTTTGTCATTTGTTCCACACACCCTCCCCTACTGCCCAGACTCATACCACAACCCAGGAGAGATGAGAGGCAAGAGAGAAGTATTTTGCTGGCAGTATTATCTACTGTAAAGATATCAACCAGTGGGCTTTCACTCCCCAGATCTATCTTCAACGCTGAAATAAGGGCTCATTTGCCAATAAGACTCCAGAACCCTTGTCAGATTCCTCAATAGTTAGAACTGCAGGCCTTATTTTATGGTAGGTTCAAAGTGAAAAGGAATAGCCCAACTGAAACAGATCCGATTTCCACGTTCTCTCAATGCTTTATAAACACAGATAAATTATATATTAAACATCAAAAAAAAATTGTTTCCTTCTTGAGAACAGATCTACGTAAACCAGATACCAACTGACCTGGTCTGCAGGCTATTTCCAAAATTCGATCTAGGTTTAGCTCATAAGATTGACATGCTAGTAAAAACTCATAGTATACTTTGTCACGTCTCCTATATTTAAATACAAAAGGCCAAAACCCCACCAGAGTCATCACTTTATTTGGTAATTATAGCAAAAAGATTCTTCAAAATTCTGTTCACGGCATTTTAGTTCCATAAATGTGAACCCAAGATAATGGAGTAGCAATATCAAATGGCTGCTTGGCTGCTCTGAGCACTTCCTGATGGATATTATATAGAATTTTGTTTTTTGACCCTGGTTTATATTGAAATTTTTACTTAAGAAAGAAGCATAAGAGTTGAAGGAAATACAAATTTCTTACACTACAAACAGGATTTAAAAACACAAAAAAAGGCTTCATTATGGCAGATTAATTGTGATAAAAACATAAAAATGAATAAAAACCAAAGGAAAAAAGCAGAAAAAAACCTGAGCAGCAGGTGCATTATCATCAATAAATGGAGCTGCTAGACTTATAAATGATGCTTCACCAACACCAACAAACCTAAGCACAAGTAATCGTTAGGGTAAACTTGAGACTGCAAGTGGATGAATACCTGTACATTTAAAAACGTGAAAACCCAGCATAAAAGGTGAACTTACATACGGCAAATGGTAATGGACCAAAAATCAAATGAAAAACCACAACCAGCTGTAGCCAGTGTCCACACTGACAGTCCGACTCCAATTAGCCTAAATGGATTATGACTGCAAATGAAATGGTGAAGTTAAGTTACCAAACATCAATTACAGCTCAAAGTAAAGATAGGGTCAAGTAGCTTTCTGTTTTCCCTGGTAATGCTCAACTGGACGGTATTTGCTATGGTTCATGTATCAACAATGGATCCAAACACTTAAAAAAACGCATGCAGTCGTTTATTTCAACAAAAAAACCATATAATGTATTCGTTTATTTTAATGGCTCTTGAATTTTTTTTCGAACAGCAGATTAAGATGAGCAAATTTTGAATACATTATTTTTGTTTGACTTGTATGCTGCTGTATGACTCTACAGCCAAATCATCCTAATCCGGTGTCCCCTTCTCTAGATATCACCCCTGCAGCTGCTGTAAGGTATGCACAAGAAGTTTTCCGACTTCCAAGAAGACTGCTGAAACATGTCATATTTCCAGGAAAGTGTACAGTAAACCTCTTATCAAGTACAGCACATTGTTACAAATTATTTTCATGTTATGTGATTTAGAGTGATATCCTTGAAAATGGTAATATAGTCCATACAATTTCTCCATGTGAGAGTTAAGAAGGTTGAGGGCTTTTTGGTATCTTGTGTCTGTAAGAATTAGATGGAATGTTTATTACAATGCAGCCTGAGGCCATATTAGGAAATGAGACGTAGGATTCTCTCCCTATATGATGGGAGATAAACATCCATGAAAAATTGAGGTAGTCTTTCTGCTGCTCCTCCCCTCAGTCTCAGTAGACAAGAAAGTTCCTTCCGTTATCATAACACTCCTCAAACCAGGTAATTGCTAAAACATCAAAGAACAACAGATTTGTTCTAAAGGATAGTGATACGACTCCACCACTGACCTATAGCAGGGGTAAAAAAGAATCACGTGCAATGCACGTGTGAGGGGTATAAATACAGCACAAGGGGTTGGGTCATGGGGAGACGAATCAGAACCTGGAGAGGCAGGGGAAACCTCTCGTACTCATTCCCCATCCATTACTCTTCTTTTCCTCTTCTTTCTTGTATCTTGATAGATCTTTCAGTTCGACATTCTATCCATCGTCATTGACAAGTTTTTGTGAAATCAATACAAGTGTTTCTCCTCTTCGTTTTCACTCAGATTCGATCCTCCCTAGGAGGATCGCATCAGATAGCATCAATACCCTTGACGAATCGTAGTTGAACTAGTATCATTTCAATTAAGCATGCATCAGTTTTTTCTTTCATTTTCGAACATTGGAGAACTCACTAAGGATAGTGTATGCGTGGAATTCTTGATGGGTAAATAACAACAAAGAAAATAAACCACCGGCAAGGATGGAATGGAATTCTAGTACCAAAAAACCAGAGTAGCAATATCCTATGGAGGAACTGCACTCTTGCCCACATTAAAACCTTGCTTTCTCAAAACAGGATCATCAAATGTCAAAGCCTTCTATGCTACATACTCTCCCACTTAAGAAGCCAAAAAGTCATCCACACGCTTTCAACTATTCCCAATAATGATTCAAGGAAAATCGATTCCATTATTTTAAAATATGATCACAAATGCATAAGGAAACAAAGTTGAAATGAAAAGGTTAATGGTACAAATAAAAGAATTCATTGGAATCATTATAATCTAATGATACAAGGGAACATGGATTATCATATTCGGATAAACTCAAGAAAATGGATATTTGCTGCTTCAGCAAGGTACTAACCTCTTTGCTAAGGATGCAAAAATGGGGGAAGCGACTAAAAGTCCCACCATAAATGCAGATGATAGAACGCCATCTTCGAAATTGTTCAATTTAAAATCTCCCCTGCACTCATTATCAAGGCGTAAACTGAAAAACCAAAACAATAACAAAGTGCTTCTAATAACATTTAAAGTTCATCATTTTCCAACAAATGGGCATAAAGTGTAGTGACAGATAAAGTAAAACAAAATCCAAAGAACTTTGTAAGACATTTGTCATTAATTCGTAACAAAAAACTTTATTTAACAATGTATTTCTTTTATTGTTGACCATCAAAGAAGTCATTCAGCCCAATGCATAAGCTGCAAAGTAAAATATCATTGCATGGGATGACTATATAATTGTTACACTACTCTCTAAATACCCAAGGAGGGACATGAAATGCCTGGCTAAAATGTTCTAAATTTTTATGTGGATAAACTTAACGCTAAGGATAATGCTCTATTTGAAAATGTGGCACTCTCCAAAACGGTAAAAGGATTGGGGACCTGCCTGGAATCCTAGAAAGAGAAAATAATTGCTTGAGTAATGTTGATACCAACATAACTCTCTACTATCTTTAGCCAAATTCATGCATTCTAGAATAACAAAGTCCAATGCATAGCACTCAGTTAAAAACCTGGCATAATGTATGAATGTCTGACAAACAAAGTGGCCATGTGCCTAAAAGCTAATGAAATTTCAGTCCCCGGAAGATGATACTTATCAGTTAAATACATGCCATTCGTATCGTTAAATGGTTTGTCTTTATTGAATAACCTTTGGGTGCAATAATCCATAGAGCATCACATCACATGGTAGAAAACTTTTTAAAGAAATTAGAATGCTTTGAAATAGCATCTTCAAAGACAAGAAAATTTACAAAGTAGTTAAACATAAAAGGAAATAACAAGATCGGATCTTACTGTATTCCACTACCCGAATCGCATATGCCATTCTTAGCACATGTTCTAGAACTCCCATTCACTCCATTACTTGCTATTGTACCTCGGTCAACGTAGTTCAACAGATTTATCATACAGAAGATCACAAGTAACCTGCAGAAAATAAAAAATAACTTAATATAGATGAAGTGATCTTTTTCCATAACCGCTTGAAGATTGGTAATGAACCCAGGAACCATAAACTGCACAAAATTGATAATATCCCATATATATTTTAGAAATGCAATAAACAGAGAAGACTTTGACTAGTCGCGTTCGGGCTCTGGAATTCCAGAAGGGGTACCTTGTGGTAGTCCTCACTATCGATTTGCCATAAAGAAAAACTACACATTTTTCACGCAATAACTTGACGGTGGTCAGAGTGATCAAGTACAAGTCAATCCTCGTAAGATCAGCAGGACTGAGCGAATTTAGGCAAAGTTTGTCTCAACTTTTGAAAAATACCGACCGAATCAAGAGAAAATGGCCTTAAACTCTGAGAGAATCAGATTCAATTCGTTCACGTCATGCAACTTGCACAAGTCAGTTAGAGTGATGCCCTCCAATCTGACTTCCTGAGTTAAGAGTCAGTGACCAAGTCTGAGTCTCCCGACCTTGATTTCAGGTCAACCATTTGTCTCAATCAGCATCGAATAGAATAAGCACACCATTTCTGTGGTCCAAACCTTTACAGCCCTGACGCATTTCCTCTGCTGTTCTTGCAGTTTACTATCAGCTCGACAGTTGACTATAGACATCTGTTCCAATAATTGAGAAAATCCCCGATGAAGAACCACCATTGGCGTGATACTCACCTTATGAGACGAGGAAAGAGATCTACCATAGGAAAACTACAGCAGAGGAGAGGGGTGGCCGTCTAGCAGACTCCTTCCACAGAAAATTGGCTGCGCAATGCAGCACCAAGAATATGACAAGAAAAACAGAGAGAAGACAAAGACAGAAGACACGCAGGAAACCCTCTGCTTCAGCTAGAAAATCCTAGCTCGAAGCAACCTTTGGGGATCAAAAAACGCGCAAATAGAAACTTTGAGTGAGAAGGAAATGGCAGCGTACCTCTTCGGCGTGAACCACAACGGCTTGGAGTCAATGACCGGCGGAGGGAATCCAAGGGGCGGTGCTTCCGGCTTCCGTGGCTCCCCTCCCGACTCCGCCATCTCCTCCAATGCACGTGCACAGAGCTCAAATAGAAAACTTAAAAAGTTGCAGCAGTAGAAGACGAGAGAGGATTGAAGAAGAAGAGGAAACCGGAGGTTAGGGAGAGGAAGAGGACGGGGGGGGAGAGGGAGCGCGCAGAAATGGCAAGCTCCGCGCTGTCATTCGTCCCAATTCGGGAAATGGATTGTCGGGAGGAGGGAGGGCCGGGGCCTCGGTTGGTGGTGAAAATCCGGCGAATAGGCAACATCTACAACTGATTCAGGAGGTCGCCGAACTCCCCACCTGAACTGTTGCTCCCCTTCTTCGGATCTCCCCCACACAATCAGGATCTTCCGTTATCTGTTGAAGTCAACCTCCGGAGGCTGTTGTTTTCCTCAGGTCCGTTTGAGCGAGTCGCCTCCCAGTGCGGTGGCTCTGACATTTCTGCCCGGGCACAAGGACGCGTGCGTTCTGGGCCGGGCCAGTACTCTGCAAGAACGGACCTTGGATGCCAGTGACGGTACAAAGGTGTAGAAAAATGGGCTCTTTGGCCGCGGAGGACGAAGGGCGTCATAGCGGTCGCCGCTAGAGTTATTATTATTATTATTACTGTTATCATTAATTTAAAAAGTCATCCGTTGACTATATACCTGACGTCAAATCGGTCGCCGATCGTCTCCCCAGAATTTTGTCGTTATAGGAAAGAGCTGACTTTTTAGGTTATCAGCACATTTAGCATTTATTATTAGGAGCAAACGACCCCAACCCCAGTTGACTTCAAGCACTTCGATGGTGGGTTTCATGGGAAATTTGTCTTTTTATGAACGTGGGATAAGTTTTCAATCTTTTTGACCAAATTTCCTAATACGGCACTGTCCACTCTCGACGAAACTTTGGTGGGTAAATTTTTCCAGTAAATTTTGAGAGAAATCAAAAGATTATTCATTGGTAACTCCCATAGAATGAACTCAATTTTAATATTTTTATTGGGGCCATACCCAAAAAAATAGAAAATAAAAACTCTCCCCCTTTCTCTCTCAATGTGTTTATGGAACTTTTATCTCTCGATTAAAAATTACTATTTACAGTAAAAATGTTAATATATTGAACGAAAATAAGCATAAATTACTTGGTCAGAGAAGTCAACGATCCATTTCACCAGATTAGTAGGTGGGAAGGGATTGTACAAATTTAACCTTGTAGATTGAGAGAGAGAGAGAGAGAGAGAGAGAGAGAGAAACACTAGTGTTTGACTGGGATCAAGGTCAATAATCCTCTTCATTCTTGTCTCCGTCTGATCCAGAAATATATTCGGAATTATTGGGGTTATAACCTTATAAATTAATTCGATAAGTACATTATCTGCCACATCTTTCTATATTATTTTGAAAAATACCTGATTAATTTTCATTAAAATGAATTCGAGTGTACTCGTCCAGTAATGCCTATAGTGGATATGAAATTTACCCATTGTGGGCACTAATTGGAATAAATAATTATTGATGATAAGAAAAATTAACCCCATTGTTTCCCATGGTTTATTGAATGCATATCAGAATGAACTAAAAATGACATTTTTTTAGCCTTGATCAGCTAAATTCTAAACCCCTCACTCTTTCCCTTTATTGGTATATATAGAGTAAACCCTCCTCTCTTTCTCCCTCTCCCTCGGCCGGTGCGGCGGCTGGCTGGCGAGGAGGCGGTGGCGATTGGAGGCCTGGAAGATCCCGGCCACGCAGCCGAGCTGCCTCCGCAAATCCGGGTTTTCATCGGCGAAGGGGTTTCATCGGCATATTCTTCCTCCCCAGAATACCTATATCGTTGCCGACCGTGGAAGGGGGAGGAGGATCCCTCAGGACGAGCCCATTGCCACCTTCTTCCTCTCTGGGTGTGGGTAGGCCTCCTTTTATCCCGTCGAGCAGTAGATCTCGCTGCGGTGGTGATGGTGGGGGGGAGAGAGAACGAGGGTGCGTTCAGCGGCGGGGGTTGTGTTCTCTCTCCTCAACCTTCCACGTGAGGCGATTACTGGGGCTGTGGGACTCTAGCTGTCGCCAACGATCATTTGAGGGCCGTCAGGGAGGACGAGCAGCCAAAGGAGGAAGACGAATAAGCCAGAAAAAACCCTAAATCTTCTCCCTCCCCCAACCGAGCCGGTTCTCTGACATTTCTCTCTCTCTTATTGGAACTCTACCTCTCGTTGCCCATCGCAGAGTCGGCGCAGCCGCTCCCAGGAGGTCGCCATGAACCGCTGCAACCGGTGTGGGGAGAGGAGCGTGGTCCTCGACCCCGCCTGCGGCCTCCGCGTCTGTAGCTCCTGTGGCGTCGAGCAGTGCGCCAACAACTTTCAGTCCCAGGCCTTCACCTCCGGTGGCCACCCCACGGGGGTCATCGTCCAATCAATCGGCGTATCGAGCACCAGAGAACGGAAGATCTACCTCGCCGACACCGAGATCGGAAAAATCACCTCCAGTATCGGCCTCTCCGCCGCCCGCTCCGCCGAGGTACGCGCCATGGTCTCCGAGGTCACAGAGGGCGAGTTCGGCGCCGGCAACTGGTTCCCGGTCCTCGTCGCCGCCTGCATCTGCATCACCATGCGGAAGAACCGCCTCCCCCTCTCGATCGCGGAGGCCGCGGCCTCCATTGGACGCGACACCCGTGATGTCGGCCGGATGGTGACGCGCGTCTGCCAGTTCCTGAACCTCCGCCAGCTCCCCGAGTTCGACATTCTGCAGCACCTGGAGAGGACGGTGAGGCGTTGCCCTAGCCTTGCCGGAGTCGATGAGGAGAAAGCGGAGGAGATGCTGAATCAAGGGAGATTTCTTCTTCAGTGCGCCGTGAAGTGGTTCCTCTCCACAGGGCGGCAGCCTCTCCCACTGGTTGCTGCGGTGACATCGTTTGTCGCAGAGGTGAACGGTGTGGCAGCTAATTTGGAGGAGATTGCAGACTATATCTATGCTAGGCCTGCAACCTGCAAGCTGAGGAAGAGGGAGCTACTGATGACTCTGGTCAAGGTCGCCAAGGTGCTGTTGCCCTGGGGAGAGGATGTTACAGCCAAGAACATCTTCCATAATGCTCCCTTACTGTTAAAATGCATGGAAAGGAAATCAAAGGACGGAGCCTTGGATCTGGGTCAGTTTGGTTCCGGCTTCCAACCCATCGAGGATGATGTTTCGAGGTATTTAATTATTGCTGCTGGTGATGGTTTGCAGCCCGTCGAGGAGATGGACAAAGTTAAACTCTCAGCAGAGTGCTTGTCCCATGCTTATGGGAAAGCATCGCTGCTTTCCAAGGCTGTGGAGCCGTCAGGGGAGTCTGAGAAGAGTCTTGTGAGGAAGAGGAACAGAGAGGACATGCTTCGTCTTTGCTTTACCAGTTATGGTGGTATGTCAAGTGAGGATCTCTCACTCGAGCAGATATTGGAGAGGGATGTGGGGTATGATCCTCCTCCCCCATCCTTTCTGGCTGGGCTCGAAGCACGGCAGAGGAGGAAGGAGAAAATAGCTGCAGCAAAGCATCGGATTAGGAAGGCTATAAGGCCATCTTCTGATAATTCAGGCAGAATGCAATGCCATCTTCCCCTGGATAGAAAAGGGGCCAAGAAGAGGCGTAGGCAGGGAGCTGGTGGCATTGATTGGGAGGATTGTATGATTGAGCTCCTCCTCCTCCACCGTGCAAATGAGGAAGAAATTGAGCACGGCCATTACAGGAGACTAATGGATCTGCATGTGTTTACCTCTATGAATACATACAACTGAAAAGAATACCATATATTTTTTGTTATTTTCAGGCGTTATACAAGCACATGTTAGATACAGGGCTGCCCTTTGTAGTCCTTTGAAGTCAATGGTTTCCTTGCCTCCGATATTGAATGAGAAAGATGTAGATATGCCATTTATTTTATCAAATTCAGGGTTTGTCATTTGAATGCCTTTCCTGGTATTTTTTTCTTCTCGCAGGCCTCTAATCGGATTGAATCAGAAAATCCAATCGAAAATTTACTCTGTTTATTTATCAACAGATGTTTGTGTCTTAGTTCAAATTCTCAATCAGATGTTTCTCCTGTCATAATTCATATTTTGATAGAAACTTTCCCATTTTCCAATGTGGCTTTAAAATTCTGTGTGCTTATTTAGGTGATTCCCTCCTCTTCCCATTAATTAAATTGTGATTTAGAATATATTATTGGATCTAGAAAGACGATTCTTACGATTGCAAGCTTTTGTTTATGAAATGTAATGAGTGAAGGACACCCACCAATCTCACTCACTGACATACAATGCTAGAGAAAGGATCTCAATTTACATTTGATACTAGAGATTTGTGCTGCCATATCAAGAGTTTTACATGGTTGAGAAGCTTTATATGATGATCAAAATTAGTTTAGTAATACGTAATGATTTTCTTTCCATGGTTAGATCCACTAGGAGCCAATTAGCTTCAAATCAGGTGACTTAAAAACGGGATGTTAGAACCCATTTTTATCATCTACTTGACAAGATCCATGCATCTACTTGCAAGTAAGAACGTGATGATTGCGTGCTAACCAGATGTGCTCTACCAATACGCCATCAAAATTATGATATTCGTAATACATTTAATTCCGATGCCTTTGCTTTCTAGATGATTTTTGGGGTTCTCAAATTTTTGATATTGAATGAATTTTATTCTCTTTTTTGTGTAGACATCAAGCTGGCATAACATGATGGGGTTGGAAGATTAGAGATTGATGAGGATTTTCACAAGCTCATCTTGATAGTTACACAGTGGCTTAGACTAGTCTCAAGCATTAATGGGTTGAATCTATCTGGTTCTTAATAAGAGAAAAAGGGTAAATGAACAATCAGACCGGATTGGGCTTAAATAGGCCAAATAAGCCAAAACATAGAGATTGAAGTAAAAAATATAAGACATATTTTTTGACACTCTCCTCCAAGGTGGTGAATCTAAGTCATATTCCTAGCTTGGATATAAAATAATGAAATATGTTGTTTAATTATTTGGCAGAAAAAATCTATAACTACATCATTTGATCATAATAAATGGCCACCAACATTAAACACAATCTATTATAATATAGTTGAACAATATCTACTGAAATTGGTTGACAATCAAAGAGAAGGCAGATAGTAGATTGATATAAAGAGTATACATATCATCAAAGCTATGGCAAATTTAGGTCTTTAAGAATGATCTTATCTTCTAAGACTTCACATACACCTTGAGCCATACCTTTGGATTCTACTTCTGTATTTGACATACCCTCCACATTTTGTTTCTTATTTTTTTAAATAATTAGATTCTTGCTAAGAATGGTGCAATATTTTGAGGTAGAAATTTAATCAATAATATAAATTGTATTCTTTAATCTCTTTTGAATAAATTCTTTTTAGTAGTGTATCCTTGATATAATGTGTCACTTGATGAACTAGATAAAATGTACATATATTGAGTTATGCATAAATTGATTGCACACTCACATATAAATCAATTTCTAAACAAGTTGAGGTATTTCATAATTGGATTTTCTCCAACTTCCATAAATTAGGGATTTGGATCTATTGAAAGATTTACTAGTTTACATAAAATCTTGCATGTTTCTTGTAAGAGGTCCATACATAATTATGTTGAGGTATACAAATAATTTTTAAATGGGCTACTTCAATTTTAAGAAAATATTTTAACTTTTCAAATAATTTAATTTCAATTTTTTTGACTAACACTAACTCAAATATTTTTTCTATTTTCCTTTATTTGCAGTCACAATTATATCATTAATCATAATATTGGAACTCTCCTTGATGAGTGTTTAATAAAGAGCATATAATCTTTGACTTAGTTTATATCCCATTGTGATCATCACCCTAATTGTTTTATATATTTGGAGTTAAATCATTTCTATAACCTAGTGTAACTTTCAAAGAAATTTCTTCTTTGAGTTCTTCATATAAATACATTATTAACATCAAATAGTTGTAAATTAGCAGCTAGTGATAGTAAAACTATAACTATATTCATCTTTGTTATGGGATTTACGATCAGTAGATAATCATATGTTTGGATATATTATTTGGTAAATAATTATATCTTGTATATCTTGATATATTTGTCAATGTGATGTTTTATAATATATTTATTTTCATTTGATCTATTTTTTACTATTAGTAATTTTATTAGCTCTTAAATGTTGTTCTTTGTTAGGGCACATATCTCTTCATTCATAACTTGTCTTTACTTTCCATTGGGCAATATCTTTGTGATTATCTTAGAAACATTGATTGTATTTAGATTGACAAAGAATATTCCATAAACAAGTGAGAGATGATCATGGGACAAATAATGTGAAGGGGAGATGAGGATTTTTTTGTGCATCCTAATAACTATAGTTATATCTTCATCTTAGTAATCTTCATTACTATAATGACTTTCAATTTCAAGTGGCAATAAATTTGACAATAAATAATTTTCTTCTTCACTTATATGAAGGTTTTGAACAAGTAGATTTGAGTTAGATTTATATATATATATATAAGATTTGCAATATGAGACCTCTTTTGTGAATGCACGATACAAAATCTCATGATTTTTGGAAAGGAGTTAAGGAATTAGAATTGACTATGATTGGAGAAAAATTATGGTGTAGATGTGATGTTAGGAGTTTGTTCATAGACATTTTTCTTCCACTGAATTAGGACCATAATAGTTCTCTCATATCTAAATATTTTGAGCCTTCCCTTGAAAATAAGAGGTGAAAATTAAGATTGATGCTCATTAAAGGTTACATAAATTGGAATATAGATTTTCTTTGATGGAGGATGATAGCACTTATAACTCTTCTAGATTTGAGAATATCAAATAAAGATATATTTTAAAATTTTGGGTTTAGTTTATCTCTATCTTAATTGTGCACATGAACAAATATTAAACATTTGAAGATCTTAGTAATGAGTTTGAATAAATGATGATACCATTTCTATTAGACTCTTGGGACCTAAGATTTTTGGTGGTAACTGATTTATCGAATGAGTGATCACATAAATAGTTCTCCAAAAAGACTTAAATACATAATTTTTAAAAAATATGAATGTAACTACTACAAGTAAGTGACCATTTTCCCTTTGAACAATCTCATTATGTTGTATAGTATTAACATATGATGGCTCATGTATTATTCCATTTGTTTGAAAATATGAAAGGATAATTTAATTTAATGATCTTTCACATTATCATATCTTCATCTCTTTATATTAACCCTAAATTATGTTATAATCATAGAGAAAAAATTAAGAAGAATATTACTAACATCTGGTTTATATTTGAGCAAGAAAATTCATGTGACATGTGTATAATTATCAATAAAACTTCTGAACCATTATGCTGTATAAATATTTGAAATGGTTGAAGTACCTCATATATTACTATCAATGCAAACATAAGGCTTGTAATATTTTGTATTCTTTTCAAATAGTGTGGCACATTTATGTTTGACTAAGCTGAAAATGTTTCAGTGAAGTTTCCTAATATCTATATTATGAAACAAATAAGAGAATTATTTGAATGATAATAAGTACACGTGGTCAAATTTGATGGTATACTCAATTTTTTTCTAAATTTGATAGGTGAGGTGGTCAACTTGTTTCTTGTCATATGATAAATGATGAACTCTTGAACAAAGTCAAGTTCAGTTCACTCCCTAACATGTCCAAGCATCATTCTTGATACTTTGCCATAGGCTTCATATGAATCAAGAAAAAAACATTCACAACTGAATCCTTTGGTTTGTTTAATATATTGAGTTTGTGGATAATTTAAAAAATATAAATTACATTAAGAAGATTTAAGTAAAGAGGTGAGTTAAACATTTCTTATGCCTATTTAAATTTTCAAAAGATATAATTTTTTTATCATTATAGAAAGGAAAATATGTTGAAAATGATAATGATAAATTTATCATGTGTTCAATGGGTTCAACATCCATGATCCAAATATTTGCAAAAAGGAGAATAATTAATATACAAGACATTAAGTTTAGTAAAAAATAATAACTCACATGTTGCTAGAGATAACCCAATCTTATTAACTTGTATCTGATTTTAGTGATGTATAGTAACTTCTTGGGTTTACTCAACTATCATATAAGTATGATAATTGTCTTTAGATTATGTGGTAATATAGAGATTCATCATAAAGTTTATAATCTCTCATAAGTATGATGTGACTTTTTATAATAAGTACACCACAAATTATGTCTAGGATCATTCTTAAAATTTCTAAAATTTGGTTTCTTAGATTGAGATTTGTTCTTTTTTAAATTTACCTAATTTTTATAAACACAGTGTTTCACTATTTGATAAACTCAACATCAAGTTTCTTCTACTTTCTTTTCACATAATCATGAGTATTACCTTACTCAAATTTGGGACACTTTTTTTAGTCTAAAATTTAAATTTTTAACTAGTTAATTATTGATAGAGCTCTACTAAGTATTCATATAATCTTGTATTTTTTATTTCATAGTTCCTACCACTATATCCTACACATAAATCAACATGTATTGATCAAACTCTTGCTACAATACTATCAATTTATTTGTATATTCTGCTAATAGTTTTTTTTAGTTGTCTTAGATTCTTTATTGTTAAATTTTAATTAATATAATTGTGCCACATCTCTAGACTTGGAGTAAGTATGTTGAAGATTATCTCACATATATTTGGATGTCCTTATAATTTTTGGACTGATTTTTATCCACATTCATGCCATAATTTTAGAGTCTATACGTTCCTACACTTGTAAATTAGGATCATTGATTGGAGGATTAAGATAGTGAATAACTCGTTGACCCTTAATTTTTCAATGCCACTCTCACTTTGTTGAGACCATTTGAAATAGTTTCCACCTTTTAAATGATATGATTATAGTATTACATCTACTTTTGAATGTAATAAATTCTACCGAAGAGAGGGAGTCATAGTAATATAATATAAAATAAAACTTAGGCTTATGTTCATTAGAATGCGACATTTGTATTGTATTGAAGTTTTCTAAGTATAAACTAGTGTTATGACATTTTAAAATATAACTAACAAGCATTGAATGTATAATTCGTTAAAGTATTTAAATAGAGTCCAAATATTAGACACAATATAAGTAAGAAATTATTATATGTCTTGCTTCTAGAAACATGAGCACATGCAACCTAAGATTGTATAAACTTAGTTTGCCATCTAGAAAAGAACACAAACACTAATATGGTGTCTTACATATTATAGGTGTAAGAAGACACCAAGACACAAGTTGTGAGACAAGTATTTCCATTATACAAATATTTTTCGTTGTTATCACCAGTGAATAACAAGTTCAAGATATTCAACATAGAAGGATGAAATAGTGAGAATGAGAATGATCTCACATGTGGATCTAAATACCACGTCACAAGTTCATCCCAATCTCCTCTTTAGTCTTGCAGTCACCAACATAGTGAAACAAAGAAAAGAAAAAAAGAGAAAAAAGGTTAAATCTTATTTTTCATTGTCAATTCTCAAATGAAATAGTATCGATCTTTTATACTAGTTGTGATAGTTACATAGTGGGCAGGTTAGTCTTATCTAGTAATGGATTGAACTAATTCAGTTCTTAATAAGAGAAAAAATGTAAAATAACAATGAAGCCAAATTGGACCTAGGTAAGTATAATAGACTCAAACATAGAAATTGAAGTAAGAAAAGGCAAGATAAATCCTTATTAATAAGAACTCAAAATAGAGAGGAGAACTTAATAAAAATGAGGGACAAATTCAAAGAAAGGGTAGTTTTAGTTGAAGTCATAGGTCTAGATCCATTGGTAGCCATTTGAGAGGGTTACCACTCTCCTTCATCACACTATGTTATATGTTTGAGAGGGCTAGTTCTCTCACAAAAGTAACAAACTACAACACAACAATTGGCATGTCTTCCTTCATGTCTTCTTCCTTAACAATCCCCTTCTTCCCTCCTTGTCATTTGCTAAATTATCTTTGACTAATCGTCACGTTATACCCTCTAACTCTTACTACTCTTGGAGTAAGTTATATTTATTAATGGCCTAATATATGTGTCAATGATCTAGGTAAGCCCACTTGGTTTTTTTTATTTTTGAGTTTTGACCTCAAAATCAAGCCTAGAAATTAAAATGAGCCCACTCAACCTCATGCCACTAAATATTTGAAAGCTAGGAGTGACTCATTTGGGTAATCAATTTACTCTAGATTGAGCATTGGAATCACCTAAATGGTAGCCCATCACTCACTCACTCCCTCGCTCTCTCTCTCTCTCTCTCTTTCTCTTTCATATTTATACTTTTGAATCTTTGGGTTCTTAAGCTTAACTATGTTGCAGGGATTAGTTAATTTTATTGTTGAGATAGATATGAAAATCCTTAATACTAACTACATGAATATAAGATGTAGCTTGACATTTTCACCATTGGAATCCTATGAAGGTATGTGAGATGTTGAAATCTTTGGGTGAGTGTTAAGTGATATTGATAGAAAGAGCATGCATCAACAAGATTTCAAAGTGTTGTTGTTGTTTTTTTTTTTTGTTTCTATTTTGAAGAGAGGTGATCTGGTGGCATGCTTTAGGCCTTGACCGTTGACATCCTCAATCATATTTGATTAAGAAACCAAGTTGATTGGTATTTGCCTAACTTATGCAAGTTGATCTTCAGTCTATATGAACAATCTTTGAGAACCCAATGGTTTTCATCTGAAAAATTTTGATACCTTTTTGAAAAGCTGTATGACTAGTTCTCAATCTTATAAAATGCTTTGCCAATTTTTTCCATCATCAAGATTGATAACTTCATCTTGGAGTCAACTATCCAGATTCATTAGGGATTGGGTCTAGAAACAATTTGACAAACATTAATGTGGACAATTTTTATTTTTATTTTCTTAAACTATGATATATAACTATGAATACATTAACCATGTTATTGGTTGAATGATTTGAGCACCAGAGAGAATATAAAAAAAACTGTAGAAGAGGTAGATATTCTTGTAAGCCTAATAACACCTTAAACACCATAAGGTTTTGGAGACATCCAAAGTCTAGGTCAGCACTTGAAGCTTGTCATGGTGTATTCACTCATGAATGAGGAGTTGTAGTGACTTGTTTCTTGTTTATTCAAAACTGTCAAAAATTTCTATTTAACTGAAAAAAAAAGAAAATTTCTCAAGAAACTTGATGTATAAAAGGGTTGATTAGCACTCCACAAAAGCTAGCTATTATAAATTTAGGAGAAATTCAGCAGTGATAACTAAATGAGTAGTTTGAAGACAAACATATTGGGGATTTAACCAAACCACTGTAAAAAAATTCATCTAATTTTCTAGTATAAGCTCTTTTATTTTATGGTGTCATACTTTTAGCCCCCAACATAGTCAATGAAATGCATTAATTATTATTATTATCTGTTTGGGGATCAATAAAACTGCATACAATAATATGTACACAACTAAATCTGCTCATTATTATTATCTAATTAGGAAAAAATAAACCCTCAAACAAGTGTGTGTACATAAATGGATTTTTTTACTATTATTATTCAATTGCATCATTTCATATCCTATTTCATATTAAACACACCGCCTAGTTCCATTTCTTTATTTAGTGCTGTTAAGGAGAGGTGGAAGCATTGAACTGATGAAGATTTTAACTTAGGTGATAATCATCTTTATAGATGAGCATTCCCCAGAGGCCATGCTAATAAGTTATGTTGTTTAGTCAATCCTCATTGTTGATTGGTTGAGAAAAAAATTAATTCAATATAATATCCTTGTTGTGTCTCTATTTATAATATTTAATTAAACATCTCTTAGTTGGTTTCTTGAATATATGTTTCAGAATATTTACTTCATGATGGTAAAATAATAATAATAATATAACCATACAATAGATGAACAAGTATAAATAATAATTCTAAACTCAGGGTTCAGAACATTATTTATCAGAAAAATTATAATCTCTAGTATTACCGTTACTGGTCTGGATCAATCATAGGGTCATAAGCCAATGAAACACCAAGGTGATATTAGACATATAATTAAGAGGTGTTTGCTAATATATATACATCTATCTACATTAGGAGCATTTGATTATTATTTATATATTCCTTATAAATTAAAAAAATAGAAAACATAAAAAAAATGTTTTTTGTGATGTTTGTTGTACAGCTACACAGTAAAAATTAAGAAAACATTAGACATCCACATAAATATGTCACATCATAAGATTGTGCTTGTTCATAGCCTGCGGGCGGGGGGGAGGGGGCATGCCGGTCTCCGGCGGCGGCGGCGGCGCCACAACTATGTGGTAGAATAATCACGGCTTCTTGCGCAGTGGGCACTGTAACATCGCTCGGTAGCCTCGCAGGAGAAGTACGGCGGTGGCGATGGTCCCCATATGGGCACTGTTGCAGAGCAGGGCGATGGCGGCCGTGGGGAGGAAATTCCCTTCTTAGATGACTTGCAGGGGATGGTGAGAGAGGGTGGAGGAGGACGAAGAAGAAGAGGGGGCATCACATGGGAGAGAGGACATGGGGTTGTCTTCTTCCTCCTCGCCGGGTTAACAGAAAACCCTAAAGAGAGGACAAAGTAGGCTGTTCTTTCTGGAGCTTTGCTGCGGATCTCATCTGGGTGGAAGAAATTAATCATGGTGAGTTCTTTCTTTCTCTCAGGTGGATGGATTTTTCACGGCTGTAAAGAGCAGCCCTCACGGGCGGGGGGTTGACGATTGCTGCGAGGATGCTTGAATCTGAAGATGGAGATGTTGACTTCTTCAGATCATCGTCCCTCCTGCAACCTGCGGAAGAGGGCATGTGCAGTGCTCTCCCACCGTAGGAAGAGAGAGAGAGAGACAGGAGATATGACCATGGAAGAAGAGGAGATTTAGGGTTTCTTCTTCCGGCTTCTTCGTCTTCCTCCTCTGCCTGCTAGTCCCCCCTGACAGCTCTCACATGATTGTTGGCGACAGCTAGAGACCCACAGCCCCAATAATCGCCTCACATGGCAGGGTGAGAAGAGAGAACAAAAGCTCCTCCGCAGACCGCACCCTCTTTCTCTCTCCTCCCGCCATCGCCACCGCAGTGAGATCTACTGCTCGAGGGGATAAAAGGAGACCGACCCACAACCAGAGACGAAGAAGGGGACAATGGGTTCGTCTTCCTGAGGGATCTTCCTCCCCCTTCCACGATCGGTGATGATTTAGGGTTTCTTGGGAGGAAGAAGATGCCGGGGAACCTTCTGAACGCCTTCGCTGATGAAAACCCGGATTTGCAGAGGCAGCTCGGCTGCGTGGCCGGGATCTTCCAGGCGTTCAATCGCCACCGCTTCCTCACCAGCCGCCGCCTCACCGGCCTCCACCACCATAGAAGGCCACCTTCTGGTTCTCCCTCTCTCTCTCTCTCTCTCTCTCTCTCTCTCTCTCTCTCTCTCTCTTTCTCTCTCTTCTGCAAATGCCCATCGATTGTCCTGCCATATTGACCCATTAGCCAATGATTTCAGCAGGAAGTTCTCCTCCTCTGGCATTTACCAATCTTGAAGAACACGGCACGGTAAAGAAGAATTCCCTTGCTGAGATCTCCGCAGCTTGTTCAAACTCATCCATGGCGATCTGTTCCTGTTTCAGGAGGAGAAGAACCATAGCCAGAGCTTGAATGGGGTCAACAAGGGGGCGGCCTCAGTTGAATCTTTCAGAGGCTCCTCCTCATCCTCTTCCTGTTCCTCCTCTCTCTCGTATCACGACTGCAGCAGGCCGGAGAGATCTCTCCCGCCGTCGTCTTCTTCCCCCGGCCAGGACCAGCAGGACCCATCGTCTTCCTCCACGAGGCGGCCGCAGAGCTTCCGCTCCGTCGTGAAGGGCTCCATTTACAGAGACGGTGGCGGTGATCCAGCGGAGAAGAACAACCAGAGTTCCAAATCATTCCACCCGCCGGAGATCTGGGCAGACGCCGGAGAAGCCCCCCGGCTATCCGCCGGCGACGGAGGGCCGCTGGAGCTGAAGGATCTGCCGTCCGCCGGCCGCCGGAGCTTCCTTCCGCCGCCGGAATCGACGCCGGGGGACCTGCAAAACGGACGCGCCGCCGGCGTGGTGGCAAAGCTGATGGGGTTGGAGACGATGCCTTCCATGCGCGGCGAGCAAGCTCTCCCGCCGGTCTTCCACCGGCGGCGGGCTCCCGCGACGGCGGCCCCCTGGAGGGAGAAGAACCAGAGCTCTGCCCCCCACCGGAGAGAGCGCCACCAGTCCGTCTACAGCGAGGTGGAGAGCAAGCTGAGGGACCTCGATCTCCGGCAGTCCAACAGGGACCTCAGGGCCCTGAAGCACATCCTGGAGTCGATACGGACGAAGGGGTCGCCGGAGACGACGAAGGACGGCAGCGGCGCTGCCGCCCGCCGCTGCGAAGAACAGGGCGGCACCGACGTCTCCCCGATCGTGATCATGAAGCCCGCTGGATCCGCCGACCGGACTGGGATTCCTGCCTCGTCGATTCTTCCTCTGGGCGGCATCTCCGGCCTCAAGGTTCTCATTGGCGGCGCCGCCGCAGATGGTGGTGGAGCTGCCGCAGTCGCCGCCGCCGTGACAGCTAAAAATCGGAGCAGCTGCAAGTCCAGGAGCAGAGAATCTGGAAATCAACTCCTCTCTGAGGGTAAGAAGCCCAGCTCGTCGAGGCCTCGGCAGCCGAGGAGGGAGAGCAGCGGAACATCGAGCCCGAGGCTGCAGCAGAAGAGAGTTGACTACGAGAGGAAGTCAACCCGCCCCCCTGCTCCTGTCGGATCAGGGAAGCCGCAGAGGAAGTCAACCGGCCGGCACGCGTCGGAATCTGTGTCGCCGAGGGGGAAGGTCATACAGCAGAAGGCGGAGAGGATGCGCCGCCCAACCGTTGATCACTCGGCGGCAATCGGCAGTGGCAAGAAATCCTCCGGGGAGGAGAGCCGTCGGCGGGGGGAAGTCAACGCGACATCACCCTTGCAGTCGGACGCCGCAGGAGTGAGCGGTGCTGCTGATCATCAGTTCGCCGAACTAGGCTCTGATTTCAGTCAACGGGGCGGCCAGATTACTCCAAATCCGGAAGAAAAGGTTTATTTTTCCCTTGGATATTTTGGATTTAAAACCGAAAAAACATTTTCTTGCGGACCTTGTGACGAGACCTTCGCCCATGGCGATTCTCTCCTGTTTCAGAAGCCGCTGCAGTGCCTCGAAGATGATCCTTCTGCTGAGCCTGGTGCGATCATCAGCCCCGTGTCTGTTCTTGACGCCCCCTTTCACAGAGACGACCACCAGCTCCCCTCACCTGTCAACAGAAGCATAAATCCATTCAGAGGTGGGGAACTCTCTCTCTCTCTACTCTGTCTCTCTAGGGTAAAAAACCTTGCAAAGCAGCTGTCTTCCGCTAGAACCGGTCTTCTGCGGGAGGGAAGAGCCATTGACAGCTGGTGCTGGTGCCGGGAGCTGTGGAGGCCTCATAATTGATTTTGGATTTAGGAGAACTCCATCTCTTTCTCTCTCTAGCTAGATTCCTCAAGATCTGGCCATGGTGGCGAGCTCTGTCTATTCCTGTGTCGGGTACCTGAGTCAGAACTGTAGGGGGGGGGACCCTGTTCGTCTAGCTGGTGGTAATTTCTGCAAACAGCTGGTGAGCGTCAAGGAAGGGAGAGGAAGAAATTAGGGTTTTGCTGTGTTTTGATGGGGGGAATCCTTCCTGTCTGAGCAGGCGGCGAGAGATCGGCAGCGATCCAGAAGAAATTCGAGAGCGTCGAGAACCTGCTTCAGAAGCTCAGGAAGCTCGGCTGCGACGGAGATGGCGACCACCTCGCCTCGCTCTGCGAGAAGCGGACGCCGGATCAGAGGTACGTCTCGGAGGTGCTGCTGGCCTCTGGACTCCTCCTCAAGGACCTCGCCGGAGGAGGGGGCGGCGGGGCCGCTGCTGCTCCGCCGACCGTACAGCTCCATCCCTCGGGCTTTCCGGTCAATCCCGATCTATTCCTGGTTCTGGAGCAGAGGAGATCGGGATTCCTCCCCGCACAGGGGAGATCGAAGCCAGATCTGGAGAAGATCCGCCGCCGGCTCCTCTTTGACGCCATCAACGAGGTGCTGCTCCAGAAGGTGGATCCTCCTCCGCCCCCCCCGCTGCGGCGGCGGATCTTGGCCGGGAGGACCATCGCCGGCGGGGTGCCGCCGGGGAAGCGGCTTCTGAGGGAGCTCTGCTCGGAGATCGAGCGCCTCGAGGCCTACGGCGGCTGCGCTGCGGCCGGCGTGGAGGCGATCTTGCGTGAGGACGCGGCGAGGCAATGGCGGTGGTGGCTTGCCGCCGGCGAGGAGCTCCCTGCGGTGGTGCTGGACATCGAGCGCTCCATCTTCAAGAACCTCGTCGGCGAGGTCATCGCCGGCGAATCCTTCCCGCCGGCCAACCCTACGCTGCGCCGCCGCCGCCGCCTATTCTCCCACTAAAAAATAAATTTATATAAAAACCTATATATTCTCGCGTCAACCTAGGTATACGCCCATATTATGCATATTTATACTTATACACACTGACATTGATACCTCGTACGGTACCTCACTTTTCTTGGCAAGGTCAGGCACAGACATCTCTCTCTCTCTCTCTCTATCTCTCGCTGTACTTGCTCTCTCACTAGGATCCTGTGAAGGGAAATAAAAGGGAAGATGTTGATCTGATATTTTAGAAAGAAAAAGGGGGGGAGGGTATGGTTGAGGGGTCACCATTAATGGAAACCATGGGTTGTCGCCGAGAAATAAATTGATTTTATTTTATGAATATAACGAATTATTGCAACTCTAAATTCCCGAGGAAAGGAATATAATTTAACGCCTTATTTTTTAAAATTGCGAAATACCCATATTGGGTATTTTTACTAATGATTTTAAGTGTTTTTCGGTGGTTAAATAAATATTTTAGCCGTAGGACGAATGGCAATTTGGAGAATAACAGGAGGAATGAGGGTGGTTTCTTTGAGCACGTATAAATGATGCCACCGTCCACCGGTAAGAAGAGGAAGAAGAAGTCCTCGCGGATGCTGAGGCTATGGGCGCTTTGCTCTCATGCATCTCGGAGAAGGAGGTGAGGAGGAAAGCGCCGCCGGGGAGGCGTCGCCCACCTCCCTCCGCCGGCGATCACCGATCCCTTTCTGCGGTCCTGGGGTCGAGCAGCAGGTGGAGCAAACTCGGGGCCTCGAGGAAGGACAGATCCGAGGAGGCGCTGATCCAGGAGCAGGCGCTCGCGGCGGCGCTGCTGCTGCAGCAGAACGGCGTGGGGTTGCCGTTAGACAGGTCGGCGTCTCTGCGGTTTCAGGCTCCGGGGAAGAAGAAGGAAGGCCTGCCTAGGAGCTCGAGCTCCAGGGCGAGGTCGCTCGCGGATCCCCTCCTCCAGCCGCACCAGCTCGTCAGTCAGGTGTGCTGAATCGCGAATTGTGGATTAATCGACGAGTAGTTTTAAAATCTCCAATTTCCTGTGGGGCTGGGATTCTGTTGTCGTCAACCCCATTTCTCAGGCGCTGAGATGCATTATTATATACGGAATTCAGATCGTCTGAAGTAGATCTTTGTTTTATCGTTCTTGACAATCACTAGACTACGCCATCTCACCGTCGCTCATATCTCTGTCGGAACATTATTGGTGCCGGAGGCATCATGATCGTCATTATAATCGATTATACTCGTCATCCTCCCAATCGTCGTTATAATCGTCGGTTGTCTTCATCATCGTCTGCATCATCTTGCCATCACCACCATCTTTTTCGTCTTTGCCACCGTTCAGAGCGAAAATTGTCTCCTTTCCTCCTGGAATAAACAAGGTTTATGACAAACAGTGTAAATGGATATATGCGTGACCTCTTCTCGTGCTTGCTTTTGTTTCCTCCCGTGACGAGATGCAAGGTTTCCTGGCAGGATTTGAAGATTGATGACCTAGAGACTGGTACTATTGTTCTTGTCCATGGCGGTGGCTTTGGTGCCTGGTGTTGGTACAAAACCATGGTGTTTCTTGAAGAGAGCGGATTTAAAGTGATTGCTCTGGATCTCGCCGGTTGTGGAGTTCATTCTTTTGACACAAATAGAATCACAAGTCTTTCCCAATACGTGAAGCCACTCACTGATTTTCTTGAGAAGCTTGCAGATGGTGAAAAGGTACCTTCATTCGTCAACCTTAACCAAAGTGATACTTCTTCTTCCATCTTCTTTTCTGTTCGAAATTTAAACTTCAATTGTCTTTCCTACATTGAACTGTGAACTCTGAACGATGGTTATGTGCCATCAGAATTTACTGATATTTCCGTATATTTTCTTGAGATGACTGAAAAATTAGTCTGCAGAGCTCATTAATGTGCATCTTTTCATCAGCAATGAAATGGAAATGATATGCTTTCCTCGATAGAATTGGAATTCGGAAGTTTTGAGCGCTCCCTTAATTATTACGATGAGCGCTCATGGCTTCTAACAGTTGTGAGAATTAAATGTCTCCCAAGGTCACAAAGTCGAAGAGGTTTCTTGCTCTTATCCTTAGGAGTTGTTGCTAGAGTTATTCTCTAGCAAAGTCTCTTTCTCTGTTGCTAGAGTTATTTGTTCCTAGTTGTTCTCCCCAACCATCTCTTTTTCTCTGAGGACTGTAGCGAGGAGTAACAAGTTCGGCAGACTTAAAATATTGTTCCATCAAAGGCTTTGCCAGAAGATAAACCGGGTCATTTGGTTGATTTTATATAGTCACAGCCAATGAAGGAACTTGGTTAAAACATAATGCACGCGTGTTTGAAGAGTTTCAATGCCTGTGAATAGCATGTTATGCCTGCGCTTGGAAATTGATTGTATCTTTGATATATTATGTGTGCAGAATCATGCATATACTAGCCTGAGAAGAAAGGTATATGGCTGGTTTCCATATCGCCTGCAGGAGTACGCTTGCTTGGAATAATTTGACACAGATTACTATGAATATTATAAGGTTTTCCTCAATGTCTCTTTTTGACATTTATCACTGAGTGTAAGAGCGAATTTCTGGTTTTTTTTTTGCTAAAACCATCTGAGGAGAATGAATTATGAATATCTTCTGTTGTTCCTTCATCTGAAACAGCCTGGTCAACTAGTGGATTACTCTGACTTAATCCATTTCAATCAAGGTCTCTCAAGTTAAAGGCATGACTTTGTAGTCTTTCATATCAGGGGTTCAGTTCTGTGTCATCGTCGAACTACCCTCATTGCTCATGCTCAGTTCCTGCTGGACTTGGGTGTTTGATGTGTTGATACGCCTGTCCCATTGCGCACCTGTTGATCCACACTCTCTCTTCTCCGATGTTCCCTCCAAGAAGACTGAGCATCCGATTTCTACTTCATAATTGGAGTCTGAAGAGTACCTTGGAAAATTCGTATCTCTGCAGGTCATTTTGGTCGGGCACGATCTCGGCGGCGCCTGCATATCTTTCGCCATGGAGATATTTCCATCCAAAGTCACCAAGGCTGTATATATTGCTGCTGCGATGCTGAAGAGCGGTCAGAGTACTGTTGACATGTTCTCTCTCCAGGTTCGTTCCTCTCTCATCCCATGCATCCAATCCGCCCCTCAGAGCAAGCAATCAAAGGTGTCTCATATTTCTCTCTCCTCCGCTGCTGCTTGTAGGAAGGCGTGGATGATCTTATGAGGCAGGCCCAGGTGTTCATATATGGGAACGGGCCCGATCGTCCCCCAACCGCCATTGACCTCAAGAAGTCCTCCCTGAAGGACCTGATGTTCAACCAGAGCCCCAGCAAGGTGAGTCCCCTCTCTGATGTTCCCATGAATTCTCCTCATTTAGGGATCAACAGCCACTCAAGTCCCCGAGATCTTGCCTTCCTCAAAGGACGTTGCCCTGGCCTCGGTTTCGATGAGGCCGGTGCCCTTTGCCCCACTGCTGGAGAAGCTCTCGCTCTCTGTCGGCGGCTACAGCTCGGTGCGGAGATTCTACATCGAGACGGCGGACGACAACACCATCCCCCTGTCGTTGCAGCGGGCGATGTGCGAGGCTGATTCCCCCGAGCGGGTCTTCCGGCTGAAGGGCTCTGACCACTCTCCATTCTTTTCGAAGCCCCAGGCCCTCCACAAGCTCCTGGTGGAGATCTCCAGGATTCCCAAGAATAGCACCCCACTGCCGCCGCCGCCGCCGCCGCTGACCCAGGTTTGACTTCCCAACTGCTTCGATCTTTTTCCAAGTCTTCTCATATGTCTGTATGTATGTATGGAGAGATTGTTCGATGGAGTCAGCTGCAAGGAGTTGACTTTGCTTCAGCTTGTCTTGACCAGCCCCCTCGAATTGGTGGTATTTGGGTGTTGTACTGGTGAGAGAAGTGCCCACATTGGGGGTTCATAGATGACATCAGTGTCTTGAAATGGTAATTTCCTCTGTATTTTCGGATAAAACCCCTGAAAGTAGGTGCTGACAATCATCTCTAGAGAGAGAGAGAGAGAGAGAAGCCAGCCTGGAGAGTCCGTCTTGGTCTGATTCCTCTAAAGTTTCCAGGAGCCCTTTCAGACTAAAACTTTACCGTTACTTTAAATGCAATCTGCATTTTTCATATTTTTCCCCTGAAAAAGCTTCTCACTAACCTCTTCTTTCTCTCGTTTTCTTTTTTCTTTGTTTCTTCCTTCTCATTGAGCAAGATTTCCGAAGATGACAGCTCTTGCTCGAGCCTGAGGGAAGGAGGGAGCTTAGAAATACACAGAAACGTTGGATGATCCGACCACCGATTTTTCCAGAATTAATTTCCCCCATTTCTTCCGTTGATAATCGAGACTAAGTGGTGAATTCTGTGATCATTGTGGCTAGAATCGGATTGACGGTTCAGGCCAGTTGACCACCGATCGACTTCCATGATCTCGATCATGATTCAAACAAGGTCCCGATCGGATGAAGCTAGTGGGTCTACTCATTGTCCTCAGAGGAAGTCAACGGGGGCCAGGCTCGTTGACGGCTAGTCTCCCGCCCTCTATCAACATCAAGCCGTCGGCTGAGAAGACCACCACAGAGCGAAGACCGGCGTTGACCGGCCCACTGGGAGGAAGGGCGAAGACTGCTTCTATGTGGCCGACGAACTCCCCAGAGCTGCCAGTGGTCAACTCCGCCACCAATGTGGCCGTCATACGCCGGGCCAGATGGTCCGGCCTCGAGGACCCACAAGTTGGTGGGGCTGCCGAGCTCTCTGATTTCCCGTTGACCTGTTTCTTTAGGGAGCAATTAGGTTTTTTTTTTCATTTTTTCTATTTTTGAACAGAGGGAAAAACCGGTAAGTGGGCCATATCACCTTTTTTTTAGGGTTTTGAAACCCTTCTTAGGGGAGTATATGGTTCCCGTGGTCAAGTAAAAAATGATGGACATGAACGCCATGACATAACATGCTTGTGAAGGCTGTTGTTCTCTTCCCTAATTAATGAAGAGAGAGTGAGAGAGAGAGAGAGAGAGAGAGAGAGAGAGAGAGAGAGAACTAAAAACAGAATCTTTATTTCTATAAAAGCCGTGAGCCCAGAAAACCTGCTCTTGGAGGATGGTGTTTCCAAGTCATCTTCACACCTGGAAAATAAAAATAAAATCACAAATAATTTTCATTGACAATAAATGCCTATATTTGGAGGTCCCAGAGGAATCATGACACTGAGACTCAAGAACAACAAGAAAAATATAATTTTTTAATATAAATTTACGTCTAATAATTCAAAGGAAATCGACGAACTGAATGACTCAAGAACATCCATCCCCCAATGGGTCTGAGCAGATTGGAGCTTCACGAACACTATTGATAGACTGATGATGTTTTCTGAAGAAAAACCATGGCTGAGGCCTAATAATCTCAATCCCAACACAATCATATCAGTCAGAAGTGATTTAATGGAAGAACTCAACAGCGTTCATCCATATTTTCTCACTCTGATAAATCGCATTCATAGATAAATATATTTTGGAAATCCAATCCACAGATCACATCTAATGAGTTTTGGAATCTTTTGGGTCATCACAGATTGATCACTAGTTTGGAAAATATCACCTGAAGATGATCCAAGTTACTATAGCTAGATTAATTAAAAGAAAATAAAATCAGAAGGGTTGAAATTTTTCATACCATAGCTTTTAATAAATTCAGATCACATCAGCTGCTTCATCACAAATCCTTAAAATGGCAATTATCGGAAGAAGAAACATATAAAAATCGAGCGAAGGGGAGCCCAGATTGGAGGAGGGCAAACTAACCTGGAGGCTCTCGGTTTTGATGATCACTGAGAACTCTTCAGAGCCTCTGCTTCTGCAATCGCCATGGGGTCCGTAGCCTCTGTTTCTTCTTCCTTCTCCCCATCGCGTTCTTCAGCCACCTTCTTTCTGTGCAGCTCCTCTGCAGCTTTCATGGCAGCCTCGTTTTCGGCCTGCAGTCGCTTCATCTCCTCCTCTTGCTGCTGCCTCTCGAACCAGGTATCAGCATCCGCCCAGACTTCCAAAAATTAAACAAAAAACAGATCATCAATAATAAAAAAAATGTGAGGGTAGAAAATTTTCGATCGAAGTATGGCCATCAATCGATTATCACTGGGAATGAAGAGAGAGAGAGAGAGAGAGAGAGAGAGAGAGAGAGAGAGAGAGAGAGAGAGAGAGAGAGAGAGAGAGAGAGAGAGAAGATTGAGCGATTTTTGATACGCTCCCATTTGGATAGAACATAAGGTTAGGGCTTGAGAGACCCAATTCCTTCGGTGGAAGACCCGATTCAGCTCAAGAAAGGAATCAATAACCTGACAAGAGGGAGATGGGAGATGCCCCCAGGAACCCTAGAGGGAGCCCAGAATCGAGTTCCACTGAAACAATGAGAGGGGGGAGAGAGAGAGAGAGAGAGAGAGAGAGAGAGAGAGAGAGAGAGAGAGAGAGAGAGGAGAGAGAAGAGGAGTGTTCGTGAACTCACGGGGTTGGGCGGCCCAGCCCTGCTCCCCGCCCTTGATCCGCTCCGGGAGGGCGTAGTTGACAGTGAGGACCCTGCCGTAGAGCTCGGCGCCGTCCATGTTGTCCATGGCGGCTGTGGCGTCCTCCTTCTCGAGGAAGGTGACGAAGCCGAAAGATCGGTGCTTCTGGGTGGCCTGGTCCAAGGGCGTCTTCACGTCCTTGATCTCCCCGAAGGGTATGAACGCCGCGTGAAGAATGGACTCGTTCACCTCCTCCGCCAACCCCCCTGCGCCATCCCCCCCGCCCATCCAAGCACTATGTAAGCCTCATCAGGGCTCGCAGAGAGAGAGAGAGAGAGAGAGAGAGGGGAGACATACCGACGTAGAGGGTGTCCTTCTGCACCTGCTGATTCATGGTGGCGCGAGAGAGGAGAACGCGAGGCTGCCGTCGCCGGAGAAGAGGATATAACAGCGGCTGCGATCACCCTGATAGACCTCGAATTTAAATTAATTAAAAATATAAAGTGACGAACAAAAACTCATATAAATCGACTTTAAATATTTTAAAACGTTTTTTAAATAATTTTAAATCTCTCTCCCTGATGCCGTTTTGTGAAGTTAAGTATTTATCCAAAATTTATATGGGTCGTCTAAAAAAATATATATTTTTATAATCTTCCTCATGAATTAGTCCAGTAATTAGAGGTTGATGATGCCAAATCGTAATACTAGGGATGACATATGGAGGAAAAGAAGCTACATGGAGGAGATTGGGTCTACGTGGGCCCATATAGAGTAAGAGCCTGAGCCACATGGGCCTAGACGAGACCCATCTCATGCTCTCAACCCAGGTAAGAGAGAGAGAGAGAGAGAGAGAGAGAGAGAGAGAGAGGGCACGTTGGCAGAAGGAAAAGGGGTTGGAGTGTGACTTTCCACGAATGATGGAGAAATAAAAAGCTAATCGCCGTTGCCGGGGATCGAACCCGGGTCACCCGCGTGACAGGCGGGAATACTTACCACTATACTACAACGACCTTGTTAGCTCAGTGACCACAGACCTTTTGAACCAACCTATTGGGCTAAAGCCTCATTATTAGGATCAAGAGCATCACTTCCAGGTACTTGATCCCCCTTCCCCGTACACCCTATTGCTACTTTACAAGTGACAGAATATATTAGGGCAGACGTCAGCAAAACCCTAGGCCCAGGTGGAGGTGCAGAGATATCAACTCAACAGCCGGCAGCCCTGCTCCTTAAATGTCACCCCAACCCCCGTCTGATGGCCTCAACAGGCAAAGGAATCAACTCATCTCTTCATCACTTTACTGCAGCCTCCTCCTCCTCCATGACCGCTCTCTGGAGTGTTCCCCATGGCCGGAACCAAGAGCTAGGGAGGAGGCATCTGCTGTCTTCTCCCCTCTCCCTTCTCGTAGGGCTCTTCTTCCTCGCATGGCGCGAGGGAGACCACCTTGCCCAGAAATGGGAAATCGCAGGCGTCCCCTCAGATCGAGTCATCCCCCCCAAATCCGTTAACAGTCGTTAGTCTTCTCCGGAGAAGGGAGGGAGGGGGAGAGAGAGAGAGAGAGAGAGAGAGGTTTGCATGGGGAGGGAAGATGGAGGAAGCAGCGCAGAGAGAGGGGTCGCCGTTGCCGGATTGGGAAGCCGAGGAATTGTCACATCGCTGCATCAGACTCGCGGCTCTGAACGCGGGAGTGCGCGCCGACAGGGAAGGCGGAAGGAGCGCCGCCTCTGCTTCCACCGCCGCGACGGCGACCGGGGGCCATACGGACGCTCTTCTCTCTTGTCTCCTCTGCTCTTCCTTCTCGTCAGTTTCTCAGGATCCCTATACTGCACATATCCAAGTCTTCCAGGTCTGAAACAAGCAATGCTTTGTTTGCAACGAGTTTCCCATAACTAAGATCATTTCAGTGTGGGATCCAAAGAATGGATAAATATTGACAATAAAATAACCTGATAACGGCTATTATCTATAATCAATAATATCCATAATTTATTTCATATTTTCACATTTTTATATTAAATAAAATTTGGGATTTTTTTGGTGTAAAGTTGTTTTTTATGAATAAAAATGTAGCCTTCCTCCCACGATTACTACTACTATATGGTCATCAAATAATAGTTTGTTCCAATTTAAAAAATACGATTATTGATGTGAATATTGTGGTACATATGAAGCATCAATCTATCTATATTAACATCAGCATCCGACAAACTCGGGTCTCCAGCTGGCCTTTTCCCATCTGAAATAGGGTTTAGACTTGCTGCACATTCCAATACCTGCCATCCTCAGTACGCCTTGATCTAAGGGAATTATCGATCAACCCATCCAATAAATCGAATTCTAACAACCTGAACATGGAACTTCCCACCGAGCTGAAACACAAGTTTCAATCAAAGAAGAACACTCCGCTGAATGATCCAGCCACCGTCTCCGATCGGTGATCAGAGATGGTGCAGTGAGGAGGTGGGGAAGAAGACGGGGGATCGATATCTCTCCTAATTTATCGCCAACGGTGACCGACACAGGTCCAGGTGTCGTTAGGGGTGTAGTCAACTCCCAGCGTCATTGCTACAAGGGAAGTGTGCTAGATTCTTGTCCATTTGTTATTATTTTATTTGACGCTGTCGGGGCCGTTCTCGTACGAACATCACATCAACCTTTCAATCTTCATCTTCTTCCTCGTCCTCTTCTTCACCCTGCCTTCACACTCCTCCCTCTCCGTCTCCTTTTCTTCTCTCCCTTCCAAGGCCTCGTCCCTGATCTTCTTCCTCTTCTGGAGATGGATCCAGCTTCTGCTCCTCCACCGGAGCACCTGTGCTACGTCCGCTGCAACTACTGCAACACAGTCCTCGCGGTAATCTGAAAAGCTTTGCAGATGCAGATACGAGAGAGCGAGAGAGAGCGAGGGAGAGAGTTGAAGCCAACTTCTCTCCATTTCTGTCACAACTACGGTGAAGTGCAGGGAGAGATTCATCCAAGGGAAGATTCTTCGTGAAAATTTACAGAAATCCCTCCCTCTCTCTCTATAAGTTGGTAGAGCCCGAGTAGAGAGATTTCCGTTCGAGTATCGTCTCTCCACACCTACGTTAGCTCACAGGAAACCAAGTTTTGCTGTTGGCGGTGGAAACTTTTCGTGAAAATTCTCACAAGAGATCCATCTTTTTCCCTTTCTAGATTAGTACAGAGAACATGGATTGAGGGATTTCTCTTCGAGTATCACTTCACAACACTTGTCTTAACTAAATATTTCAAGTTGAGGTGGACCTTGGTCCTGGGAAATACCCCCTGAAAGTTCTTGGGCATGATCTCTCTCTCTCTCTTTCTCTCTAGATGAGTAAGGAGAGCCAAGTTCGAGATATTTGTTGATCTTTTCATCCGTTACTCTTCCACTCTCGTTACCTTCAGGTTACCTTCCTCACCATCTGCAGAAGGGAAACCCTAAAGGATTTCATTCACTTTGGATCTACCCCTCAGAACCCACATACCATTTTGTTTTGCTTGCTAGTCTTCCTGCTCAAATTATACGCTTGAATACAAAAGGTAAGATATTTAGACGACCCAGATGGTTTGATTTCAGGTGGGAGTCCCATGCAGAAGACTGATGGAGACCGTGACAGTGAAGTGTGGTCATTGCAACAACCTGTCCTTCCTCAGTACCAGGCCTCTGGTGCATTCCCACTGTGCAGACTTGAATATGGCCCTGGGCTTGGGGATTCAGGTGAGTCGAGTCTCCGCGAAATCCTTAGAAGCTCTTGTTGACATGAATCTAGGGTTTCTCGAAGGAATAGTTAACTACTAGATCAATCTAGGGTTTTCGGATTTTGAGTTATATTTCTAGAAGAATCATTGTTAGAATGATTCTACACTTTTTTTGAAAAAAGGTTTACTTCCTATTGGTTAGGATTTGATGGATATAATTTAATCTCCTCCTGTCCTGACTATTATTAGGGTTTTAATGATTCCTCTTTGAAAATGGATTAGGGTTCATGCAACGACCACAAGAGGCCGTCGATGTCCATGGGGTCGTCATCAGCAGCCACCCAAGAGCCCAAGGCACCCTATGTTGTAAAACGTGTGTAATATCGCCTCTTCCACCTCACTCTTGATCACTCGCAGAACAAGAACAATAAAAGGTTTTGCTTCATTTGTCTGACGTTATTCGGTGTTCTTGTATCTGATTTTTGGACAGCTCCAGAGAGGAAGCACCGGGTTCCGTCGGCATACAACCGGTTTATGAAGTAAGAATGACAGATCTAGATAATGAAAAAAATATCAAGGAAAACAAGAACTTGAACTTGTAATGGAGTTGTGATCTCAGTCAAGATCATGAACTTCCATGTTCTAGAGTAATCTTCAGAGTTTCTTGATCTGGATCCCGGCCAAAAACTCATATTCTACGGCCAATTTCAGAGTAGTTATTTTTGGTTAGCTTTATATGTTTAAAATAATAAACCCGACCCACAGATCACAGTTGGCTATCTGGTCTTTCAGACTGCGCATGAAGCCTTCTCCACTGAGGATATAATTCCTCTGCGCTTCCAGTTAGTCAAATACAATGAGAAGATTTAAGGAATGTAATTTGAAGACTTCGGAATTTATTGCACAGGGAGGAGATACAACGGATCAAGGCTGCCCACCCTGACATCCCCCATCGAGAAGCGTTCAGCATGGCATCAAAGAACGTAAGACTCTCTCTCTCTCTCTCTCTCTCTCTCCCTCCTTTTAGAACTAATAGAAACAAATTATTTGAGTAAATATCATCTCTGTAACTTCTCTTTTTTTATGGTTTATAATGACAGTGGGCTAAGAACGATCCTCAATCAAACAACAGCAAACTTGTGGATGAACGCAGCAGGAAGGTGAAAATGGGAACTTATCAACATGTTAGTAAGAAAACCATTTCTCTACTTTATAAGTCCAGAGATTGGTCCATTTTGCATGTAGGCATCAAAATTAAGCATTTATTGGTCGTTTTTCTTCATCCATGCCCAGTATGGTTTCTACAGCATATATACCCTTCAAGTCCAAAATCTATTTTTATCACCTCGTGCTTGGCTTACAATCGCTCACTCACGTGTTCATCGTTCTGTGCCTCTCCTTACCTCCATCCCTCTCTCTCTCCCTCTCTTCCTCCCTTCCTCCTTCCCTCCTCTCTCTCTCTCTGCCTCCCTTCATCCCTCCCTCCCAACAGGCGCACAGATGCCTGGTGGGATAGGCCCGGGATTCTATGGCTCCAAACTGGAACATATTTTCCGTGCTTTTCTCTTGGGAGCGAGTGAGACCAGGGCTGTCCTCGGCCTAAACTGTTGATAGCCCTGATGATAAATTTTCCATATCATGACTTTGATTAAAAATGGGCTCATACTCAAACCTTTTGCTTTAAGTCCATGTCCAGGTGCTGCAAGAGCGACCCAGTGGAGTGATGGGTGAAGGGTTCGATGCTTTTAAGCAGCTCGAACGCCGAAATTAACTGTCTCTCTCCTTCGGAGAGGCCTTTGTATCTCGATTAGTAGTACCGTTTCGAACACTTGAAAGCCTTTGATGAACCGCACATGTTGGTAGATGTTTCCTTCCTTTAATGTTGTAACGACCATGGTTTCATGTCAACCGGCAATGTTTCGTTTTATATGCCTTAAATCAACGACACAACTGGAGTTTATAGGTGCTATTTTCCCATTGATCTGTTGCTCTGTCTGTGTGTAATGGTGGCGATGGGGGTGGCTTGGCTGTGGCCTGTGTTTATGCATGCACAGACACGTTGCGTGTGTGTGTGTGTCTGTGTGTGTGTGTGTTTGAGAGAGGGAGAGAGAGAGAGAGAGCGTATGTGTTTTCTTCAGCCTGGCTCCCTTATCTAATTGCGGGCATGGGGCATCACCAAAGGTAGAGGGGCGTGGCCAAAGTTCCTAGACGGATGGTAATTTATTCTTAGCCTGGTATATATGCAATAGATAGATAGAGAGCATGCACACATTGATCGAAGTCTCATATAAAATGTCCTTGATGCACTCAACAAAATACTTGGCCGAGTACTACTATCATTTCCATGAACACCATGCTTCGTGATTTCATGCTCTCCCTCCTGGAGATCTTCCATGATTAATTAGTTCTATGTATGATATTAGTAGATTTTCTAGCTCTATGTATCGTATTGGTAGGATATTAGTAGCATGGCTTCATGACCCATTTAATAATTAAAAGGAAGGTCCTTCCCATGATACTGTATTTTTATTTTATTCGACAAAATATTGGTCAATAATTTGATGTTTCTTTTATCCAAGCATCTACTTGATCATTGTTAGAAAACATATTTTACATGAGACTTTCCTAATTATAATACCATTATAAACATATTTTTACCTTCACTTTTCTATTTTATATTGGGCTATTTTTCTAATACCGCGTGTAATTGTAGGTCAAGATTTTACAAGAACTTAAATAAATAAAAGGATATGAAATATTTTTTTAGTGTTATATGTTGATAAATGGACACATGGTGGTCATAGAGGCATTTGATCACTAGTCATATTTAACCCTAATAATTAAAATGAGCTGACCCATTTTTTCCACCCGCCGTCATTCTGCCCGGCTCAAATTGTACCTCGCTTGCCTGATGTGGTTGTCTTGTGGGACCCATCTAGCTTCTTACTATACGGAGGGTTAAGGCCCTACTATGCTAGCCCGTTGACCCGGCCAGACTCGTGTACTCCAACAAGATTAACCATCCTAGAGAAGCTAGAAAACTCAAGTTATCAGCCTGAGCTTGGTAATAGAGAAAATTGCTATGCAATTATAATGGAACATCAGGTTGTATATGGTTTACAATCGATCAATGAGTAAAACAAAGTATTTTATTTAAAAAATATGCAGGTATGGTTTTTTCAAGCTTTATGTCCCTTTTATGGTAGTTTTAAATGAATATTATAAAGAAATGATTGTAAGACATACAACTTGCTAGTTGTGTTGGAAAATCTAATATTTATTGTAGTTATGTCTGAAAAATACATAACTTTGGTATATTTAATGATATCTAGCAACTGTTTGATAAAGTATTAGGATAAAAGCGAACATTATTCATGGAACACGAATCATATTTAGAGAATATGATCCATTTATTAGCCATATATTGATTTTGGTTTGCATTAGATCCCTCAACTTATGTTAACTAACTACTAAAGATTAGTCTAACAATCAAGTCAATGCGAATCCAGAAACCTGGTGACCTTCAGTTTGGCAGTTGACTCGGAAGGGTTGCGCCGCACTGCACTCGTCAGCCATTGCAACTGAAGATGCAACCTTTCTCTCTCTCTCTCACTCCGACGATACATGATGACCTTTCACTCTCGCTCTCTTTCTCACTCCGACGACCCATGATGACCCTTTATTCCCTCTCTCTCTCTCTCTTACTCGGACGACTCATGATGACCCTTCATTCTCTCTCTCTCTCTTCAGGGTGCCTCTGTTCTCAGGCGTCTCATCAAGCCGTTGTGAGCGGATGGCAGAGTCGACGTTGACAGCTGTCGGTCTCTTACTCTCGCCTCCTGCCACCGCCCAATCACGTCTCCTCCAGCCAGCCGTGTTGCAGTAGATCTTCATCGTAATGACTCAAATACCCTTATATTTACTTAAAATACCCATCATAGCCAGCCATCTGCGTATCTTTGAAAGACAAAAATATCTCTCCTTTTTCATAAACAACGCCTATGTTAACTCAGCCGCACGTTTTGCTCCAACACTCTCGGCCTCACTCGTTAAGGGAACATGTGGTCAACGGGAGAATCCTGATCCTATCTTGATTATGGGGGAGATCACTATGTTGTCAACTCTTAGTCTGGTCAACTCAAGTGGACTAGATCAGATATCACCAATCATAGAACTCAACAGATGACCGACCCATATCAGCTTGGGCCATCCTTGGGTGGGGTTTGACCTTTGCCATCTAATCATTGTTAGTCACCCAATTTACTTGTGTGAAATTAAGAAGTGGGGTTTAATTAATCAATTTCTCAATATTTTTATGATAAGATTTCTTTTCTTCAATCGATTTTCTCTTTGACTTCTTAATTTGTACAGTCTTTCTAGATTTATAATGAATGACTAATGTATTTTCTAACGTATTTTAATACAAACTATTAATTCACTTCTAATGATAGGCCTAATGATTGACCCATATCAGATTGATTTGACCTTTTCAAATCATCTAATCGATTCAATCTTTACCTCAATCGTGTGATCGATAGCAGTTGCATGGTCAGACCTTGTACGCTCAATTTACTTGCATGATTTTGCCCATGTATATCTATCCTAGTATGTATTAATATATTTGACAAAAAAATAGAGATTCCTTAGCAGCCTAGTAGGAGTAGTTGACTTTGATGCACTAATGATCAATCCATTTCTGGAAAAGTTACGACCAAACTATGGTATCGAAATATGTAGTTAATCACAGTCTTGTTGGTCTATCAATGAAGACACCCCTTCAATACGACAACCAAAGTTTCATTGAACACCGTCCAAAGCTCAGTTGACCTGATTCATTTGGAAGACAAAGACCAAGTTGACCAAGTTGACCCATGCTTTTAAAGGTACATATGGGCCAGAAATTTGAACTGCATCTCTCTCTCTCTCTCTCATATTGCGGGGTGAGTGTTGTGCCGGGCTTCGGGCTTCATAATTTGCGGGCCTGAATCCCGTTTCCTGACAATTTTCCGGCCCCTTGAAGCCCGTAGAGAGATATTTTGACGGTGATGTGTGGTGGAAGTCGGGCGATTTGGACGGCCAGGATGTTCCGGCGGGTGTGGAAGTGGGACGTTCAATCGACACGTGTCGAGGAAAAAGGTCGGATCGTTTAAGGTTCTCGGTCTCGCTCCTCGGACTTCGCGGCAGAGATCGCGTAATAAATCTGACTGCTCGGAATATTTCCTAAAAGGCAGCATAAGTTTTTATTTATTCATGTAACCATAACACACGGAAAATTTCGTCGCAGATCCCAACTATCAACTCTACAAAGGGTGTAAATATAAATGTTATTTATATGGTGCATATAATATTCTTATTTTCGTTTATGGGAGCGAAACACAATGTGCAACCATCGCCTTCAACGTCACCACCTCTGTAAGAATTCATGACCAGAGAGAGAGAGAGAGAGAGAGAGAGAGAGAGAGAGAGAGAGGGAGAGGGAGAGGGAGAGGGAGGGAGGGAGGGCGCGAGAGAGAGAGGAGAGAGAGGAGAGAGAGGAGAGAGAGGAGAGAGAGGAGAGAGAGGAGAGAGAGAGAGAGAGGAGAGAGAGAGAGAGAGAGAGAGAGAGAGAGGAGAGAGAGAGAGAGAGAGAGAGAGAGAGAGAGAGAGAGAGAGAGAGAGAGAGAGAGATGGGGACTTACCTTCACAGTAAAAACACACATGAGAGTGAAGGGGGGAGGGAGGAGGAGCGAGAGTGAAAAGGGTGGAGTGTGGGAGTAAAGAAGAGTGCCCTCCATCCGCAGACCTCATAAGTCGCCCCTCCCCTTCTCCTCTTCTGTGCATGCATCCGCGTTCATCCGCTCGTAGCTTTCCCTGTGATCGTCGGATCCTTTGCCATTTTCGGCACTGCGGTAAAGGAAAGAAAAAGAGGGGGAGACCCACTGGAGGAGGCAAGAGAGAGAAAGAGAGAGAGGCCGAGAGCGTCAGGGAGGAGGAGGGGAGACGGGTGATAGGTGGATCGAAGAAGAAAGAGATCCAGAAGAGAGCGTCGGGAGAGCGTAGCAGGTGCAGAAGAAGAGGAGAGAGAGAGAGGCATGGGGAGAGGGAGGGTTGAGTTAAAGAGGATCGAGAACAAGATAAACAGGCAGGTGACGTTCGCCAAGAGGCGGAACGGGCTGATGAAGAAGGCTTACGAGCTCTCCGTCCTTTGCGATGCCGAGGTTGCCCTGATCATCTTCTCCAACCGCGGCAAGCTCTTCGAGTTCAGCAGCAACAGGTGACCAAACTCCTGGGCTCCCCCTTTGCCCCTCCATGCCTATCTTATCTCATCCTACAAAAGAAAATACGATTATAGTTTCTGTGTTTCGCCGGAGAAATAAATAATCGGCTGATTAAGGCGTTGATGATGGGAAAATCATTCCATATATCGATAGATCCATCGTTCCTTCAGGACTGGAGCTCAGATCTCAGAAGATATGGCGACCGGGATGGCCTGATCTTCTGTCTGATGTTTTTTATAGGGCCTCATCCAATTTCTCCTTGAACATGGAGAAAACCCTGATCTAAGCCGCATCTCTCTAGATTTCTAAGTACCTATTAAGCTTATTTCTATTTCTTTCACCTGATTTTTTCTGGATATTTCATGTTGCTGTTTATTTTTTTTGCCATCTGCTCTCCCCGGATAAAACGTTTTAGGGCCAGTGCGCAGCTGTTCTTCTCCTGTATCTTTTTTCAAACTTTATCGTCGACTGGTACCCAGATTAGGGTTTGCTCAAAGAATCTCTCTCTCTCCCTCCCTCCCTCCCTCCCCCCCGCCCGATAATATCCCGTTTCATTTCCGGATGCGTAGAAATCTCTCAGGTCTATTTCAGACGTCGTCCATGGTGCAAAAACTGCCTCTTTCCTTCTCGCTGCCTTCTGTCTGTGTCTGTGACCTCCGAGGTCTTAGGTTGTCGGAAACGGCTCTTCCAACTGCTGGGTCTTCCTCCGCTCTCTTAATTTCTTCGAGTTATCTTTCTCTCTGACCTTCAGATCAAATAGCTGGTTCGTCTTCCCGCTGGGTATTCTCTTCCCCCAGGTCGCCGTCTCCATCTTCTTCCTCCTACTAACACCGAAGAGTGTTTGCAGTCATAATCATGCCTGAAATGCTTCTGTGACAGAAGCTAGACTCGACCCAGGCTCAAAAACTCAAGCTTTTCCTACGTGTCTCTCCCTAGCTTCACGTTCTTATTTTCCATAATTAAGTAGAGTGATACAGCGAGCGAGCGAGCGAGAGAGAGAGAGAGAGAGAGAGAGAGAGAGAGAGAGAGAGAGAGAGAGAGAGAGAGAGAGAGAGAGAGAGAAATTGTTCATGCAATTTTTTTTATCTGCCATCAACGTAGTATTTTATTTATTGGATATTCTTTTAATTAATTGATGTATTTATTTTATGTTAAAATTGTTCATAACCAAGGTTGACCAATGGAATCAGGATTTAGAGGTTTTCTTTTGCATAGCTCTTTAATTTACTAGTATTGTGAAATTGGCCCCTTTGTTATTATTGTGGTCAATTCAAGCACTAATGAAAGAAATCGAATATTATAGATATTTATTTAATTAAAAAAATAGAGCTAATAATGGTTAAATACCCCTTGTTATAACACAAATAATAACCTTTTTGTGTCAATCCTTATTTTCATATCATTGAAATAATTAAGGGTCTAGTTGTCCATCTTAGTTTGACCTTCAATAATATCTTAGTTTAATTTGTGGATAATGTAAAATTATGGTTTGCCCCTCTTGGGATTCACAAATAAAGGATATTTATTGTTATGCCACTGGTATTTAGTGGAAGGTATTAGAGAAAATATTAATTCAGCTGATGCATGAGAGGAGATATTTTCAAAGTGACGCAATAAATCAAGTACCATTATCATTGATTTTATATTATAATAATCTATCAAGATAAATCGGTTAAACTTTGGTTAATAGAGGCTAATAAATAGTTCTCTTTGGACGACTAAAAACAAGGTAAAAATGGAACTTGAATTAAATGGATATTCTAGACCTCTTCATATGGTTTTAAATCAGACGACTCACATTTTTCTCTCATCGATATTCTTATTTTCTTGAATATTTGGTCTCATAATCCCATATTCATGTCATTACGGAATATTCTGCTTCGAAAAATTACTGATTATTTTAAATTATATATTTAATTAAGGATCTTTCTACTTTTAGAATGAGAAAAAAATGGGATTTATTATCATTTAAATAGGATTTAAATAGGATTTATTATTCCTGTTAACTAGGAATAATATCTTGTCAAGGAGAGTGTATTAAAATATAATATTTAATGGGGAAGCTTCGTGGTTAGGGGATGCAGAACTTATCGTTTCATATAAACCTGCATGCTAGTACCGTACGCATAAAGTCAACCCCGGGGGGTCAACCCTATTAACTCCAGACTGACACGTATGTCTACATAGCTGCAGCATGCTCAAGACGCTCGAAAAGTACCAGAAATGCAGCTACCCTGTTCCAGACGCCATCGTTCCGTCCAAGGAGACCCAGGTGAGAAGAACGCTCTCTCTCTCTCTCTAGCTTTTGACGATGAGTCGGCAAGTTTTTAAAAGAGCATCTGCTGTTTTTTTCGACTCGACCAGAGCAGTTACCAGGAGTACCTGAAGCTCAAAGGAAGAGTGGAGGCTCTGCAACGTTCCCACAGGTAACCTCTCTCTCTCTCTCTCTCTCTCTCTCTCTCTCTCTCTCTCTCATGGTTTCTTCAACGTAGTAAGAATCTACTCTACGGGGTACCACAGGAACCTTCTGGGGGAGGACCTTGGTTCTTTGAACACGAGGGAGCTGGAGCAGCTGGAGAACCAGCTGGACGCTTCTCTGAAGCACGTCAGGTCAACTAAGGTAGCCTCTTTCTCACCGACCGACAGAAACCTCTCCAGTCATTCTCATCATCGAAGAAAGATTCCGTCTTGAGAAGAAGAAGAAGATTAATTAGCTCCTGCAGATGCCATCTCTGCGCTCTTTCTCTTATATTTCCTCTTCTTTTTCCAATCATTTTATCTAAACGATGTGATCTGTTCTTGCTTCTACGAATCTCACGGCAGACTCAACTGATGCTGGACCAACTCTGCGATCTCAGGAGGAAGGTGAGATGACGTTTAGGGGTTTAAGCCCCGCTCCTCCTTCGAAATTGCTGGAGAACTCCTACTGATTAGACGTTTTTCTGACGTGGGTCCGTCTCATCCTCCTGCAGGAACAGATGCTGCAGGAGTCAAACCGCATCCTGAGGCAGAAGGTGACCGACCTCAACTCCGTACCGGCGTTGACATCACCCACCAGCGGAGACCATCTCACCTCGTCCCTTGTCGGCTTCTCTTCTCCTCGCAGTTGCAGGAGGTGGGCCCGGAGAATCCCCTGCAGCTTTCCTGGGGCAACAACGGCGGCGGCGGCGGCGGCGGCCCGAGCACCACCCCCTACGGCCGCCAACCCGTCCCCCCGACGGAGGGTCTCCTCCAGCCCCTCGGATTCGACGGCCCGCTCCAGATCGGCTGGTACGGCTCTAATTCTCTTCTTCTTCTTCTCTTCTCCTCGTTCTCTTTCTTCGATCTGCTTCTTCTTCTTCTTCTTCTTCTTCTCGTTCTTCTCCTTGTTCTTTTTCTTCGATCTGCTTCTTCTTCTTCTTCTTCTTCTTCTATTTCCTCCCGCCATTCCGCAGGTATCCAGTGGCGAACGTTGACCAACTGAACCCCGGCGAGCTGTCGCAGAACGTCAACGGAGGATTCGTCGGGGGCTGGATGGGATGATGATCTCGGATCCTCCCCGCCGCCCCTGTAAATCTGGTTATGCGCTCGCTTCGTCCCACGTGTCCTGTGCCGCCGCCGTCGCCGCCGCCGTCGCCGCCGCCGCTGTGTGAACTATTTGTTAGAATAAAAGCATGGAGAGAGAGAGAGAGAGGGTGGGGTGGGGTGGGGTCTGAATAAAGACGTTTTCTTTGAACTTCTGAGGACTGGGTGGGGGATGTTATTGTTTGAAACGACAGTCACAGTGTTGATTTGAGCAGCTCGTTGCTTGTGGGTCTCTCTCTCTCTCTCTATCTCTCTAAATGTAACTATTTTCCCGTTCGTATCCTCATGAAAGCCAGTCATTATGAGTGGGCAATTGATTTCAGAGAAGAACCATGCGCTGATGAAACCCGTCAACTATTTCTATTAGGATCATCAACCCATCAAATATGCCAACCCAAATATTAGGATCACAGTGGACCAGAGCGGAGATTACAGTGCCCACAATAAGGCTCTCTCTCTCTTTCTATCTCTGTCTCTCTCTATCTCTCTTTCTATCTCTCTGTCTCTGTCTCTGTCTGTCTGTCTGTCTGTCTGTCTCTCTCTCTCTCTCTCTCTCTCTCTCTCTAGCTGAGGGGGAGGGGGTTCACATGGTCTGCGATGATATCAATTGTCACACCCAATGCAATGCGTCCACATGACCTGTTAGGCCCTTGTTTTTGAGGGGCTTGAAGCACAGATTGGTTGAATGGACGATCTGTGGAATGAATTTCTACAGGGCGAGGAGGCCCACCATCTTCCTTCAAGTCATCTCATCATCTTCCTCGATCCCCTCACGAGCACCGGCAGCAAGGAAGTGCTCCCTGCAGAGGCCATAAACAACAGAAACCCCAATCAGCACAGGGCGACAGAGAGAGAGAGAGAGTATAAACATCGCGAGATAATCTCAGAAAGCCCCTGCCTACCTCAATTTCTCACAGAGGCGAACCAGTGCATCGGAGCCCGTTCTGTAAGCGACGTCCTCAATCTGCAGAGAATTGCACACGTTCGCACACTCTGCAAGCCTGAATTCACACAGGTCCTTCAACGAGAAGGCATCTGTCAAGACAGCAGAGTGGCCTCCCCCAGCCGCCACCCTCCTCACATCTCCTACACACCTTCAAAAGAACAAGAACAAGACCAAGAACTACAAATCTAAGAAGAAGAAGAAGAAGAAGAAGAAGAAGAAGAACTACACATCAAATCATGGGTTTGGGGCTTAGAAGGCGACCTACCAGTCGATGGGCGAGGGGTTCCAGGCATAGGTGGACTTCCCATTCGCCGCCTGGCCATAAGAATTGTAGCCCCACCCGTAGACCCTCCCATCCTTGGTGGACACGAGCGTGTGGGAATGCCCACAAGCGGCGATCTCCACGCCCGATGGGATGACCAAGGCCGGGATGTTGTGGAGCAGAGTGGCGGCAGATTCATTGGGGCTGCATGAGAAGAACCCGTTCTGAGGGCCCAGACCCAATTGCCCAGCTTGCCCGCCGCCCCACGCGTAGAGCGCTCCCTTCGAAGTCACAGCGCACGAGTGCACGCCACCACAGGAGATGTCCTTGGCGATGATCCCTTCGAGAGCCACTACTCTTCTGGGAAGGAGCTCCTTATCTGCAAACTGGAGGGAGCAGTGGCCAAGCTGACCCATACTCCCTAACCCCCAGGTGTACCTGGTAAGCAGGAAGAAGATTGAAATCAAAGAAGCCCGCCCTCAAAGGAGTAAGCTGCCACAAAAGGTAATTTAAAAGAAAAATAAACAAAAATTTCTTCCACTCTAGCAAGAAAAATAACCAAAAAAAAAAAAAAAAAAAAAAACTAGCACTCCCCTCACTGGTCTACACCTCATGGCAGCTAGATGCAGATCGTCTTAGGGTGACAAAATTACCCAAATAAGTCACCAGTTTCATGCGGAAATCCATCATCTACAAGCAAGATTTTGCAACTCCAGATATTTTTAGTATCCTCGTAAATCACTTACACCTCGCCAATTTCCGATATGGCTGCAGTGTGGAACTCCCCACACGAAACTCGGATTATCTTCACGAGCTCAGGGGCTTCATCAAGAAACCTAGCATAGGCATTTAAAACGCGAGGCTTCTGCAGTCCTTCACAAGAAAAACCTCTCCCAAGCTGACCATACTCATTGTAGCCTGATGTATCACCAAGTAATACGATTCTAATTAATATGCAATTCAATGATATACTATAATCTGTAAGATACTCCTTTTCAGAGAGTGTAGGAAACAAGAAAAGAAAAAAAAGAGCATATGGGCATTGAGAAAAGGGATAAATTAGCAGCAGCTGATAATATCCGAGAAAGAATTACACACTCAAAATCAATTGAGGTGGAGAACAAATTAGGCAAAACTTACCCCATGCTTGCAGCAATCCGCCCTCAGATAGTGCCACCACGTGAGCATTTCCGCACGAAACTTGGCGGACATTCTGCCATGTTTCGACAGAACAAGAGAAAGATGACAACAAGATCGAGTTTCATAGAGAACAAAACACGAGACTGGAATCGGATATAGTGCATTGATTGATTTATAGATGGCTCCGGCCTTATCCACATGTTGAACCCAGATAATTTTTTTATTTAATTTTTAATTTCTGTCATTCCATGGAATTCGACATCTTCAAGGGGATAATTTAATTCATGACACTGAGGAGAAGAACAGAGTATCGATCACAAATGAAAGATGAGTAGCTTTTGTAACTAGGTCTAACAAGATCCGATTCTTAGAACCGCATTCATCGTTATTTAGGTTAAAGAGGAAAAATAAGAACAGGGGGGCGTGGAGTCAGTCTCCCCACGCTGATACTAGAATATTTGGCCAACTTGCATAGGTTCTCACCACATACTCTGAGATCAACTTGCCACCGGTTCCTCGCCACAATCTCTCCCCATTGGGACAGAGAGAAGAACCTAAAACCTCCTGCTGCGGCCTCCATCTTCAAGCAGTTGCCTTATCCCCATTACCTCATCTTACGGTCACCACCTCCCTCTCCTGTACTCACCACTCTGAAAATTAATTTCTTAGAAAGTTAGGGGTCCTAACTAGGAGATGCCGTCTTGTCAAAGGAGTCTCTCCAAATATATTTTTTACGTCTAATGGTTACATCCTGGAATTTGTAGCAGAAACTAAAAGAAATGTCATCAGGGAATGGTCACTTCTCAGCCTCAAGGCTGACAAAAGGTGGCTTAAAATATTAAGTTAAAAATCAAAGGAGGTTTGCATCACCACCGAATTCGGTCGATTTTATACACATTCCAGACTCGGACACCATCTACATCTTCAGAATTTCAAGTCAGTTCTACTCACTTCTCCCCAAAATTGTGAAGGGAGATGTATGCAAGAAAGAACTCCAGTCTCTATTATCTTCTAAAAAATTAAAGACCCATGGAGATGTAGCTCCTCCATGCGGTATATTACATTAAAATTAGAAGATAAAAACGTCACTAACCCCTAAATTTCATAAATCTCATGGACATTATGATATCACAAAGGCAGGAAAAAAATCTTGTACAATGGGAAATCAGAACACCAGAAGGGTATTGAGACAGTACCCCTAAAGACGTGTTCGACATAAGACAATAGTCTAGAAGCTTCTGTAGTAAACACTGGGATAGGAATATACTGAACAATATAAATACCCTCCTCTGTGAATAAGAGGGGGTATTGTGGTAGAAGGTCACGAGAGGAAAGGGAGAATGAGGAATTCTCTCGAACTAATTCTCGTCTCATCACTGTTTTCTCTGTTTTCTTTGAATACATTGTTCGTTTTTTCTTCTTTGTCTGAGAGGAGAGAAGGTGATTGTATCAGGTATAAAGTTATAACATGCCCAGCGCAAACAATCTAACACGCAACGTTTTTTCTCACACGCTGATTGGCTTTAAGAATAATTAGAACACATTTGAAGTTTCAACTTGTAAAGGTTATCTCGTAGACAAGTAAATAAGCAACATATAATCATAAAGAAACATAAACCACATACCATACTGGGAGAGAAAGCTCCCCAAAATAGGCGTGGACAATTTGAACCCTAAAAAAAAAAGGAAGCAAGGACTTTCCATAAATCATTACAGGGGACAGAAATGAGATAAGAATAAACCTGTAAGATATGAAGATAACATTGACCTGGTTTTGCCCCCAGATCCAGAGCCTACTGGTAGATTTGTTACCATCTTTTTCGCGAGATTCTGCAATCGCAGCTGTGCAATGTGCACCACAAGATACAGATTTGACAAACTCATTTTGCAGTGATTTAACCTTTTTGGGGTGTTTCCTGTTTTCCTCAGTGCCATCACCAAGCTGACCAAAATCATTTGCACCTGTGGAAATGAATAAAAGGCTGTTAAATTTATCCGTCTTGCACTAACATTCAAGAAAAAAAGTTTAAGAGAATATGAAGAAATCTCTGTCTTGAAAGTTTAAGAGAATATAGCACGACACAGGCCTATAACGCAGGGAAGGCTTCATAAATAAATCTTTTTTATATGCTCCAGAAATAAGAAACGAAGCCACTTGAAAGAAGCTGGCATGGATCAATAATCCTAAAAAATGATATTGGTTAAAATGAAAACGGGAATGATTTTGGTTCTCTCGAAAATGACAGAACCCTAGAAATAAGGTTTTGTTTGAGACCATAAGAACAATAGCTTCAATATTTCCTGATGAAAATATTAATACTTGATTTACGCAGACTTAAAAGATGGCTTTCTAACATCAGCAGCCCACAAAGTACCAGAAGATTAAGAAAAAATCAACTAAAACTAAATGAAAAAGAAAGGTGTATTGGACCAAAAGGAGGAGACTCTTGAATGTAAAGGGATTAGTACAGAACAACAGTAGAAAGGGACACCCATAGAGTCTAACCCCCCCCCTTCCTCTCACTTCCACCATCCACCAGCAGATGAGAGGAATCGGGGAAGCCACTTCTTGGCAATTAAATCCACAATTAATTCTCCTATCAGTTGAATAATTAACATTCGGGCATTTCTTGATATAATCTTCTTCAAGAAAAGAAATATCCAAAATCAAAAGAAGCACAGAAAAGAACAAACCCCATGTGAACAGCGTGCCATCTGATGCTACGGCAGCAGTATGCTCGCGGCCACAGGCAATATCCAGCCACCGCAGCTTCTCCCCTCGAGGGCACTTGAAGAGCTCCCGGGAGAGTCGTTTGGGGATCCTCAGACGTCCTTCGTTGCACTCCCTGGCAGTCTGTCCCCGCTGGTTATAACCCCAGATATAGATCGCGCTCATTGTTGGGAAGGCAACTGCTTCCTGAGCGTCACCCAGAATCTGATTGATACCCATGTTCACAAGAAATTGATGCCTGCACATATAAAACAGAAAGACAATGATCCAACGAAAAACAATCTCATATCGAACAATAATCATACGATCCAACTGATACACGCCTGTGTCAGTCAAGATCGTGATGACCGAAGAAGAAATCGGAATACATGAGACTGTCTCACAAATTACACGCTTCCGATTCTGGAAATGACACAGAGAAATCAGTAAACGCGGGCAATAATTGAACACCGGCCCCTTGTTCATCTGAGAAAAGGAGCAGGGGGGAGACGACGATTGGGGAGGAATCCACGCACAGACCAGGGTCTGGGCGGCGGCACGAGCAGGAGAGAATCGAAACCACGAAACCCACCTTCCGCCACCGAAGTCTTGAAACGCACCTCGATCCTGAGGGGAGACTAAGGGGGTCTCCTGCTTTCTTCAACCCCCCCGGGATCAAGGTGGGTCAGCGGCGGCGAAGGCGACCACGTGGAGCTCCGGCAACACGGCGGCGATCACTCCCTCACCGGCGTAGAAATCAAATGTATTTAAATTATTGTCAATTTTATTTTAAAATGCATGTATTAATAAAAAATGTGAATTTTAAGGATAATAAACGCATTAGAGAAGCTTGGTCAGGATGTCAAATCGCTTTTGAGCCGTGTGCCTTTCAAATAAGTACTGAGATGTTCGGCCCAACGGGCCTATTATATCCATTAGAGAAGCTAGGTTTTGAGCCTCATCAAAGAAACTTTGGGCCGGCCCACATCTGGCTCGAAGTAAGTGACCCAACCCATGTAAATATTTTTAATTATTAAATTACTTAATATATTTGTTATGTCTGTGGGCTCAGGCCCTCGGATAGAAGGCTAGGTTTTGCCAGAACGGATCCGGCCCATTTAAATCTTGGGAGGGGGAGAGAGAGAGAGAGCGAGGCAGAGGGGGAAGAGAGAGAGGGAGAGGGAGAGAGAGAGGGGGAAGCGAGAGAGGGAGAGGGAGAGAGAGAGGGGGAAGCGAGAGAGGAGAGGGAGAGAGAGAGAGGGAGAGAGAGGGAGAGAAGAGAGACGAAACAGAGAGGGAGGGAGAGGGAGAGAGAGAGGGAGAGAGAGAGGGAGAGAGGGGAAGAGAGAGAGAGGAGAGAGGAGAGAGAGGGGAGAGAGAGAGGGAGAGGGAGGGAGAGAGAGAGAGAGAGAGAGGAGAGGAGGGGAGAGAGAGAGAGAGAGGGGGAAGAGAGAGAGAGAGAGGGGGGGGAGAGAGAGGGAGAGGGAGAGAGAGGGGGAAGAGAGAGAGGGAGGAAGAGAGAGAGAGAGAGGGAGGGAGAGAGAGGGGGAAGAGAGAGAGGGGGAGAAAGAGAGAGAGAGAGAGAGAGAGAGAGAGAGAGAGAGAGAGGAACCACTGATTGTTCTTGAAAATAAATAAGAAACTTGAGTAAAATGCGAAGACCATCGGTTCTCATAATTCTAGAACATCTTACGTCTTCTCACGTTTCTTTCTTTGCATAAGCGACACTAAAGTTAAGAGAACAGTCGGAGGAGAGAGAGTGTGAGAGAGGAAGAGGGGCTCCTTCCTTCCCTGCTAGAGATCGAACCTGCACGGACATGGAGAGAACAAGGGTTTCAGAATCTGCATGAGAGGGGAGAGAGAGAGAGTTTAGAGAGAGAGAGAGAGAGAGAGAGAGAGAGAGAGAGAGTTGTCAATCTTCTTATGTTACTCTCACTAATCTCTACGACAGTTTTTCTCCCAAGGCTCGCTACTTCTCCATAGACACTGTGAATAGTCTCCAGTAAATTCAGCGAGAAAATGGAGAGGAAATAATACCCAAGAATTCTCCATAATCTCCATGAAAGAATCCACGGCGGGCCTTCTATTTATACTATACCGGGGAGAAGAAATCTCACCTCACCTTCGTGAAGTTGAGAGAGAGAGAGAGAGAGAGAGAGAGAGAGAGAGAGAGAGAGAGAGATGATGACGACGATATCGTCCCTAAAGGAGACGACGGAGGCGCTTCTCTCCGTGGGTAGCGGTGCCGCCGCTGGCGGTGGTGCGCTGGAGGCGGCGCCGCCGCGCGACCCGGACTGGCTCATCCCCTTTGGCTTCATCCTCGTCTCTTTCTTCGCCATCGCCTGCATCATGGCCATCGTCATGTCCCGCTGGGGCAGCTGCAAGGAGAAGACCTACGCCTACTCGTACAGCGTCTCCATCTTCGAGCATGAGTGCCTTGTGGGAAGCCTCGCCGCGGTCCTCTTCATCGTCATCTCCCTGGCCAGCTTGTACTACTACTTCTGCTTCAGCGGCGGCTGCTTCGGCGGCGGGATGGCCGCGGCGGTGCCGCTGGCCGCCGGCAGGAGGTTGAAGACGGCGGCGAAGTAGAGCTCAGAGGCGGGAGGAACCAACGGTAGGGTTTTGAAGCCACGGAGGAATAAGGATAGTGGTGTTGTAGAGGACCCAGTCTGGGACTAATAATAAGGGAAGCAAGAAGCAAGTAGCTCCGAAGAATGATCGGAATTAAGGAGCTTACTTTGAAGCCATGGCAATCGGGCTTTCATCCTATGCTCTCTCCTCCATGAATATATAGATCATGCTAAGCTATGTTGTAGTCAACCAATTTTGATATTTTAAAACCAAATATTGATTATTATTCATTAACTAATGCAGCTGATGAGGGGAGATTTCTTCAGTAAAGATGTGTGCGCGCGTGTTTGTGTTGGCGTGTTGTAGTGGGATATTAATGATGGAGTATATTTTTTGTGATTATGAGATGTATATGGAACATTATCATTCATTAATAACACTGCCAAATATGAATTGCATATGCTAACATGTGTTGGTCTGCCAGTTTTGTTGTAATATTGCTTGATAATCAGAAACATTGTGGATTATCATTTATGGTTAACATCATTGAAGCTGAATTTTTAAATAAATAATGGTATTAAAAACTATATATAATACATTCAAGATCCATTTTGAAATGCATACATGACTCAATCTATCATCATATTTTTTACAATGAAGTGCTACGTAGAGTACAAAAAAATAGTAGTTTTATTTGCGCACTAGCTAGTGGGAGTCCTTAAAATGAGTCATCTACCTCATATGTTTGTTTATGGTTTACGAAATTTATCTTTTATAGAATATTCATACATAATTTTTGGGCTCTACCATGCAAATAAATATACGTGATGAATAAATAACACATCCAAGACTGTGATAATATCATAAAAAAATAAACCAATAATTGAAGCTAATCATCGACCAATGAAGTATTTGTTTAAAAAGCCTGTTGTATGATTTGGTCTTCAAAGTTTAATCTATGTCTAAATGGTCCATTGGATCATCATCCATACATGATAGTATAGAAATGTTTAAATAAAAAGTGGAAGTTACTAAGGTAGCTCATAAGTAGTATATCATGAATATTTCTCCAGCAATTAGTGACCTACTTGTGGAATTGATCAATTTATGTAGATAGTATCAGAGGATGCACTGAAACTAAATATTGTTGGATAAATGTATTGTTAATTTATGAGAGAAAGGATCTTCAACAATCATGTCTTTTGAGCTTTATATAAACCTTCAAAAAATCTACCTAATTAGATGTGCTAACTACATATCTTATCTGATATTACTTACATGGATAACCTTATTAAGTTTAATTTAATAGCTAATGAAATGTTATAAATCATGGATTGCCTTATTAAGTCTAATTTAATAACCAATTGAATGTTTATAAATCATGTATAACCTTATTAAGTATAATTTAATAGAGAATGGAATTGTTTATAAATCTCCCTTGAAATTACACTAAAATCATCGAAAGTATGTAACCTAGATAGATTTGGGTGTATAATTGATAGGCTTTATAACTCATTGGAATTGATCATTTGTTTCCGAAGCTTGAATTCCTGGGGCGTCTATAATTTTCAAATAATTTATAACAAGAAATTTTCAAACATGCATAAAAACATTGAGTCGACATCCTTGTGTCATGGTGGGAAGAAACTATCTTCTGACATAACTTCACCATTTTCCAACCAGGAGTAACCTCTCCCAATCCTTGAAAATATAAGAATCTTTCACTCCATGAAGGGGTCGTCGAGGGGAGAGGGAGAAACAACTAGGGCAGGAGAGTAAGATGGAAGAGTCTCTCCAGTGCAAGGGTGGGCAGGTAGCTGGAGTTCAGACTTTCGAGTGGGAGCCATCCTACCCTATGCTGAACCAAGAGCCTAGGGGATCGAACAAACTTTCATCTTCAAGTTTGAGAGAAATGGAGCCAATTATAATCCAATTAACTTAGCCATTGGCACTCCAAGTCGAGATCTACTCTACCCTCTAGCAGCCCTGAGCCGAACCAAGCTTATGGCTCAACTATCTCGTTGTCATATTGAAGGAGGTTATAGAAGATAATAAAACCATGACCATGATCAACTCTCTCTCTCTCTCTCTCTCTCTCTCTCTCTCTCCCCCTCTCCCTCTCTCCCTCTCTCCTTAATATGATAGACGAACATGAAGAAATAGGCCATAACTATTGTATACTTAAAATCATTTATGGGACCCAGATCCATATAATTCAAAGAAATTATTTCTATGATTAAAACATTTTGGAGTCATATTTAACAAATTGTTTCCATCGTTTAACATATTTATATCGGCTCCTATCCTCGTCGTCCCAAAATGGTTCAAGAGATTCCTCAGATCCGTTCCCAACTCTCTTATTTAGATTCTGACAGCATAATTTCTCAGGACATCTTGGACGATCTCAAAAAGATTGTGAGAGGAAGCTCAGTAGGACCTTCCCGGAACTTCTCTAGGATTCTGTTGCTAACATTAATACGTAAAGCCCTGTTTTCGGATGAAATAATCAGCATTTGGCAAATAGTTGATCCCGTAAATTACGTGATATTAAGATGGTGAATGGTCCATGCCAGCTCCAAGCCCTTGCCGAAGTTCAGCCCAAAATTTTAGGTCTTCTTATAAGGCTCAAGAAATCTCAAACAACACTCTGGTCCGAACGCAAATGAATCCCGGAACCAACCCTCTATAGAGAGAGAGAGAGAGAGAGAGAGAGAGAGAGAGAGAGAGAGAGAGAGAGAGAGAGAGAGAGAGATCTAACAAAAAAAACGGGCTCCAATTCAGAAACGGGCCTGGCTCCGGGCTTACTAGGCTCATTGTGACGCCAATTTTATTGAGAGAAGTTCGAGTTCATAATTACATATAATTGATATTGTTTTTTTGGTAAGCTATTAGACGTGGAGCGCATTTTTACTGAGTTATTGTGATTCTTCGATAAGATGATTTCTCTGTATGATGAGCGTGGTCCTCTCCGTGTCTTCGACGTGCTTCATATGATGAGCATGGTCCGCCGTGGCGGAAGTGACTTACCAAACCTCTATTTATACAAGAGAGATAGAATTACCCCCGGAAGAAGATACACAGAGGAAGGGGTGTATATATAGAGTAGGAGAGAGGCATAGATACAGAGATTGCTAGCTAGCGAGAGAGAGAGAGAGAGAGAGAGAGAGTGAGAGAGAGGATGGAAAGAAGTCTTGGAGCACGAGGGATGGACTTCGCCGGAGGGAGGCTGGGGCATCTGCTGCACATCTTCGGTGCGGTGGGGGGTGTCCAGCCGGAGGCCTCCACCGTGGTGGCGGCGGCGGCGGCGGCGGCTCCGCATCCAACCGATCACGATTGGATCCTGCCCTTCTCAGTCGTCATCGTGCTTCTGGCTTGCATTCTCTCCTTCACCGTCCTCCGTTGTCGCCAGTGCAAGTCGGACCCCGCTGGTGGCGACGGGCTCGCAATGGACAATGAGTGCCTCATCGCCAGCGTCATGCTGGTCCTCCTTGTGGTCGCCTTTCTCGGCTCCTTCTACTACTACTACTGCTTCCAAGGCGGGTGTTTCAGTCGCGCCAGCCCCGTGTCGACGGCGGCGGCGCCACCAGCAGGAAGGAAGTTCATGATGACGATGACGACGTAAACCATCTGTGTGTACATTATTTCGCAGCATGGAGCGGCCTCTTCAAGCAGAAGTATACGCGATAGTTAATTAAATCAATAATCACAGGATATGAGGAAAATAATATGCTTAGAACCAGTCCTTTTCTTTACCTTAAGCCTTCTGAGGCTTCTTGGGATATGTAAACCTTGCATTTTGCCTTGTTGAGACTTGTAACTGGCACAGCTTCTACAAGTAAATTTTGTTTAGGTTACTATGTTGAACGCACATAATTGAGGGAGAGAGAAAGAGAGAGAGGGAGAGAGAGAGAGATGTGACAAGAAAAGCCGTTTTTTGGGGTCTAGACAGGGGCACATAGATCCGAGCTTATCTCAATGTTTTAGATGCTTACATTTTTTTTAGCTACAATCAAAATGACATAATAACTAACCGGTTTTATAATGATAGCTACGTGGTTGCAATTGATCTATTTCTTCTTCGTCCCGGATGGCATTGTCTCTCCTCCAATGAGAGCTTCAAACACTCACTGTGGAATGATCATGTCGTAAACGTGTTTTGACTGAAAGTCAAGTTATTGACAGAGAGCAAGAAGAAGGTTCGTATGAACATGCTGTAAAGAACCTTCTATTCCACCTACGAAGAACATGAGGAGAGAGAGAGCCCTGCGGAAGGAGGGGGCGGGGGGGGGGGGGGGCAAAGCGTTGAGTACGACTATCCTCGACGTAGATCAGATCTCCGCCGTCGAGGTTCCAAGTGATCTTCTTCTCTGAAAGGCGATCTCCAGCGGATTCTCGGCGGAGAAGCTCGTTTGTCCTCTCCTGCGATGGATCTGACGCCGACGGCGCCGGCACTGCCCGGTGGCCTTCTGATCCCTGGCCTCATGGAGGCGCAGTTAGCCCTCCTCTTCCCAGTTGGAATCATGCACCTCTTCTTCTGCTGAGGCTGCTCCGGGATGAAGACAGCGGTCGTGGAAGCCCTTTCCACAGCTCCATAATGATGACGGCAAGATCTCATATCGGTGATCTGAATTCGTAATATGGTACTAACGCAGATCGACCTAGCTTTTCACTCTACGATACAAATGCATTTAGCCCATGCAACTCCCCAAATGAATTAATAATACATATACTTTAGCAAATTATCAATGTTTTTAAAAAATTTGAGAAGCATCACTGTTGAAACTGGTTTTACCAGCTTAGTATCATTTAAAAAAGAAATGACGAAATTTTAAATTCATAAAAATAGTTGTGTAGTAGTCAACTACTAAGGGCTAGGTCAATTGGGACCTCTTATAATGTTAACGTATTTGTAAAAAAATGACAGTTCAATTAAAAAATTATTTTCTCAATTGAATTATTTTCTGTAAAAATTAGTAACGTTTGAAAATATTTGATATATTGCTCATTTGATGGGTCAACAATTGATGACTTTCTCAATGGTCACTATAAGCAACAAATCATCTTCAAGCTTTGCTATATGGCCACTTGTATTTTACTATTAATTACATTTACCTCATCTTCTATTCATGTGTTGCACATAAAATATCTACATGATTGAAAGACGCTGCAATCTATTAGGAGCATCAATGGGTAAGGAAAGGTTAGGAGAATGATAAACTTGGTTCAAGCATATATATTTCAACAAAAAACCAAAGTCAATGCCTAGTGAAAAGCTGAAAGAAAGGCATTGTCATCTTCCTAACTTTTCTGTCTCAAGTGGGCAACTATAGAGATTGAGGGGTGAGTTGGATTTTTTGCAAGGGATTAGTCTAACTAATTTTTATATGAACTTGTTTGGTGATAATTAATTTTTTAGTGAAAACATTGGAGTTTCATGTATAACAATTTTTTGTTCGTAGACTTTAACTTAGATAAGGAAATTTATTCTTTTGTGATTAAATACAGCTCATAATATGATTCTTACTTATCACATTATGCCCCTAAAAAGATTTCAAGAATGTACATTAATAGTATAATATTATAAATTTAATATCAATTTTAATTCTTCAAAATTCTACTTTGTTCCATCATGTTTATCAGCAAAATTAATTTCCAATAAATATATGCATGCCTATGTTTGTTACAGAAGGTTAGGTCTAAAGTTCTTAAAAATAATCAGATGTCAATTTCACAACATATGGAGTGTGAATAGCATAATATAGTGACTTTAGATAACATTGCAATACATCCAAACAAATAAGTCAATATATCATGAATATTGTGTGAATACAAATCAAATAATACATGAGTGTAGGTAATGTAATTTATTAGTGATTACTGCATTTGAATGGATATTGAAGGACACGCACATGACTAATGTAGTCTAGTAGAGGATTAAACCTTTTCAGTTAGAGGATTAAAAAACCAGTGGTTTGATTTTACATTGTGTGTAGTGGATAGAAACAAACTTTATTAATTGGTGTAGACCACTAATAATAGAATTGGAATAAATAATTTAATTGAAATAATTATATTAATTTTTCTAATTCATTATGGTCCACACACAAATTTTTGAGTGGTTCATCCTCAAACCTACCTCCAATTTCCTAGGAACCACACTCAGATTTTCAGTAATCTTCCTTGAAGATTACAAGTTGGAACTCATGGCACTTAGAACCAAATAGCTTATAGAACTATCAATCACTTCAATATTCACAAATTAGAAACTAGATTGTTTTTGAGGTAATTGCTCTACTATCGGCTTTATTATCTTGTGACATCACTCCACCAACTTTATTAGTTCTGGCGCACCAAAAAATAATCACTACATTGTCAAGACTCTATTGTCCTTTAAATTATCACTCACTCTAGTGCTTACAAAACTAGCAACCTAATTGCTTTTGAGGTAATCACTCCACCATTAACTTTACTATTTATGGCCTACCAAATAGTAGGTGATGTCACTCCACTAGCTTCACTACTTTAATGAACTAAGAAGCAATCACAACATTGTCAATCCCTCATCACCTTTACTCGCTCCAGCCCACCTAATAGCTGCCAAGTATTGATTGTATTTACTATCTTCAACCCATCAAACATTTATCACTGTACTATTAGGCCTCCAACTTTAATAGATCCAGCTAACCTAATAGTTCAAGGTACTAATGAACTTGAGTACTTATGTTCAAGCCCATGACATAACTAATTAGCATCTACTAAGCTAGAAGGATTACCATAATTCTATTGGCTTTGGGAGTGCTAATAATTTGGATCATGAAAAAATGGGTAGAAGAGTAAAAATCTAATTTTATATTACCAAATTATTTCTAGATACTATAATAATATTGGAAAAATATTTCTCTAACCCTTTGACATTATTTATATTTTTTGATAATAACAAGCATCAACTTGAGGAAAAGTCACTTAGGGGAAAAATGATAATTTCATAGTAATAAAATTATTTGAATATCTTCATAACCATTGAACATTGCTGATTGTTAAAAGTACATTAGTTGTGTAAACATTTTTCGTAGAGAAAAATAAGCATCAATAGAGGAAATATACTCAAGAATAAAATGGCAAGTTATCATAAAATTTCTAATTATCTCTAGAACACTTGAAATTGCTTTAGAGTAAAAAATGTTTACAGATGAAATATATAATTTATATTTTTTAGAGCTACTTTCAGGTGATATTGTGTTTTTTCATAATGGAATAGAGTGAACAGAAAGGAGAGAGAAAACATAATATTATTATACGCTTAAATTTTAATTATTTTTTATAGATCCTATAAATTGAACTATAGAAAAATATTCAACTATTTATATTTTATATTTCATTTTTTATCTATTCTTGGAAGTGAGTCTACCCAAGGGTAGACTTGGAGGAGATAGAAACAAAAATGAATATCACTACAAGAAAAGATGGGGAAAAGACAAAAAAAACTAATATCTAAAACTAGACATTACGAACTCACCCTAGACATTGGGAGAACTGGTCATTTTATACGATTTTTTTTAACTATTAGAAATAAAAAAATCAAGAGAAACTAGATAATGTATAATAAATGCCCTCCCCAAATCGACGGTTGCTTAAAAAAATATTCAAGGATAGAAAAACATTTTAATCTCATCATGTCTCTTCATTAAGAAAAACATTTGATCAAGAAAAAAATGCTCAAGTCAATGTCTCATAGTTTAGCATTTATGTCTCTTCTAGACAAGCTGCTTTCATAACTTTGGTCCAAAGAATTCACACTAGGTAAACTTTGCAATAAATTTGTGAGAGTGTTCACCCATTCTCAATTTTTAATTGAGTATTTATGATACTAGTGCTGATCAAAATTCATAAACTAAAAAATATTAGTTAGGTGTTAATTTGGTTGGACTCTTATAGATGTAAATCTAAAAGAGTGTTTTTAGAGAACATTTGAGTAGGTTGAAGCTGTGAAATCTGATGAAGGCAAGTTACATTATTAGTGTCTAGTCTTTGCACTACTTTGATTAAGTAGAATTTAATAAATAATTTGATATAAAGTAGAGTAGGACAAATTGATAAAACCACTACAAATGATGGGTTCTATAATTTGAATAAAAATAAGAAATCCTAGCTTTTTATGAAAAGTATTAATTCACAATCCCTCTTAGTTCCTCTCTTAGGCTCTTCAAAAAAGAGTCAACTAAACTTCCTAATAATCTTAATATCATCCTTTTATTATTTTGATACAATTAAAAGATGTGTTATTTAGTTGTTTAGCTGGCTAAAACCTCTCATTGATTGATTTGGCTGATCTAGATCTTGGAGAGGACCTTCCTCTTGAATGTCTTGAGTGACAATTACATTTCTTCTCTTGTTGGGCATTCAGTTCTTGCATGGTCTTGTGTGGACAGTTTGAAGGGTGTATGAGGATGGTGTGGCCCTCACACTCCTTTTCCTTAGATGTGGGGCAAAGCCCCTTTATTATACAATGAAATTTGAGACATACTCAAACCTTTATCTACCATCATCATGATGATCAAGTTAGTCATACAATCATTGATAAAGACATTCTGAATTTAAGATTAGAATCAACATTCAAACTATTGTATTATACATAGGGAAGTATGTTTTTTAATGGTAACCAATTAAACATTCTAATGGAACATTCTATTTATTCACTAAAGTTTTTATGATTAAAATATTAAATGTGTGATCACTAAAAATTAATATCATAATAAATATTCTAATTACAAAAAATTATTAGAGGATCCAAACATTTAATACAAAATTAGAGAAAACATTCTAAATTTGATATTAGAATCAATTAAAGTAGAAATTCTGAATTTTGATGATTAAAACTTTAATCCATATAGTGAATTAACTCTATAAATGTGATGATTGAAGTCTTTATCTTATGATGAATAAAATATTAAAAGAGCATTTAGTTGAGGTCAATTAAGCTTTTAAATCTTGTCATTAGAAAAGCCAAGATTATAAAAAATGATGCTAGGGATACATGGAGAATGATCTAGTCAGCACTTTAGTGTGTACACACCATTGTTCTATTTTTCCTCTTATAAGAGGGGATAACCATTTTCTCTTAGGGTGTGGTATATAAGACAATTCTCCTTCTGGAAGGGAAAACAAATGGTTGTGAGATAGTGAATGTAGGATCATTCTCCAAACCATGATAAATCCTCTTTTTCCACTCTATCCTCTTCATATCTCAAGTTTGCATTTCTATTGTGCTAGGAGATGCTCATCTCCTGATTGGTTTAACTATGTAAGTGATTATAGATACCTCACTATACTTTCCAACCATAAAATCTAATTGTATACAAAGTGTGTGTGCACATGTACATAGTATACAATTGTAGATCAATAATATAACATAATAGTAAAGATAGTTTGTGAGTGTATCTCACATGGTATAGGTGATAAATAATAATTTATCAATGAGCAACATATTATATAAAAAAAATTAGGGTATCATATCGCGAACACAAACACCATCATAAATCTATGACAATAAATCTATAAATGGCATTTATACAAAATATCTTGAACACAAATAATATTGTATGTGGATTATAATAACATAGTAGACAAATAATTCAAATATTGATGAAACCATTACACCACATCATCTCCCATCATCAAAGAAATGATTTATGCCATCAACACACCAATCACAAAGTAAGCAACTTTCATTCCATTCTTAGTTTTTAAGGGTGATTAAATGTTATCATAAAAAAAGAAGATAATAATTATATAATAGAAGAAAGACGCTTTTTTGGTATATTTTTGTCAGCATCAATTCTTTGTTAACCCAAAGTTGATGTGTTTGTAAGGAGAAATGTGTAGCCACATAGTGAATTTTTGAGAAAGATGTGGCAAGAAGAATCACAATGCAGCTTCTCTTGATCTGGCACCTTTGTAAGATCTGAATATGGCATAAAAATTGAAATGGCTGAATCTATACATCTCAGGTTCATACTTGTGAAGAACCAACTAACATGGCTTATTAGTTATGTCACTCATTAGAAACCCTAATGACATAGAAAAATTTGTCCACTTTGCAGCAAGTTAAACTAAGATTTGAGTCTTTCATAAATTTATTATTGGCATATGAAAGCTAGTTTTTATACATATATATGGTTATATTGATCCCCCAATAATGTAATTTTTTATTTTTCCCATTTATTAAAATTTAAATGAATATAGATTTTACAAAGAAATAGTCAATATGCCATTATCATGGGCTGACACTATACCGAAAGAAATTGTAAGCTTCCTGAGGAGTTCCCATTGGTCATCATTGAGCTTCAATTAGCTGCACGAAGCCAAGGAAACTATCTAAGAAAAGAAATAGATCAAGAGATTCGTCTCTAGGCTTTCAAGATAGACTTCATTTAGCCTCATGCTAAAGCATGCTTAAATTGAACGTAATTATATCTCCATACGTGATTTGTAAAGTAGAACTTGCGTGTCTTAGTTATAAAGTATCAACTATAGCTTTAGCTATCTACCGGGTAGCGATTAGGAGGTTAGGTTCACCTACTGCTTCTCTCTCTCTCTATCTTTCTCTCTCTCTTCTCTCTCTTCTCTCTCTTTTCTCTCTCTCTTCTTTCTCTCTCTCCTCTCTCTCTTCTCTCTATCTCTCTATCTCTCTCTCTCTCTCTCTCTATCTCTCTCTCTCCCTTCTCTCTTCTCTCTCTCTCTCTTCTTTCTCTCTCTCCTCTCTCTTCTCTCTATCTCTCTAACGTTGTATCTGGGTTGGGCCATTCCCCTCACCCAGGAACACGAACTACTAACTGGTCTGCCTGTCTGTCTGTCAGTCTGTCTCTCTCCTCTGTTCCCTTTGGTCCGCCAGGTGCTCGGGACAGGGGGACAGACACAGCTGGGCAGAGGGAAGGAAAAGCGGACGGGGAGTCGGTGAAAAGGAATGAGAAACAGGAAAATGTGAATGCTTTTGTCGTCTCTTGAAAGAGAGAGAGAGAGAGACGTTGGGTTAAAGTCGTATTCTTTGCCGCCTTCCTCCGAGCTCATTGGAGAGTTTAATTTAATACAGATATCCACAAATTATGCAAATTTTAAATTAACCTAAAATAAAATTATTTTCGCAAATACTCAAAATCGGTCGCTATCCATGAATTTTATTTATTTACATGTGGATATATCCACTACCCCCGCCTCTCATACTATATTAGCAATTTAAAATCGTTGAAATTTAATAATTTCAAAGTATCAGAATTACCCTGCAAGCGTTATCATTTTTTCAGGTGTAAATCCAAATTTCGTCACCTATGTAGGAGTGTCGGCACCATAGCATTGACCGAAGTGACAAGAAAACGGAGGTGGTACAGGCTGTTGGTCAAAGAGTCTTAAAGACTACATTCACTATTATTCATTTTAAAAGGTTAAATTGTCATTATACGGTTTAGTTAGGACCTAAGATTAAAAGCGTCTGAGTAACTCGAAAATCTGTCGTCATCGTCTCCGGTTTTTCTCCAACGTCACTTCCTGCTCTCCTTCTCTTCTTCCTCGGTTCTTCATTCGATCTCATGGGGGGCCGCTGACTCCATAGCCGGGTCCTGAGGACGCCTCCCTTTCTGTGAGATGACGGGGACCAGGGCTCGCCTTCCTCGAGCTTCTCTCGTTGGGGATGTGCGATTCCTCCTCTCCGGCGGCGGCGCTCCCTAGCGGGGGAGGGAGAGGAGGAAGAAGAGGGTGGGGGTGGGGGTCCCTCACTTAGCTTTCAGTGCCGGGTGCCTCTCGATTAGGGTTTTCTATCTTCCCCTTCCTCCCCCTTCAAGTTTTTCTAGGGTTCTGGGGTATCTGCGATGGGTAATGTTAGCAGCGTGAGAGGGGGCGGCGATGGCGGGCTCTCTGGTGAGGAAGAGGCGGTGGAGTTCCAGGAGCCGATGGGCCAGAGCCCTCCGCCGAGCCCTGGAGGGTCGGTGCTCTCTCCCTTGCTCTTCGCTCCTCAGGTTCTTACTTCCTCCTATCTCAGCTTCTTCTTCTTCTTCTTCTTCTCCATCTAGCTTGGGTGCTCTGGCCGTGAGCTACGCTTGAACTTTGATCTCTGCTGGTCTGTCCATCTTTTTCTTTTCTTTTTTTATGATAAAGGGTTCTTTTAAGCTCTTGCTTTCTTCTGTTTTGTGGGTAATTTCTGGTTTAATTGAGAATGCTCGATTATCCCGCTTACCCAAGTGCAGGGTGTTTTCATTTGGGCGAAATCTAGATCTTCATGTGAAGCAATTCTTAGCTGTTTTGGGGACACTTTTTAACAATAGTGGTGTCTAAAATATTTGAGAAATAGGTTTATTTTTATTTTCCTGTGTCATTTGATGCCGGCATTCAATTTTGAGCTATAAGAAAATGTATAATTAATTTTTTTGGGTGAGTGAAGAAAGTGATTTCTTTAATGAAATTTGAAAGTTGTTTATGAAAGCCTTTCCTTAACTTTTCTGGAAAAAAAATGTAAATACTTTTTGTATTTATATAAGTATAATGTTAAATTTCTATTTTCATTGTCTGATGCAACCTCAGGCTTAGATTCAATCCTAACATGCGCTGTTTCGATTGCATATTTTATTCCCAATAATTATTTCTGTGGCGTGAATAAGAACTCTGCAGTTATTTCAAAGACGTTCGAATAAATAATTTATTTTTTTGAATTCTCTATTTTGAATAAGACACTATTGAATGATTTTTTTTTCTTTACTAATACCTGAATGCCGTTCATTTCCTGAAGACTTTGAAGTTATTGCATTCTGAAAGAAGAATTCCTTTGTTTCTCTTCTTGTGTTTGAATTTTTGTATCTTGCTATCTGAAATACTTCCAAAAGTAGGGTGCAATTGTTGTATGCTTAGAAAATAAAAACTGGATAGTGAACTTTTTTATGAATGTCATGCCAAATACTTTGCCGAGGCATGTTGAAAATTGCAAGAACATAGTCAGAACTGAGATGGTGATCAGATGTCATATTTCCTTTTAGGATCCAGCAATGCTACTTGATACAGAGTAAATTTGTATTAAATCCATCCTTTTTTAAAAAAAAAAAGACGTTTCCGACGGATTTAAGGTTGGTGATTGGGTCAATTTGGATTGTGATTATGTTACCCTGCCAAATTTGAGGATCCTATAAGTAAGAATGTTACCATAATTGGCATGGGTCAATCCCAACCTCTTCAATTGTAGAGTCTTTGGCTCTATCTTGGGGAGAAAATATTTGATTGGTTAATGGTTGAGAGATAAAGAGGGGATTCTTATCATTATCCTACTTTATTTGAACCATAAATCGACCGCCTCCTTTTGTTTGACTCTTCTTCATAGGCTGACGTTCTGAGTCCATTGAATACAATTTATCAGGTGCCCATGGTGCCATTGCCAAGATACGGTGAGATCCAGCCCCCCAATCAGGAGCCCATGCATTGGTCAACTGAGCAAGAAGATATGCTTAGTGGTCAAGCTATCCCTACAATAATCAGTTGGAGCTCTGGTGGCTATGAAGTGGCTGTGGAAGGTTCTTGGGACGATTGGCAGACTCGGTAAGGAGGAGGAGGAGGAGGAGGAGGAGGAGTTGCTGTTGCATACTACTATTATTGCCATTGTTCTTATTATTATCACTGCCATTTGTATGCATTCGTTTACCATTTATGGCGAAGCCCGCCATTAATTGCAGGGAGCCCTTGCAAAGATCAGACAAAGACTTCACTATCATGAAGGTTCTTCCTTCTGGTGTATACCACTACAAGTTCATTGTTGATGGAGAACGGAGGTGCTCCCCAGAGGTGCCATGGGTGCGTGATGAAATGGGGAATGAATGCAACGTATTGGATCTTCTGGTAAGTGATTTTTTCTGTTCTTAGAGGGACACATCTAGTTTTTTCTCTGTTTATTTTTCAATTTCCACTGAAATTATTCTATATGAGCTTTGGAGATACGATGCTGAGTGACTTTAAGATAAGCAATGGAGACTGAAAAGGTAGGGGGAAGCGGCAAACTATCTAGAAAGAAGAGCAGTATCGGGGTAAAAATATTTTAGCTAATCAGTTCGTGGAGTAGTTTCCATTTATCACCCAAGTGTTATAAAGCCCTACCCTGCTGAATATCATCTGATCTCTCTAACAATGATGATGGTGGTGGTGATGATGATGAAATGGGTGAATCAAAAAGTTATATTGCATTGTATTGTTTCTCTTTCATGCCTGATCAATGATAAGCCTTTTGGTTTCACTAGTTTTCTTTTTCCACAGCTTTTCTGCGAAATGGCTCCTTTTTTTCCTTCGTTCATCTTCTCTAGGAACCATATATTGTTGGCCATATTCTGCTAAAAGATCGGTTCTTTGACAATGATTCAGTGTTGATTCAAATAACTTGAAATCTTTTTGTGCCATATGCCTTAGTTAATCATTCTCTTTTTCAATAGACCAAGGGAAAAGGAAGTTCTAGGGTTTCGAACCTGTGAAGATTTTGAAATGTCACATCTTTAAGATAAGTTGGGAGCTGTTATCAATGAACTTACTAATTATTATATCTTGTTTGTCAGTACTTCTTGCTTCCTGATAATTTTGTCACGTTGCTCGAGCTTCAGTGTTAACCATTTCTGTTTCAGATCACGGCATGCTTAGTAGTTCTCCACATGGTTTTCACTATTTCTGGTTTTTTTTGTCTTGGTTGATTGTTTGAGGTGGGTGAATCGAAAAAGTTTCTCATTAGTCCAAGGACAAACTCTTCCCTAGATGATTAGCTGGTCTATATGGGAGCACAGTGGCATTTATTTTATTTTATTTTATTAGGAAAAAAGCCTTGGACACTAATTTTTGGCATGCTTTTGATTTTCGTATGGAAATAGTTTATTTATTTTTTTGCCACTTGTGGAGACCCCAGCAGCTATGGTGAGTGGTAGTAGACCGTCTAATGATGGATTATGATTATGAGATCGCTTGAATGTTCCATGGTTGTTGTGATGGCAGTAAAGGTTCATTAGCTCTGGGGCAGCCTGCTTATACCATAATTGAGACAACGCGAAGTGATCCGTTTTTCAAGTCCTAAACAGAGGCCAAATCGTCCAGATCAGCAGAGTTCTGGGGTTGAATCGAGGTGAAATTGGCTGATTATGGAGAGGGCTGCAGATTTCGTTGCCGATCTGACCCCATTTTATCCAGCTTGTCTGGCTTCTGACTGGGGGTAGAAGAAGAAGAAGAAGAAGAAGAAGAAGAAGAAGAAGAAGAAGAAGAAGATAGGAGTGGGTGGAGGAAGAATAGTTTCTCACCAGAGGAAGGCAGTGTGAAGAGGAGAATAGGGGGAGTAGTCAGACTATGTCCCTTGGACAGCTCCAAAATTGACCCACCTCAAATTAGCCTAGAAGTTGCTTGGACTATGCTTAAGCCCCTCACCATTGATTCTATAAATCTACCTTCGTATGGTATATATTGTGTCCTCTGGTGCCTCCCCCCTCTCTCTCTTCTGGTGTTCTTGGTTTCCTCTTTTGTTTCAGTTTTTCAATGCTGAAGTCAATGTCTCACCTGTATATCTTCCAAGCAGATCAAGATCCCTGAGCCCATTATGATGCATCTCGTTCTGTCATTTATTATGTTATGCTTGGGAGCTTACATTGATGGGAGAGTGATAAATTCTTGGTTTCTATGGTATAATCTGCGAATTATCATGGCTAATTAAGGGTTTTCGTCAATATTTGAGCATGGTATCTAATTGAGAGTATCTCCCAGGCCTTAAGATTGCGATTGCACTTCAGATAAGGAACAGAAAAATAAAAATAAAATGAAGAAAAAACCTCCTGGTGCTGGTGGATCCCCGGCGGCCTTGATTTTGTTGAATGGGCCTGTATAAGAACAAAAATTCAGAAGAATCTGATTCCATGCATAATTTTCCGTCATTATCCCCTCAAAATCGCCAGATATTAATCTTTTTCTATATATACGTGTATATATTTGGGACTCATCGCATGGTCCCTTTCGTGAGTCTTTGAAATAACACTCACCTTGGTGATCTGCTGGCAGGAGGCCGTTCCGGAGCACATCGAGAACGTTGCCACCTTCGAGCCGCCACTGTCGCCGGAGTCGAGCTACAACAGCTGGCCGCTAGGCTCTGAGGATTTCTCCAAGGATCCCCCAGCAGTGCCTCCTCATCTCCTCATGACGCTCCTCAACAGCCCGTCGTTCGTCGACAGCTCTTCCTCCAGCCGGCCCCAGCGGGTGGTCCTGAACCACCTGTACATCCAAAAAGGCAAGGGCGACCAGCCCCTGGTAGCACTGGGAGTGACCCACAGGTTCCTCTCCAAGTACGTTACCGTGGTCCTCTACAAACCTCTGGGGCCTTGAAACCTTCGCTAAATAGCTCGTCTAGCTCTTTGGAGAGGGAGGGCCTGTACAGAGAAACGGGAGGGGGAGGGGATGAAAGAAGCCCCGGGAGGAAGAAGACCGGTTCACCAGGAGGAAGTGACGTACCTGATCGTGTTGAGATGCTTGTGTCATCATCATACGTTTCGATCTTCTTGGGCTCAAGAAATTGATGGGGTTCTCCAAGATTTTATTGGATTGTGGCTTCTTTGACTTTCAGATCTCCAGCTGAATTCTTGGGAGGTTTCAGACTAAGGGATGTGAATGTTAGACCCAAATTAACGAGTAGAACATTGGAAATATGGAAATATTAAAATTACATGAGATATGAGTGGAGTTACCCGTATTTTGTATTCATATAATAGAGAAGTATGATATATTGTATGTAGCTTAGTTGCGGACAGTGTTTATCTAATAAACATTGACGAGTTACACACGGGAATTAATATTTAATTAATGTAGGAATGATTTAATTAAGGAGGTTGATCGAATTCTTTATTGACCTCTCAAGAGTATGATTAACAAGGATTCTTTGTAGACATTTCAAGAGCGAGCCGGTCAACGCTTCGTTGGATCCTCCAGTCTTGCAAGCTGAGACGGTTTTCGTTCTAAGTACTGGACAGGCCATATCTCCTCCTCTTCTCTCTCTCTGTCTCTCTCTGTCTCTCTCTCTCTCTCTCTCTCTCTCTCGTCGAGGCCGTCAACGGCCCGGCAGGGTGTTAGACTGGCGTGTTATCGAGCCCCAAGTCAACTTGGTCAACACTAAATTAATGGGTTACGACTGGCGTGTTCACACTACTGCGTTGACTCGGCCGCACCGACCGCCTCCAACAACTAACTCTCTTGGACCACAAGGCTTCTAGGTGTCTCACACTTTTGACCACTGAGATAAAAAACTTGCGAAAATGCTCAAAATTGGGTTTTTTCAAGCATCCTTTCAGGTCGCGTAGCAAAAATCATAGGGGTATGTTCACAATTCAGTAATTTCATGATTGGCATCTATTGGAAAAATCGCTCACCGTGGGCTGGATAACGGAAGTTGACTATTTCTTCTACAGAGGGTCTGACCAGAGCTCATCACAACTTAATCTTCCCAGTAAGCCCTCCGGTGCACTGGACAGAGGAGATGCCCCCTTTAAGAATTGACTTTGACAACACTTAACAATGTCCCTTTTGCCCCTGTGAATCAGGCCACAGATACACTATCAAGACCGAGAAGCAAACGATGGGTTGATCCCATCGTGTTTGAACTATATTTCATGTCAGCCCCTGGTATAGAAACTAATCTGATCTGAACTTTGATGGGTCCGACTTAAAAGCCCTAAAATGTAGCGAAATAGGCTCAAAAGCTCGCCACATTCAGTCTTTTTCTGAATTTTTCTCTGGGTTTGACTTTTTCCAACTTGTCAATGAAAACTTAATCTAGATACCTGTTTTCACGAGGTCTAGACTTTTGCCTAAGTTTTTAAGTTATTTCTTTTATGGTTTCATTGCCTCTGAATGTCAACGCCTGATTCCCGGGCTTCTTCAGACCAGCCGGAAGCTTGATCAACACAGTCAGTAGGCACTTTTTTAGTCTTACAAATTGTTTGGGTGTGGGTTTAGTGATGGCAAGAATGTAAAAAGACATCATAAGGACGGAAGGTAGGCCTCGCGCCCGTTTCAGACGTTGAGGCCAACGGGTATAAAACGAGGGGTTCCCCTCCCCTTGGGGAGACCAAGCGATCTCCTCAGGGAAGGATGGATCCCATTGATCGGCAGAAGGCCCAGGCCATGGCGGAGTTCAAGCGAGCCCAGCCCTCGGCCAGGTCCCGCAGGGTCCTCCTCTCAATCTCTCTCATTTCGGTCTCCCTGCTGGTCGCCGTGGCTCAGTGGGCTCTGTCTCTGCACCCGGAGAGCTTCGACATGGCCCCCTTCCTCGCCTGGCTCCCCGAGGTCCCCTCCGTCGACACGAAGACTGTGTTCCTCATCTGCAACGCTATTCTCATCATCGTCATCAGGGACTCAGGTTTGATGGGGTACCTGACGGGCGAGGATCCCCGGGACGGTCTCTCGGAGAAGAGGGACGTCCCCCCCCGGCCGGAGATCGAAGCGACCCCTCCAAGAGGCGTCAACCCAGGAGCAGACGAGGAAGAAGAAAATGATGATGAGGAGGAGAAGGAGGAGGAAGAACCACGGCAACAAGTGAGGGATGATACCGACGAATGGAATAGAAGATTCGAGGAATTCATCGATAAGGTGAAGAATGATATGTACCTTGAGACGCCGAGGATGATCTCTCAAGGAATTAGGAGATGAATCCGTCCTGTAAATAGATGTTTCTCTTCCCTTCGCCTGTCGTCCCTGCTTAGCCATCGAAGAGGATCTTTAGAATCAATCAGTAGAAAAGTTAAGCAGCCATGGATGAAGCGCTAGGAACCACAGTAAATAATGCGGTAAATATCATCAGCCACTGCCCGTGATCGACGACTGTTCTCCCACTCCTCTCGTGGGGACAAGCGTGGAAACCGGGCGGGGTGGGGGGTGTCCGGTCACCTCCACTGGAAGCTCTTCGTCGTATTCGACCCCTAAAATCCCAGGACGGTCCCCAAGATGTCGATGTCCATTCTCATGTCCAGCTGGCAGCAGAGGGTCGACGATCGCTGGTTGTGACCGGTTGCAACTTGTTGACTCGCCTCCGTCTTGGCGTCGAGCTGGTCAATGGAGCTCGACCTGCCCAGAAGAACAGGTGATGGCCCAGAAAGGGACGTTCCAACTGCACCTTATCTCCGCCATCGGAAGCCCTTGCCGTTTGACTACCAAGGATGTGGATCTCTGCCGTCGGACTCGTTACCAAGAGAGTGCACCAAATAAGGGCTCAGCTTTGGGCGCGGGTGATTACACCGTCCCCTTGCCGCTCTCCGCCGGGCGAGCACATGCTGCCCCCCTTTACTCGGTCAATGGCCTGTTGACTTGAGGTCGTCGGCGGAGATCGAACGCGGATATCTCATTAAGACTCTCCCGTCATCTTCCACCTATCTCTGCGGTCTTCGTGGACCCCTAGGCCTACAAAACCACTGCGGTCGCCGTCGGGTTGCGCCCATGTCTATCTTTCCTTCTGGACAGGAGGGGAGAGTGCGATGGAGGAACACAGGGCTCCCGAGGTGGCCAGGTCCTTGAGAGGAGCCATCATTGTCCTCCTCATCGTCACTGCCTTGGCCACTGTTTTCCTCTTCTTGGACGACAAGCACAGCACTCTCCACCGACTGGTGGAGTTGCCCCTGCCGGCATCGGTGCCTGGCTTCCCATTCTGCTTTGGCGATAGGATGTCCATCTTCCTCTTCTGCAACGTCCTTCTCGTCCTCGTCTCCAGGAACCTATCACTGGTGGCGCCGCACGGTCCCGGCGATGAAGCGGGGATAGCAGGGAAATCGTCGAGCGGCTACCAGGTCGTGGACAGAGAAGTCGGATCGGGTGGCGGTGAGAAGCAAGAATTCGAGAAGCGAGAGCTGGAGGAAATGTCAGAGGAGGAAAAGCTGGAGGAAGTGCCAGTGGAAGCAGAACAGGATGAAGTGACAATGGAGGAAGAACGAGAGGAAGTTACAGAGGAAGACGAACAGGAGAAAGTGCTACAGGAAGAAGAGCAGCAACAGGAGGAGAGAGAAGAAGGAGATAAAGTTGAAGGGACGAACGTCGACGAACTCAACAGGAGATTCGAAGATTTCATAGAGAAGGTGAAAACAGGCATGAGAATGGAGGCTCTACATCTCGCGCGGATCTGAGTTCACCACAACAAGCAGAGAGGGAAGACTGCAGCCCACGCCCCCACTGTGCCTCATTGAATTCGAGGACTGGGGATTCTGTAAATTACTGGTGTTCTGCATGCTAATTAATTATCAGATCCTAGAGTTCTACCAGAAGAACATGACCGATGCCATGAGGAAAATTTTGCTCTAGTAATGTTAATACTTTATGATCATGTCCTTCGTTTGTTCTTCTGATGTTGGAGCATTATTCGTAGTACCCCTTAGATTCAAGTACATAGAATAAAATGCATCCAAGAAATCATTATTTTTATTTAATCAGCCTTTCAAAATAAACAAACCAGAAATGCAGAATATTGGAAAAAAGATCAAATATTACGCGATCAAATGCACAAGTGACTATTCCGTCTTCTTCTTTCTAATCACATCAGCACTGATAAAAAAAAATCACAAAATTTGGTTCCACATATCTCAGAATCATGAACAGAATGCAGAGATTCGACGAACTAGATGAAATAACGGAATTTTTTTTATGAAATGGAATGCACGGTTCTCCGCCCTCCCTCCCGCTCATAAGTGTCCGATCCTCCATGGCCGGGGATCTAATCCAGAAACTCGGTAAATAAATCGATTCAAGACCTCGATGCCAAGGGAAGTAACAGCAGAGATAGCGACTAGATCGTGCAACTCACAGATTCCGACGCTGCAGGCGGGGAGTTTGAACGCAGAGAGAGAAAGCTCCATCTCAGTCTCCTTCCTCCGGGGCGTTGGATCCAAGCGGGAACCATCGAACCGTCTTATATCGCCCAGGATTTAAATGTTTTAAGAGCACTACTTGTTATTACTAAACAACCCCTTCTTGTTAATCATTACTAGTGTGTAATTATGAATAGAAAGGGGTATACATGTCATTTACTAGTTCCCGCCAATTGTACGAACTCCTGTCCTTCTAAAGCCTGCTGTATAGCTTTCATTGGCCAACCGAGAAGCGCAGTCCACAGAAAGAGAGAGAGAGAGGAGAGAGAGGCGTCGGTGACGATGGTCTCAGGTTCATTGGGGCTTGGCATCGTCCGGTGATGTCTCCGATCGCGGCTGATCTCCTGTTGCTGCTGTCCGATCCCTAAACTCTTCGCCCACTCCCTGTGTTTTCCTGTTCTCATCGGCCCGGATGGCCGGCGACGTAATCCATGAGCCCCTCTCCGGTCTGTTCCCTCAGGACCACTGCCGGGGGGGGGGAAATGAGGCGGAGGACCAGAACGGCGGCGAGGAAGGCAGACGTGGAGAGCAGGAGAGGCCGGAAGAAGGAGACGACGGTGAGGAAGCTTGGACCCAGCCGGAGGATGTAGAACACGACCACGCCGCAGGCGGCCGCTGATATTACGTGAAATCGGTGCTCCCGTAACTTCTCCTTGAGTTTCTCTACGTTTGCCATAGATCTGTCTCGCCCTAGCTCTGGAGATGGATTTGACATTCCATGGGGTTTTTATCACCTGAGCATGAAGATAAACAGACGAGGAGAGATAGAGGAGCGGGGGTTAGCTTGGCGAGCGGAGATTCCGTGATGAAGAAACGCTCGGAAAGGTACATTTCTTCGGGCGATGCCACCGACCGCCACCGCCCCAGCCCAGCTCAGTCTGATGATCGGATTCCCAAAACAACACCACCTCATGGAAATGACAGAACTACCGTCCTCTGCCTCCAAACGCCGTTTTTATATTTTAATGGCGAAGGTTGCCGGTGACGAGTATGGAATCTTCTCTTCTCTGATGAAGACGGCGTCAAGGCGGAAACGAAAACTTCACAAGTTGGCAAAGGATTTGTTCATTGTGCTCTCGATTTTTTCATGTGCGGGGATGTTGAATACTTCGCCTGCCTGCGCCAGCCGGGATCGGTCGGTAGCTTGAGCCGGAGGACGACGGCCCTCCGCCGACATTTCCACTCCCCCTTCCGATAATATAGAAGGCGAGGAAACCTGGGGGGTTTCACCGATCTTCGCCGGGGGAAAGGAATGCCGTCCTCCGGCTGCTCATAGCCGAATCAAAAGAGATTCTAGGCGAAGCAGGTAAGTATCCTGTCCCTTTCTCCTCGATCTTCGTCGCGGCGTTCATTTTTAGCCGACCGTATTTCAACGATGCATAGGAATATGATCATGAATTCTGTAAGATGGCGTATGGAATCTGGCCGTCGGCAATAAACTTAAGATGACGACCGCTGGCTTTCATTGTCTATTATTTTATATAATATTCTACCTCAAACATCACACACAGACGATCAAACTGGCGACGGAGGCAACCATCATCAGAGAGGCTTGCGCCTTCCCATCAGGGGGACTGGGGAGTGAATGGCGGATGGAAGAGGAAGGCGTTGCAGTGAGTTCCGGCTTTGTTTCACATGGTCAGGCAGCCAGAAGGTTCCTCATCGCAGATGAATTCGATTTTGCAGCCGCTATTGCAGGGGCGGCCGTAGTCGGCGGCGGATGACCCGCAGCCCCTGCCGCAGCCGCAGAAGCAGGGCCGGTGCCCGCCGTCGCGGTGGCACCCGCAGCCGCTTTTGTCTTGCCCGGTATAGTACGGGCAGCAGCAGCAGACCGGCCACACCGGAGGATAGGCCACCGGGATGCAGAAGAACGGCGCCTCCGGAGGGGGCGGTGGCGGTGGTGGTTCTTCCGGAACTGGTGGGGGGCAAGTAGGTGGCGGCGGCGGTTTTTCTGGAGGTGCTGGGGGGCAAGTAGGTGGCGGCGGCGGTTTTTCTGGAGGTGCTGGGGGGCAAGTAGGTGGCGGCGGCGGTTTTTCTGGAGGTGCTGGGGGGCAAGTAGGTGGCGGCGGCGGTTTTTCTGGAGGTGCTGGGGGGCAAGGAGGTGGGTTCGGGGTGGGTTCGAGGTCAGGAGGCTTGTCACAGTTGCAGCTGCAGAGGGCGGGGATGTCGATCTCCTTGATGATCTTTCTGGCCTTGCGGCGGAGCTTCTTCGCAAGCCTGGGGGGGCAGAAAGGCCCGGTGAGGGTAACCTTGTTGTTCTTCTCGTCCCACACTATCGACTGGATCTTCCATTTCACTGCGTTGATGAAGGAAGAAGAAGGAAAATCATCAGACCCCGATCGGAATCATTCCCAACCGACGGCGGCCGCCGCCTCCATTCCTCTCTCTCTCTCTCTCTCTCTCTCTCTACCTTCATATTTTTTGGTCAAGACCTTCTTGATCTTCTCGTGGCAGTGGGTGCAAGCCAGATCCACCGTCAGAATCACAGAGAAGTTCTGCAGAAGGCGAAATGAACGCAAGAAGAAGAAGAAGAAGAGAAAAAATGGCAAGAGAATCCTTCCGATCTCCATGATACTAGCAATCTGTTGTATGTCCGCGTACCTCGTGGCTCATCGCTGAACCTTCTCCCGTGGGAGGTCCCCGCCGGTCTGAAACTCCCAGATAGAGAGAGAGAAAAAAAGAGGGGGGGGCTCTGAGAAGCCAGAGAATTGTTCTGATCGGCTTCTGACTCCACTGGATGAAATCTCATGCACCCACGAGGTGGGCGGGCAACGTGGGGGAGCGGTGGACGGCGACCTCGCAACCGACGCCCAACTAGTGGCACGTGCCACCTGGGTCTTTCTGGTCTCCTTCGCGCGTGTGGATACTGCGAATCGGCCGACTCGCCCGGGAGAGATGAGTAGGCTGTCGGTTAACTAGTCAGCTCAGTCGAACTGGGAGGGGAGGGGGAGAGGGATGCCGTGCACGTGTCGAGATCAGCAGCGAGGAGATGACAAGATGAATGAGAGTTCAAAGATTCCCCATTCGAGCCACAGGAAATGCTGACAAATAGTATTGCTCCACGTGTCGGATGATCATGGATCACAGCTCGTGTTATCAATGATGCTTGTTGCTGTACGGAAAGGAGTATATAAACGGCTGTGCGGCACTACAGTTTAGAAAGAGAGACAGATAGAGAGAGAGAGAGAGAGAGAGAGAATGTGAAACGTGTAAAGTCTGAGTGGGTACCACAGCCTGCGGGTAGGCTGTCAACGGCATAAAAGGCGGGCGGGATGAGGAATTCGTTTGTGGGTGGGTTGGGGGACCTGACTTTATGCAACTATCCGTTCGGCCCGATAAGACCGCGGTAGCCAATGAAGCCCATTAAGGGTATTTATGAAGCCCAGGCCCGCAAGCTGGCCCCAGTGGGCCCCGGCCAGTCTTCCGAAATACACTTCTCAGAAGTGTAATTCATTATGTACCCCTATCGTGGAGAGTAGGGGTACTAAGTTCAAAATACCACCATCGATTGGGGAAGCCCTGTCCATCGGGTAAAATCTTTATGGCTATGATTTTTGGTTGATCTCCAACATACCATGATAAGCTCAGACTGGAATTTCTCGATTTCTTCTTCTTCTTCTTCTTCTAAGCCCAGCCTAATTATGAAAAAATTGAGACGAATTTTTGGAATGTGGTAATAATTAGCAAACATCTTGCTGCATTTAGAGAAACCCACATTAAATTATGTCGAAATAGGACCTGGATTTAATGGTATTGGTAAGCAAGATAAGCCCAGCTTGCCCCATGCCTTATACGACTGAGGGCCGGGTAGCAAGTAGGTTCGGCTCAAAAGTTCAAAGGCCACGTTTCTCTCTCTCTAGTTAGGATTGGGCTGGGCTGGGCCTGTGTCAAAAAATTTGGGCTTGCCCCTCTGATTGATAAAGCATTTTAGATGAAGCGTCCCAGCCCAAAGAAGCCCAATTGTTCTTCCTTCTGGACCCAAGGCAGATGGGTTGACTCAGGCTAATCAATCTCTTATAGATGGATAAGTCACTATTCTCTGTTGGAGAGAGAGATATATAGAGAGAGAGATTACCTTGGAAGGAGGCTTGCGACGTACTACTTTTTTAGGACATGGGGTCTCCCTAACTCAATCTCAACTAATCAAGCTCAAAATCATTGCCTTGAGAGATGGCTAGGTCCTTAAGAGTAACCATCATTGTCTTGCTCTCAATCACTAACTTGGCTACTGTTATCCCCTTATTGGACAACAAGCACAACACCCTCTTTCAAGAAGAAGTAGCTTTGGTGATAGGATGTTTATCTTCATCTACTGCAACATCCTTCTTATCCTCATTAATGGGGACCTATCACTGGTGATGTTGTGTGGTCTCAATGATGTATTGAGGACAGTAGAGAAATCGTTGAGTGGTCACCAAGTCATGAATAGAGAATTTGGATTGGGTGGCAATGGGAAGCAAGAATTCGTGAAGTGAGAGCTGGAGGAAATGTCAAATGAGGAAAAGCCATAGGAAGTGATTGTGAGAGAAGAATAGGATGAAGTGATAGTGGAGGAAGAGCAGGTGGAAATGTGATTTGATCCTTGCATCCCCTAATCACTTCTAGAAAGGACAATGAGCAACTTGCCTCAACAACGACATGCCCATCAACCAGACTACGAAAGTTTCTAATTAAAGGGGATAGAGAATTTTAGGGCATTGACTATGAGAATGTCCTATTAATAAGTGTTATATTAAAGGGGAGAGGGGGGAGGGAAGGAAAATAATAAAGGTGGTTCTTGTTGAGGACAAGTGGAGATCAGGCCTCTTGAAATCGTCACCATTTTCAAAGGGTTTTATCAATGATATAGATATTTTCTTTACATCCATTTTTGTGTTCTCACATTAATTTCTAAGACTTCTTCTTTAAACTCAGTGGGTCTTATCGAATTATTATCAAAGCCTCATGATGCTCATATCAAGTGATAATGTTGAACAATTGGAAAATCAATTTGACAAGCTCCATCAAAATCTATCTTGTATCAAATGAAATTTGACTATCCTCTTGGAGTGGGTAAGACCACAACTAGAGTTTTTCATACTGGAGTGGGAAAAAACTTATCTTCGATTGTCACATGTTCCTCCCAACAGGCCACTAATCAACAAAGATGAAGAGGAGTCAAGTTAAAATTCATCAAACCCTTTTCTTGGTCAAGAGGGAGGACTGCTCTTATTGAATTGGCCACACCACAATGACTTAACCAAAAGGGGATCACAATAGTTACAACTTCCAACCCAAATTTGTTTGAACTATGGTATGGTTTTCATAAACTCAAAATACTTTTTTTTAATAATAAAAATCTAAAGGGATGAGTTTTTTAGGCTAATTTTTTTTGTATGTTCATTGGCTAACTAGTCTTCAGAAACTAATAGTGTGTTAATAAGACTTGAAAGCAAGCCCTCACCTAGTTCAAATGGCTAGTTGAGAGAAAAACTTTTAGAAATTATGAGTACCTTCACCATCAGTCATTAGAGTATTTTAACAAAAATCAGTTGGAGTCCCTTTACCAACATTTTTTAGAAATTAAATACTATAACTTTGTGGCAATATATTTTAAAAAGAATTAGTATTTGTGGTAATAAGAAGTTTTTCTAAATTAATCCTCAAAAACACATTCCTTAAGAGATTAAAACAAGATGTCCAAGCCGAAGGTTATCTCTTGGAATTTTTAAGACTGAAGGTAATGATACATTTTGTGCAAAAGGTGGAAGCCAAGAATTTTGTACTCATCTTTGAAGGTAAAAGAAGAACACAAAATATCAAAATTATTAGGTTTGATCCAACAAACTAAGATTATCTTATCAAGCATCAAAAAGGTTTTGAGTTTTTTCCTAGTTGATGAAGAGAAACTAAGGGGACCAAGACCATAGTGCCAATATGATTCATGAAGGTTAAGTTCTAGGAAAAATCAAATGACTAACTCTAAAACCCTAAAAAATCTAAGTCATGTACTCAAAGTAAGCACTTCTCATGTAATGAGAAATACACTTTGCGACATGGGTGTTAGCACAATTTGTAAATCATACCAATCAGTGAGGACTACTAAAATCAAGATGAATCAGACTTTTAAATTGAAGCACAAATCATTGTTAGACACTACAAAATGAAACTTAACTAACACACAATTCACAAAAAATATCATTAAGGAAGAACCATCATCTTGAACCTCTAAATTTTGAGGTTATATTGAGGGGAAATTAGTCATAATACTTGTAGACAGTAAAGTTACATAGTTTTATCTCAAGACAAATTAATCATGAATTGAATTTCTCAATCATGACAACATCGTAGTTCTAAATAGTAGTTCTGATTGGAGATAAGGTAGGCAACATAGGATTTTGTTGAGTCATTTTTTAAAAGCTGCAATTTCTTATAGTGATCAAAGATTCCTAACATCTTCCTCTAAAAAACATGAATCTTTACTAGAAATCAAATAAATGTATACTATGAAAAAAAATTGAGCTAAATATAGAACAAAATATTATATCACTTCAAATCAACGAAAAACACATTTAGGCTGACCCCTAATCTAAATAATAAATTATTTATCTGAAAATATTATTGAAGGTTATTTAATAAAGGAATAGCTTTGTACAGAATTTGAGAAATTTCGTTCCTCAAAGTGTAACCATGTAATTATATTGTCTCTTCAAAGGTTATACTTGATCATGTAATTATATTATAACTTGACTCTAAATCCATCAAAGTGTGACCATTTTGTATCCTCATACTCAAAAGGACAAGATCAAGTAGCTCATTCAAGATATATGTATCATTAGTAATTCAACTTTTATTCAATCTCATCATTTTTTAAAAGGATAGCTCATGAACTTTTGCATGAACTATCACATAGTCAATGGATTCACTATTTTTAATAAATCTTTGATTCCATTCATCAAATATTTCTTGAAAAAATTACAAGGTACCTCTACTTTCCCAAGATCATTTTAAAAATAGAATATCATCAAATTTAAATAAAGAATTAATTCATCTTGAAGACAACATTGTGAATGCACAAGAGACTACACATTTCTCATCATGCTATTATGTCTTGCCAATACACTTGAGAACCTTCAAGTCCTCATGAATTGCATTTTTTAGGAACTCTTTCATAAATTTATTCTAGTCTTCTTTAATAATACCTTGACTTTTAGGTTTAATAATGACAAACATGCATAACACCGATTTTGAGCTTTTATCTTTACTTCATACAAATCAATTATATGTTAACCCAGAAAAAGTGTGGATATGAATACAATATAATAGTTGAGACATTGTGTCTTTGCCAATAACATAGGCGATGTATCAAGAGAAGATACAAGTAGTGTTAAATTGGTCATCTCTTACAAATTTTTGAGAAGTTTGAGAATTTTTGGGCTTTATTAGGTGATGTTGGTACTCATATGGCTAGATAAATCAAGAGAGATGATGAATTAATTTTTGACTTTTTTAATTAAGTATAATCATTTTTTTCTTATTTTTTGAATAACTCAATAATATTTATATATTAATATATAGATAAAAATAAATTATGCATATCAGATTCTAGAGTGGTTCAAACAAATTATTTTGGCTTACATTTACTTTTGAAGACTCCACCTTGATTTCACTTGGAATAGATTTAATTTTATTAAGATCAAGAACCTCTAATATCTCTAAGTTCCATAAAACTATGACTACTTAACTTAGAATCTTAATCTAAGAATTCTTAGGTCTCCTAATTATAGACACACTATAAGTGCCTCAACTAACCCACACATTATTAATTAAAATATAAACAAAAAATAATATAATAAAATATTATTGTAGCCTTTATATTTCATTTGCATGTAGTAAGAGTTAATAATGGAGTTGAAAAGTATTA